AAACACTTGAAAAATAAACTCCATGAAGCTATAAGTCTGCACCCAAACAATAAAAAAAATACAAAACAACATAAATATTTCATAAACATTTTGCGCTGAGCGTGTTTCAACGGAAATCAATTACTAAAACTATCGATAGTCACACTTACTATCGATGCAGTGATAGTTTTTCGTTTCTACCATAGATTAATTGCTATCGGAGACTCAACAATTGCAATCCATCGATAGTTTGATGTATTGTTACAGCCCTAGAATTTTGAGGCGCTGGAGTTGGTCTCGGAGATTTGGCTCCATCATGTACGCATACACTGGCATTTCATTTTCCCATTAATACATAGATTTTGAGGCCATCCTGTCACTTTTGCACATTCAAGTAGTGTGCTTTTCTGAGCTGGTTGGTCCAAGATATGCTTGGTTCTGTGCCTCCTCAAGGGACAAATCCCATCTCCAATATGGTTGGTTTTATTACTACAGGAAGGCTGACTGGGCTACGAAAGTGAAAGAAAAATTTGCCCATTGTACAATTTTGACTTCACCAGTATCATGTTATTAATAAATGTCAAAAAGTGACACCAGGTGTTTGTGGAAAGGTGATCATGTTCTGCCTAACTGGTGGCACCTTCACAGAAAACCATAATATTGCATCAGAATTTTCTTCATGGTGTACAATTTGGAATTGTCCTTGACTTGTCTACCATACAACCTTTGCTGAGTGAGTGAGTATAGTTTTACACAGCTTTTAGCACTATTCCAGCAAGTCACGGTGGGGGACACCGGAACTGGGCTTCACACAACCTTTGCTGAAAACATTACTTTGGCTTTGTAACCCAGATGAAACGACTTTAGAGCAAGGGTTATATAATTCTAAGAGCACGATCCATTGTACCTCAACAGTAGAAACGATGAGCAAAAACTACTTTTACTGTGTGTAGATTTCGTACCTAATAGTGCTATTTGAATGTTTGTGTCATGTTCTTAGCTGCATGGTCTGGTGTCTATGCGGGCTGCACTGTCTGGTGTCTATGTGGGCTGCATGGTCTGGTGTCTGTGATGGCTGCATGGTCTGGTGTCTATGTGGGCTGCATGGTCTGGTGTCTGTGTGGGCTGCATGGTCTGGTGTCTGTGATGGCTGCATGGTGGGCTGCATGGTCTGGTGTCTGTGATGGCTGCATGGTCTGGTGTCTGTGTGGGCTGCATGGTCTGGTGTCTGTGATGGCTGCATGGTCTGGTGTCTGTGTGGGCTGCATGGTCTGTGATGGCTGCATGGTCTGGTGTCTGTGATGGCTGCATGGTCTGGTGTCTATGTGGGCTGCATGGTCTGTGTCTGTGATGGCTGCATGGTCTGGTGTCTATGTGGGCTGAATGGTCTGGTGTCTGTGTGGGCTGCATGGTCTAGTGTCTATGTGGGCTGCATGGTCTGGTGTCTGTGATGGCTGCATGGTCTGGTGTCTGTGATGGCTGCATGGTCTGGTGTCTGTGATGGCTGCATGGTCTGGTGTCTGTGATGGCTGCATGGTCTTGTGTCTATGTGGGCTGAATGGTCTGGTGTCTGTGTGGGCTGCATGGTCTGGTGTCTGTGATGGCTGCATGGTCTGGTGTCTATGTGGGCTGCATGGTCTGGTGTCTATGTGGGCTGCATGGTCTGGTGTCTGTGTGGGCTGCATGGTCTGGTGTCTGTGATGGCTGCATGTGGGTCTGGGTGGTGTCTGTGGGCTGCATGGTCTGGTGTCTGTGTGGGCTGCATGGTCTGGGTGGGCTGCATGTTGTCGTGTATGGCTGCATGGTCTGGCTGCATGGTCTGTGTGATGGCTGCATGGTCTGGTGTCTCTGATGGCTGCATGGTCTGGTGTCTGTGTGGGCTGCATGGTCTGGTGTCTGTGTGGGCTGCATGGTCTGGTGTCTGTGTGGGCTGATGGCTGCATCTGTCTGGTGTCTATGTGGGCTGCATGGTCTGGTGTCTGTGATGGCTGCATGGTCTGGTGTCTGGCTGCATGTGGGCTGCATGGGTCTGGTGTCTATGTGGCTGCATGGTCTGGTGTCTGTGTGGGCTGCATGGTCTGGTGTCTGTGATGGCTGCATGGTCTGGTGTCTCTGACTGCTGCATTGTCTGGTGTCTGTGTGGGCTGCATGGTCTGGTGTCTGTGTGGGCTGCATGGTCTGGTGTCTATGTGGGCTGCATTGTCTGGTGTCTATGTGGGCTGCATTGTCTGGTGTCTGTGATGGCTGCATGGTCTGGTGTCTGTGATGGCTGCATGGTCTGGTGTCTATGTGGGCTGCATTGTCTGGTGTCTGTGTGGGCTGCATGGTCTGGTGTCTATGTGGGCTGCATGGTCTGGTGTCTGTGTGGGCTGCATGGTCTGGTGTCTGTGTGGGCTGCATGGTCTGGTGTCTGTGTGGGCTGCATGGTCTGGTGTCTGTGATGGCTGCATGGTCTGGTGTCTGTGTGGGCTGCATGGTCTGGTGTCTGTGTGGGCTGCATTGTCTTGTGTCTATGTGGGCTGCATGGTCTGGTGTCTGTGTGGGCTGCATGGTCTGGTGTCTGTGTGGGCTGCACTGTCTGGTGCCTGTGTGGGCTGCACTGTCTGACGTCTATGTGGGCTGCATGGTCTGGTGTCTGTGTGGGCTGCATGGTCTGGTGTCTGTGTGGGCTGCATGGTCTTGTGTCTATGCGTGCTGCACTGTCTGGTGTCTGTGTGGGCTGCATGGTCTGGTGTCTGTGTGGGCTGCATGGTCTTGTGTCTATGTGGGCTGCATGGTCTGGTGTCTGTGTGGGCTGCACTGTCTTGTGTCTATGTGGGCTGCATGGTCTGGTGTCTATGTGGGCTGCATGGTTTGGTGTCTGTGATGGATGCATGGTCTGGTGTCTATGTGGGCTGCACTGTCTTGTGTTAGTGTGGGCTGCATGGTCTGGTGTCTATGTGGGCTGCATGGTCTGGTGTCTGTGGGCTGCATGGTCTGGTGTCTGTGTGGGCTGCACTGTCTTGTGTCTATGTGGGCTGCATGGTCTGGTGTCTATGTGGGCTGCATGGTCTGGTGTCTATGTGGGCTGCATGGTCTGGTGTCTGTGTGGGCTGCATGGTCTGGTGTCTGTGATGGCTGCATGGTCTGGTGTCTGTGTGGGCTGCATTGTCTGGTGTCTATGTGGGCTGCATGGTGTCTATGTGGGCTGCATGGTCTGGTGTCTATGTGGGCTGCATGGTCTGGTGTCTGTGATGGCTGCATGGTCTGGTGTCTATGTGGGCTGAATGGTCTGGTGTCTGTGATGGCTGCATTGTCTGGTGTCTATGTGGGCTGCATGGTCTGGTGTCTGTGGGCTGCATGGTCTCTGGTGTCTGTGTGGGCTGCATGGTCTGGTGTCTGTGTGGGCTGCATGGTCTGGTGTCTGTGTGGGCTGCATGGTCTGGTGTCTGTGTGGGCTGCACTGTCTGTGTGTGGGCTGCATGGTCTGGTGTCTGTGTGGGCTGCATGGTCTGGTGTCTGTGTGGGCTGCATGTGGGCTGCATTGTCTGGTGTCTATGTGGGCTGCATGGTCTGGTGTCTGTGAAGGCTGCATGGTCTGATGTCTGTGATGGTGTCTGTGGGCTGCATGGTCTGGTGTCTATGTGGGCTGCATGGTCTGGTGTCTATGTGGGCTGCATGGTCTGGTGTCTGTGATGGCTGCATGGTGCTGCATGGTCTGATGTCTGTGATGGCTGCATGGTCTGGTGTCTGTGTGGGCTGCATGGTCTGGTGTCTGTGATGGCTGCATGGTCTGGTGTCTGTGATGGCTGCATGGTCTGGTGTCTATGTGGGCTGCATGGTCTGGTGTCTATGTGGGCTGCATGGTCTGGTGTCTGTGTGGGCTGCATTGTCTTGTGTCTATGTGTGCTGCACTGTCTGGTGTCTATGTGGGCTGCATGGTCTGGTGTCTGTGTGGGCTGCATGGTCTGGTGTCTGTGTGGGCTGCATTGTCTGGTGTCTGTGAAGGCTGCATTGTCTGATGTCTGTGATGGCTGCATGGTCTGGTGTCTATGTGGGCTGCATGGTCTGGTGTCTGTGATGGCTGCATTGTCTGGTGTCTGTGTGGGCTGCATGGTCTGGTGTCTATGTGGGCTGCATTGTCTGGTGTCTGTGATGGCTGCATGGTCTGGTGTCTGTGTGGGCTGCATGGTCTGGTGTCTATGTGGGCTGCATTGTCTGGTGTCTGTGTGGGCTGCGTGGTCTGGTGTCTGTGTGGGCTGCATGGTCTGGTGTCTATGTGGGCTGCATGGTCTGGTGTCTATGTGGGCTGCATGGTCTGGTCTCTACTGTCTCTACTTCACAGGCAACTATATACTACCTTGGTTGGATCTCTATTTCCAGCTTTGTCAAGATGATGTAGTGTCACGTAAACCCGAGACATTGTCATTTCAGAGAACCTTTTAGATTGCTATTTGATTCAATCTGAAATACCAGAATCAGGTCAACAGTTAGCCTCCATAGGATCCAGTTGGTATTGTTGATGTTAACCTATGCAAACATCCAGGGTACGTGTGGTTTCATCATTGAAGAAATAAAAAAAAACGTACCGTTAAAAAGGTTATACCATGTCCAAGGAAAACGGCTTGCATGAAACTGCTATACACTTTAACCTTACAGTGCTTTAGTAAATGTTCACTCCGAGTGTTGGCTTGTTCATTCATCATATCAACTTTTCATCTACTGACTGACTGACTGAGTTTAGTTTTACACCGCTTTTAGCAATATTCCAGCAATATCACGGCGGGGGACACCAGAAATGGGCTTAACACATTGTGCCCATGTGGGGAATCGAACCTGGGTCTACGGCGTGACGAGCCAACGCTTTAACCTCTAGGCTACCCCACCGCCCCAACTTTTCATCTACAGTATAAGAGTACAAAAAAGCTGTTTGTCCAAGATTAGGACTGGCTATTGGGGGTGAAGGCAGTTGCACACCAGTCCTAGAACGTCAAACAAATATAGTCATTAATACACAAGCTCTCTAAAACAAACACAAAAGCAATGTTTCATTTCATTATAATAACATAATCATTTATACAATAGGAATGTACATGTTGAGTTGTTCTTGATTCATGAGGGTACAGTCAACAAGAAGCCAATCCACATATCATTACAATAAGGGAGAACGTTCAGGCAGAAAGCCAGGTGCCTGGTATTCCTGTCCAGAATAAGTGGTTTCATAACAATTATCTCAACACGTACAAGTACGGACAGAACATTAACTTCCCACTTATTACACATTTTAGATTATGATGGTTCACTGTTTATGTATTTTTGAGAGAAAACAGGATTAAAACTGTTCTTACCAATCAAAATTCTTCTGGTCCCTAAATCAAAATTACCGTGGCAATTGTCAATAGTCCAATGACACATGATATCATTGATTTCTGATATGACAGGTCATATTGTAAAAGTATGTTGTAGCTAGTTGTATGTATGTACATCATTGTGCACAAGAGATTGAGTGAGAATACATGCATGAAAACACATACTCCTTGCACAAGGTAATCGCACCTACATATACACACAACAGACCTCATGCTCTGTACAAATGGACTTAGGTTACACATAACCTGTCCTATTCCCTCCCCATCAACAAAAAGTTCATGTGTGCCAAAATAACACTATCCATCAAACTATCTTCACACTGTTGAAATACTCGTGAACATCCTATCATCCGTCACAAAGACCATCATTCATGAAAATACCAAGTTTGCAGGCCACTCAATGACAAACATCTGTGACAAGAGAAATATCTCCAATTCCTGTACATACGAGCAGACTACAAATCAGGGCATAACAACAGAATAGCCCCACTGAGAAGCTGCTGGTTCAAGGACCTGCCAGTGGAAGGGTATCCACATCTCTTTCCACATGCATGACTATGTCTAAATATAACACAAGTGACATTTGAGTAGATCTCCACTTCCAAGTGTGCAGGAAGCACCACATCCACAAACACAACTTTTGTCTATCACAGTAACTCCCATAGCTTGGTGTAGTGCAGTTTTATGGGGAAAAAACACATAGAAAATCAAAAAGCCAACAGAGTAAGTATAAAACATTACTTTCATTATCAGAAGCAGAAAAGGCAATCAGCAGGAGACTGTCTTTACTGTCAATAGACTTGACTCACAACTGTCAGTTTTAACTGATCATCTCAAGATTGTTTCTGAAGATTGTCCACTCTTTAACAAAAAGCACAACTAAACTGTAATTTAATTAACAAATAATCAGAAGATAGTAGTCTCTATGTCTTAGTATCGGTAAGCAACAAAAAACAAACAATACAAAATACATAACTTATTATTTAAACACAAAAACATACATGATAAACATAAAAAGCACAAAAATATACATAATCTCAAGTTATGTATTTAGTCTTCGAATAAGTCATACAGACATTTCAGGCTAAAGTCGGACTTGGTGTAAAAATCTTCCCACAAGTGTTCTATGAACACAATCGGTTAGCACTTACAAATACATACATTTCACTTTGTACAAGAAAGCAATCGAAAACGCTGAATAACCATCTCCAGTTAACACAACAAAACTTCAAATAAGTTTCATAAAAGATAAACAAAGAACCCCAAATCACCCAACATCTGAAAATATATCTATCTTTTTGATTTAAGTCACGTTGTCCAAATACTTAGCACACAAACTGTCTTCAACATATTGGATGCTTAGATTTCATGTGGGGTTTTGTCAGTATGACAAGCAAAGTTCTACAATGTCTATTGTTGGGGGTCTATCTAGGCCTGCTTGGAGACTGATGGTCGACCCAAGCCTGAAGCAAATACAGGGTAAGATTCCTATTGAGGATTTAACAATTTGCTGAATGTGCAGATGTGGTAAGAACCAATACTACATTAGCCAGATGTGACTTTACAGACACCAGGGACAATAAACAAAAACATTGTTTAATATTCAGATTTACATGGTCACATTCTTACAAGAATATAAGATTCAAACCCAGGAGGGGTAGCAGATCCTACCTGGCACAACTCCTCAAAATTGAGACCAGATATAACAAAAAAGCATCTAATATGTCAAATATGGCGGTTTGCTGTTGTGATGTTTTTCTTCAAGGCAGGTGAAATGTTTTCTAGCCATAGATAGCCCCACAGTTTGCACAGCGTCTCTGTCTCATGGCCAAACAACATAAAATACCAATGGGGAAAAACAGGATGGCACACAAGACCCCAAGGCAGGTGAAGTCATCTTCAAGGATCCCCACCTAAAACATACAAGTACATGTTAGTCCAACAAATCACACTGAAGTACATTCAGTAACAGAGCTGGTGATTTCATTAGCAACATCTGAATCTCTGCTGAATCTATACAGTATAGTTGGATAAGTGAGAATATATATCTATGACAGGTCTTTCTATGCATGGAACATGTCAAAAATCTACCTTTAATCTTTTCATAACCCCTGCCTATCACAATATGTTTTGATGATGTGTCACATGTATGTTGAGCCCTATTTCCTATAAACTCACACGACAAGCTGGGCACCCTCCTACTACCACAACCTGGGACGTTGGTTGTGTGACAGTCACATTGTAGTTCTGGTAGCTGGGGACGGCCCCAGCAGGTGGAACTGGAGGAGGGGCCATGCCCTTGGGTGGCTCATATGCTCCTGCAGGTGGACCGTAGCCCTGAACAGGTTGGTAGACCCCTGCTGGGGCTCCATAGCCTTGCTGGGGTTGGTAAGCTGCAAAACATTTCATAGAATTAGGGACAGATTAAAGCTGAAGAATTCTTTTTCATATTTAAGTTTTTTTATATCCATTTTGAAAAAAATAAATGATATGAAACTGAACACTAGTTGGATCTTGCAAAACAATGGCTGCAATGCAACACGCCATAACAACATGTTTTTTTCCAACTAACAGACCATGTTGAAAATCACTACTGTTGGACATACTATACATGTTCTGCCACATACACCATTGCAAACAAATTAAAGAGATACAGAGAGTGTCTACACTGACCCATTCTACACGAGAGAGATCCTGAATGTATCTACACCATCTACTGTAGATCTGAGATCCTGAATACATACATCTACACCATCTACTGTATCTACACTGTCAAATCCCATATGACAAAGATGTCCTACCTCCGGCAGGGGGTCCTACAGAATATGGTGGTGGTGGCGGTGCTGACATCACGACGTGGGAACTGAAAACAAGAACAGTGCTGGTATTTACATCACAGTCAGCATATAAACACTGGCTAATGCAGGCCTTGAGTATTACACACTGGCCTCTTCCAGTTGGCATGGTAAACTATGCTAGATGAGTAAATGTCGACACATTTCACAATATTTCAGTGAAAAGTGCATAGTAATATTGCTACAACAGATACATGACAAATTACTGTTGAGCAACTGTTTCGGTTGTGGTTCAGATGGTTTTTAACATTATGTTTTGACAATAAACAATGATAAATTGTTCTTGTTCATTACTATTTAACACAAGCAGTTGAGTGGAAGTTATATATCTTGATGCTTTTGGAATGAAATGTAATCTGGTACCTTCTGGAACAGGTATCATCTATGCTGTGGAAGAGGGCAAGCGTAACCCTTTATCATATCACCAGGTTTAGGATTACATCAAGACAAGCAGTTGTGTGAACATCATGTTTTCATCCTTTGAAACAAAAAAGTACTAGAATCTGTACTTTACTAAGAAAATGTAATCCCATATGTAACATATGTTATATTTGACCACTTTCTAAAATGGCATTGTGTATTTCATAGCTTTCGGCCGTGGGAGCCGTGCCAGTTAACACTTATCAGAGGGGTACACAAAGTCCGCAGTCTAGACTACCAGTCATCCGACTTTCATTTTTGTGGAAGCCGCGGTAGCTGAGCGGTCTAGGCATCAGACTTTGTGGTCTAGTCGTCTGAATCCCGGATGGGACTCAACCCCAAAAGTACTAGAATCTGTTCTTTACTAAGAGAGTGTAATCCTAAATATAACCATGATAACATATGTCATGTTTTCATCCTGTATGTCCAGCATAGGCATGCTGGATTTCTGGGTTAATGTATTGTTTCAATATAGAAGTTGACACGTTATAATGGTGTTTGAGACATAGACTTCTTATCTTGAAGTCTACAGTTAACATGTCCCAAAACAAATTTTAATAGTATGGGTTCACATTAATCACAACCTAACATTACAAACATGAATCAAAAGTGTTATTATTCTTATAATTAGGCCACTTACACACATGCTATAGCACTGACCTCTGGGGCATGCGCTAAGCGTATACCACATGATGGACATTATTACTCTGGATAACCCAAGCTGCCTGAGAGGTGCTACTTTGCTAGAAGGTTAATAGTCATATGATTTATACCACCAGGTACCCATTTTCTGCAAGGTGAACAGAAACAATTTTAAACTTGTCTAAGCTGAGACCACATGTGTCATGTGTGCTTTGGTGTAGGGCAGGATGTAATGTCCTTGAAACCTTCAGGAGTCAAGCTGCCAAAACAGTCATACATCCAAGAACTCTTCGACTTCAACGGATTTGTGGCCTGGGCTCTCTGCATAAGACCACACATCACAACAGCTATACAGGTTTATGCTCCAACTGGTGTCACAGACAGAGATAAAAGGACTCACAACAAGAAGAGACCCCAGATGATAACTTATACTTGCTGAAACTGTGCCCATAAAGCCATAAGGATGTGCTAATGATTATTCTTAAACAAGTAGGTAACTCTAGCTTAGAATCCAGATGGTGACAACTTGAAGATATCCATGCAAGCAGAACTGCCCACATATATCTAGCAGATACTAATGGTTAATACACAACAGCTGTGTCCCTGCAATCACTGATCTGGTGTCCCTGTTTGTCCTCAGCTGTGTTTGCACCAGCGTACTGTATTCTAGCAGTGGTCTGCCGAGGCAGCAGGTCTATTCCACAGAAACATATGACTCAATGACTGACTCAAAAATATTATATATCACTCAGCCAGCTGTTTCAATTACTGAATTTATGCATCTTAATGTGCTATAAACACCTTTCACTGGCTAAAAGCTAAAAATCATCCAATCAGAACTAAACTTTCACATTTTGGGAAATATAGTAGTTATACTTCTGGAAATACTAAAGATTTTTGTTTTTCAACTGACTCCAGTACCACAGAATCACCAACCCTAGTTATGTTGATGAAAATTTATGGGTATAGGCCTGAATTTTTTTTAGAAATTTTAAAATTTTGTTTACCACAATATATACATGAATTCTTTCATCTGACAACTGTTTCGTAATTTTTTAAATTGTTTACCAAAATATATTATATGCGTTTTGTTATCTGTAACTAGTTATGAACCTGGATAAAATAAACCCTCCCACACCCCCTTGCATTCTTGAAAACTTTGTACATTATAAGTTGTTCACTGGTCTCGAGGGGACATGGACTGATGTACCCTCGATGTTAGTTTATGTTCCTTGAGCCCGAAGGGCAAGGGGAACATAAAGAAACATCGAGGGTACATCAGTCCATGGGCCCCGAGGGACCAGTGAACAACGTATTTATCTTACCGAACACCTCAATGGTAATTTTGAACTGTTTGAAGCACTGGTATGAAGTACCAGACGACAAGAAAAACAAATTTAGAGTTATCTCCCTTCCATCGAGTTGCATTCGCAAAACATCGGTAATTTCCGTACATCATACGTGATTCAATGTTATTCGAGATAAAGAATTACTACTACTAAGTACCAAATGAGTTCAGCATTCCCAGCGGGGTACATAGGAAATGTTACTTGCTTGTAAGCGGGGTACATTGAAAATAACAGAAGAGCGTTCAGCCAATCAGAAAACGACATTTATGTGTGAGGCAAGATAATGATGGATGCTGTCATGATCACAAGAGATAAAATAACACACACATTATACACAGGAAACAGGTAGTAAGTAGTTTCGCCTTTGAATCACAGGAAGCAGGCATTAGTTTCATACTGTTTTTGTTTCAATCGACTCTTCACTTGTCCACTAAGCAATACACACATTGCACATCTGACAGAGTGACCATGTAGAGATATTTAATGAACCTGACTATGTGACAACATGTGTTTGTAGCATGATTCAGAAAGAAATACTAGGACATTATTATATTATTATAGGATATTGATACAGCACACATATCCACAACTAGTACATGCTCAAGGCACTGGAGTGTTCCCTTGATCAACGGATGTCTTTTTTCTGAAATTCTTTTAACCAACTCAACTCTGGGGAGTGTTCAACTCATGACTCAACTCACAAGGTACTCATTTGCAGCTGGGTGAACATGTCAAATTTGTGAGAATTGTGTGAAATCTAAGATTAAGTTCTCATTTTAGAGCAAGTACTTTGGGCAGTGATCACCTCTGTGTTGTTGAGGCTAACATGAAACATGGGATGTTGCTACTGTATGAATCTGTTACAGATGAGACAGATTCTGTGGTAAACATACTGTGTAAGACTAACAAATAATTGTGAATGGTAATTCTGCATCAACAAATTGCACGTCTGGTTTAAGTTTCTGTATGATCTCTCCGAGTGTCAGCACTAATAAACCCCTAAACATCTTCAAACATCTTTAATAAAGCCCTGTAAGAACTCCCCAATATATATATATATATATATATATATAAGAAGAAGTTTCTGAAATCAGTGAATTACACAACACGGAATTCTCCAACATGTTTCAGAACCGAATATTCAGGGAGATATTTGATACAGTTAAACGGATTATGTTTATACTTGAAATTTGTCCATGACGTCACAATGCAACTGAAATATGTAAAGTTGTAGTACCGCAAGTCATGTTGTTATGGCGCCACATTCTCAACACTATTTCTTTATATATATATATATATATATTCACCACTACACTGTTGATAATGTAATCTTATGAATGAATGCCTACTTATGCACTCCCTCCCTTTGGAGTACTGAAAGACACTTAGACTGGTTCTCAACACATTCCTTTAAGTAAGCAGTGTAGGAAAGATAGCCCGTCCCAACGTCCGAGACGGGTGAATTTTGTGGAGGACGGGTTAAAAAAATATCTAGTCTGTCCTCATGTCGGGTCAATTTTAGCAAACCAATGACATATATATAATGATTATAACCTTTTTGAATATTTACTGCCGAAGGTGTTTTATTTATATTTGGAGGACAGGCTAGATTTTGGCAGGACTGGTAAAAAAATTGACCTGCCAGTCCTGTGGACAGGCTAGATTTTCTACATCTTTCCTACACTGCTTTAAGTGAAACTTCTATAGTTTATATACATGTATTAGATACTTGCTGAAACAGCTTTTGCAATAATTTCAGTTCTGGGAATACTATACTTGGTTGCCTACAGCAGGAGTTCAAATTCTTTTGCCCGCCCTGGGGGAGTGACAGTATCGTTGCTTGGGTTCTTTCTGCCAAGCACAGCTAAGGGACAGCTTGACCTGTGATAGGGTCTGTAATTTTTATTAGGGTCTGAGGTAGGATCGCGGCTAGTTGTGCCCATTACATCCCACAAATCATTGTTGTTGCTTATCTTTACTTCCATGGCAGTCTGGCCATAATATGATTAACCATTATTTAACTAAATGGGTATGGTCAGTGCCGGGTAGTATGTACTAGCAACTATCACTTACTGTAACTTTTGTTTACCATCACCCCCCTGCCTCATTATCCTGCCAAACAATATGATTCCCCCAAGGCAACCATACGTCACATCTTCCCATGACATCACTAACCAGTGCGGTCCTGACGTCATGAAGCATCATAATCAAACGTCACATCTTTCTGCTCCAAGCAACGCAACAATGACACTGCTTGGATAATTCTCCTCACACACACACTCCTTCCCCACAACTCTAAAAGATAGGCTGCGAATTTTCCACAGTGAACAAAAGTGTACATAATTGTATCAATTTGTTTTATACAAGTGAGTCCGGTAATTCCGAGCGTCCGGTAATTCTGCGCAGCTGCAATAGCGTACTTCCGTATCAAAGGTAAACATCGTCTGCTACCACATTTACGCTTGAAATCGGGACATTTCTACAAGGGACTGGCTTTTAATCACTAAAGGTAAGTAAATAACAGTAATTTACAGATAAATTGACAGTTTTATGAAAATTCGTTTTCTTCAAACTTTTAAACCTTTTTCTTCATTATTCATAATTGGATTTATATGTAACACTCTTCCTTACATTGATGAAGTGATTTTTGAAAATAATCTGGCCCTGATACGCTTCAATACTTCGGATCTCCAGCTGGATGTTATGCGCATCAGTTGCTGCACAGAATTACCAGACAGCAAGCGATGTCATCAGAACGCCGGTAAGGTCAACCGTATTGCATAATGCAATGTTAGAATTTTATAGTTGTCAATAAAACTTATATTTCTCAGTAAATATGATGCATACCAGCATGTTTAGTCACGTAAACCACAAAAAATAAGAGACATTAGTTGCCGTGTTATGATCGATGTGCTTAGGTGCACGGAAGTACTGGATGGTATTGTATCAATATATGTATCATTCTCCTTGAAGTTATGCTAGATATCGTAATAAGAGGCCTGCATCATCCACACTGTGTCCAATGCATCATTATACATACTACAAATCGTTGTTGTTTATCTTTACTTCCATGGCATAAACTGCTGATAATGTAATCTTATCAAATAGTTCCGACGAGGACATTAACAAGATAGATAATTCAACGGATTGTAGAAATGTCACTATAATCATGATAATATCAAACATCTTTTTTGTCTCCGAGCACGAGCCATGACGACCAACATGATTCCAACCCCTAGAATTAGTTGTATGGATAACGTTATTTCACCTATAGATATAACGATACAAAGAAGAACATGACCAAACAAAATATGTATGACACTTTCTCGTCTGGTCAAAATATGACACACCGAAAAAGTAAACAGATCTCACGAGTTCAGAAAACGTGAACGGCATGCATGCCATGTTTGTATCAAGATTCTTAGACTTGGGTTGGAACCCCCAGAGTTCCCTGTTCGTATACAACAACTAGATTTTTCCTGACCATATTTACCTCTTGCTGTCACAGACTCTTTTCGCTATTTGTGTACTCAGAATGAGTCCGCGATCACCAACAAGGAAGAGAAACTCTCGTGACTGAAATTTCACCGTCACATGACAATATGGTCTTCGTTTGGACTCGTATATTTTCGGTTTTACCTCGGCTGTCACGGAATGGCACGAGTGCTGACAGGTACGCGACGATTTAACAAATCTGAAAACCGGAACACGTGACTCAAAATACGGAAGTGATCGTCTGTAAACGTGAAATGAACAATGCGGACTTATTTGCGTTGTGCAACTGTGTGAAGGAGGAATTTAAGGTGGCAGTAAAGTTAAATAACATTATTATTTAGTATTTATCAGTTGTTAGGAAACACGAATTCTGAAACATGAAAAGCATAGTTAGAGAAATTGTTGCGCGGTGGTGCTTTCCCCCCAAGGGGTGTTGGCTGTGCAGTTAACGCCACCTCCACACCTGCATCCACTTACTTACTACCTTACAGCTTATTACATACCAGCTTACTTTAGTCTGTCTCGGCGTGGGGAATTGAAATGACGTCTGCTGACAACAGCTAGATAACCCATGTATTGATTGTCTCTTCGTTCAGTCAGATTTGCGCAATTTTTAAACATTCTTTTACCAGCCAGAGAAGTCTCAGATGATGTTCAGTGAAAGGTTTAGAATCCACTGATACACCTGCATGGAAAATAGTGATTGCATGAACATCAGACATGATAGATGATTGATGCGATCTTTATTCAGTCTGAGTCAAGGTGCTCTAGAAAAATAATCCAAACAAACAGATTGGGCCACTTTAATAAACATTTCGGATTTCAGATATATAATAGTCTGTATCATGTGCATTGTCTACATGCTTACATGTCACACACAGAATGCATAGTATGAGTGAATGTCAATCATGAAACCCTTCTACAATGTTCTACCCACTGTGTCAAAAGGTTTCACAACTCCTATAGTAATTTCTTTCTGCAAGCATTTTGTTCTTTCAAGCATATGAATGAAATTGGCTGTGATTATGTTGATTATGATATTGTTCACAACAATATGAGATTCTTCACACCATGTCCCCAAGATCACTCAATCAAACGTGCATGAAAATGATATTTCTAAACAACAGCTGGTCATGTCTTGTCAAAATCAAGAAACTTTATTGCATGGTGTATTATCTGTATCCATGATGTGCTTATCAATGTTTCAGTATATTGGAAATATGCATTCAATCTACCAGGTGCTGAGAAAGAGTCAATTGTAGTCCCACACTGATGGTAGGAATAGTGGCACAGCCTGCATGCTCCCAGCATCTTAATGAGTGAATCACGTCTGTGGTTGGTCAACACCAATGGCAATGTATTCACACTCTCCACCAAGCACAGGCGGATGCGACAACTGGTGAAAACCTACCATGATGGGGTGAGATTAAAACGGCTGGCAGCATGTCAGAGTGGGGCATGGGGAATCGGACATGACCATCAGATCTACATATTTGTGCACTCCACTGAAGTTCCTATCAGAGTCCAAGAGACAACCTATGAAAACCAGGTATAGTGAATGACTGTGAGATGTTCTCATCTCTTTACATGTGAATGCTGCAATGCTTGTATACGATCAGTAAACAGTGCATGCATTTCAAACATATCACTTGATTCCAGGAACTATTATAATGTTAATGTGCATGGTCAGAACTTTTTTAATGTTATTATTAACTAATCTGCCCGGAGAGTGGAAGGTCACAGGTTCGATCCCCGGCCGCGTCATACCAAAAGACGTTAACTTAAAATATTGTACTTGTTGGTCCCTGCCTGGCGCGGCATTAATTGGTACAACAAGGACTGGTCGGCTCGGAGTCAGTGTAATGTGTCTGAGTGGGGTATTCATGCTTAATTGCGGCATGGTATCTCAGTGGGCTAGCACTATAAAACCAGCGTGAGTCTGGGCTAGTACAAGCAGCCATGTTGTCATATGAGCGAAATATTCTTAAGTGCGACGTTAAACCCCGTTTCACCTCACCTTATTATTAAACTATCTGCATCCAGTAGGATACATGATCCAGAAACTGCTCAATATCCTGATCCCAAGGGGCATTGGCTTAACAAAATCCACTGAGATAGATTTCCCTGTCACTGTCGTACATTTGTAAGAATTGGGGCCTTAAACTTTGCACATACATAAAGATGGCTTCACACAGACAACATATGTTTGCAGACAGAGGTTAGCAAAATCTAAAATAGTTGCCAGCATGTGTTTTCACATTTCAAATATGTGTTGCTGTTGTTTTGTTCTTCGTGTAACACAAATACTGCTAGTATTTTGTAACAGGCATAGAATAAGAATCATGGAAATCTAGGATTCATTTGTTGAAAGAAACCAGCATATGCTTGACAACCAATAATGCATCAAAATGTTGAAAACTCTAAAATGTTGGTCAGAATAATAGCTGTGGTCTGGGTTAGAACTGTGGTCAGGCTCGCTGACCTGTTTGATGCATTTCATTACATCAAAAATGCATAAATCAATGGTCATTATGGCCATCACTTGATTGTTTGGTCCAGAACCAATTACACACTGCCATCATCTAACTGGAATATTGCTGAGATGAGCATTAAACTACAAACTAACAATTTTTTTTAGAAAAGATAGTTTCTGGCCAACAGATTGTCAAATTTCCCAAACTAGTTTGCAAACTGTTTTCACAATGTTCACATGCCAAAATGAATGTTTGTATACACAGATCGGTGAATGTGTGTTTGTCATGTGAAACCACCTGTCAAGATTTGTAGTGTGTTCTATAAAACTTTACCTGGAATTGTTAAAAAACATTTTGTTGATTGTGATCATTGGTGGCACCTTTATCCTTTTGTACACTGAACCCAATCCCAAAGATGTGCAAATATGAGAATTGCAATGGCTGTGGTGATTCGGATGCGCTATATGTTTTGTACGTGTCTCTCTAGCGATGGTCACCTATAAGTGGATTCAGTGGCTCCAACCTACTGCCAACAGACAGATCCAACTGGAGTGATGAACACGGGAATGGTTTCCTCCCCAAGGAGAGTTTCACTCTCCCATCACAGCACTGGGAGTGGGATGGAGACTGGGAGATTGACGATAACTTCCAGGGACAAATTGCTTCCAGAGGGGTAAGACTTGGGCATTTCAATAATCCTGCAGGGATAGAAATACTGGGTTTTTTTTCTAAGTGTGCCCTATGGCACCAGACAAATATTTTAGATGTGCCTTTCAGAAATCAAGTGTGCCCACATGTTTTTAGAATAAATGACTGTACATAGCAATGATGATGATCATTTGAAATTTATTGTTAGAAAACAACAAATGTAACCCATTTTCTGTTATGACTGATATGTCTTCTGTTTAAGATGGCTTTCTTAAGCTTCATTTGTTCTGCTTTCACAACACCTTTAATAGCTAAGAATTTAGTGACAGGTTGACTTGTTCATTATATCTAACATACACATTTTCCTCTTCAATAACCGGACTATCAGTACTCCAATCAATCTAAAAAAAAAACAACCAAACACCCAGATTTCTTTACATCATCCATGATAATTCCAGTGATTTCCTGGGCGATAAAGTCAATAACTGTTTTTGCTTGTTTGTCATTTGCATAAGTGTTTTGTTTTGGGGATTAAATGACTAAAGGTGACTATGTCCCTAAAAAATTAATCATGCCATAAGGGCACCGAGAATATTTCTATCCGTGTCATTTAAATATTTACCATGCCATGGCACACTAATATATAGGGTATTTCGAACACTGTCCTGTATTCTCATTTTGTAGCAGGTTAAGGGTGGTACACCTGCTGGGTTGTGAGTTGTGACCCAGGAGCCACAAGTTTAGTAGGCTCAAAGATATTTTCACTCTGTAACAATAATGATAAACAAGTAAAAATGTCAAAGTACATACATATTAAAATATTGCACATCATCATCAATTACAGGATATTCAAGATATACTGTATATTCATTAAATATATTAATCATGAATCTTATGTGCAGATGAAAATACCTATACACTAATTTATCGGTAAGACTTCCGCCTGTACCCCCCCTAAATTTTGACAATGAGGAAAAATTTCTTTGAGTGGCATTTTTAGAAGTTGGATGTGTCTTTCAGTATGTTAAGATACAATTAAAGAAACATGTTAAAACTCATTGTTATCAGATGAGGAATATATATTCAGGTGATATGATGGTAAGAGTTCCGACCGCAACCCCCGCTTGAAATGTATTCTAGTTATTAGGATTATTTCGAGGTTTTAGGGTTTTACGTTTAGGGTAGGGTTTGGTTTAGTGTTGGGGTAAGGGTTAGCATGGTTAGTGTTAAGGGTTTTTGATAAAAACCATCTGTTCTTAGGCATTGAATGATAAAAAAAACACCGGGGGATACCGGTGGAAATCTTTCCTAAATGTTAATACATGTATACACATTTAGTATATTATACACTAACTTATTCAAATATAAATATCACAATAAAACATGTGTCACCCTACCGCCATATCAGTTCTACAAGTAACATAATCATGTGATGGCATAGATAAATCTACATCTATAAAACAATCTATACATAAATATTTCAATCTCTGTGCCACAACAGCACAACATTACCTGTGTTGTAATATGGTATGAATATTACATGTATCATGAATATAAATATTGAACATGGCCTACCAAGATGGCAGACAATATGGCCAATGTGTGTTGACTTATCTTTGATATAACTATAATACAATTTAACCTTATAAAATCCTGAAACATGAAGACCATGCCTATTGCTATTATTGAACATGCACTGATCTTGAAATACATTCATACAGTCAAATCACACAATTATAGCCTAAGCAATTATGTTGTTTACTGTTAATTGCAATAAGTATTTGTAAGTAACATCCTACATAATATTACATTTATAATTTAGTTAACTAATCTTAGAAAGGTTTGCTGACCTTGAAACATTCTGTCAGTATCTTGCTGTACAAGATGATTATGTTGTCGAGTGACTGTATTGTGCAAATTCTCAAGGTAGACTGACTTAAAATTGTGCAGATGTTAGTGAGAAATTTAGCAGATTAAACTGACCAGCAAGAGAGTGAAAGATAGCTTGCCCTCTAAAAGAAAGACAAAACAAATGCACTGTAACCACGGTGACACAATAGGGCCAGCTTGTAGCAATCACACAGGAGACTGTTACCTGATATAATATAATAAAAACACCACAACTAAACTGTCTAAACAAAACAATACTGTATTTACACAAATAGAGAGAATATAACACTGCTGTATTTTGACAAAGAAAACATGGAAAATATGACACTGCTACAATTTATCCATGTATTTTGACAAATATGGGGCACCAGTGATGCACTCCAACAAGGAACCCCATAGACTAGGTGTTATAATGTGAATACTGATCTTTGTCATGACCTATTTTATCCTGGCCCAACAGAAATGTATTGCTTTGTTTTGAAATGTTCAGTGTCAGTACATAATAGATATATGATTAATGCTGAAGCAAGGATTCTGTCACCTCACCTGAATATGAAACTATGCATGTGTTTGGTATAGTTATGGTTTTGAAATGATTAAGGAGCAAGGAAAGAAAATGAGAACGTTGTAAGCATTATTAGTTTCAAATGTATCATAATAGTTTTAAATATGCACACATTAGCTTGGTGCGCCTAGTGGCTGCATGAGTTGTATGATCCCCAGGGAGTTCAGATTGTAAATATGATGTGGCATTGAGATTGACATCCAATGATCGAGGGAAACAAAGTACTTTGAGCATGCATGTAGATAGGATGGACTATATATATAAATACACATATAATTATAATAATAATATAATAATAATATTATTATTATACAAAATGCACAGTAGACATCCTCCCCAGGGAATATAATATTTGTAATATTGAAAGAAAAGGAAATATACCCAATGCCAGTGAGAATAGCTTAAACATGTGAAACATCAATTCATCTGTATGATGAATAATAGAGACCATCCTTGTCTCCTGGTTCCAGGGATATGCATGTTGACTTCATGGTGACTCAATTAAACAGCTCTCTCCATGTTTACCACCCACAGAGATGTAATCAACTGTACCCGGTAGGTAATTGTTCTTGTTTTACTGCAGGGTTGGCAGTATGCAACAAACTTCCCTCGGCCATGGACGCCAGAAAGTACCTGGAAGTCTTGTGTTCGGAAACGGAAATGGATTCGTTTCCGCCGATTTATAGCAACTGATGCATGGGCAAAGGTATCTTTCTGCTCCAGATCTGAACTTATTATGGAACTCAGTTGAATTAATACCACAATTACTTTGCTGCTATGCAAAACAGTTATGTTGCTTGCTACTATTTACAGTGTAAGTACAGGGTAGTTAATGCACTGATCACTTTTATGTAACATAGTTTCTGTAGGTCTCCTTAGTCCCAAATAAAGTATCCGCTGCTTTGATTTGTGGGTCTGCCAGGCCATAATTATGATCCTTGGTTTGTGCAACGCTCCAGTGTTCTGTGGTCCCACCAAACTTTCTCATCTACACCCAAATCACTGTTAACAGAGCTGATCCAATGTAATACAATACTCCTCAAGGAAGTGTTAGGTTTCTCTCACTCTCATGTCTACAGGAAAGCAGCCCCTTACTCTCATGTCTAGTCAGTCTACAGGAAAGTAGTCCCACACTCTCGTGTCTAGTCAGTCTACAGGAAAGCAGTACCTCACTCTCAGTCTCATGTATAGTCAGTCTACAGGAAAGCAGTCCCACCCTCTCATGTCTAGTCAGTCTACAGGAAAGCAGTACCTCACCCTCTCATGTCTAGTCAGTCTACAGGAAAGCAGTCCATATAAACTGTTTTCTATTTCAGATTTTGATGAGAAAATGAAGGAGTCTGGAGATTGCTTCATTGATATAGCTGTTGGTGGTTTTGATATTCGACTCAGCCCGAAGGTCATCTGTGTGTCTGGGGGGTCACAAACACCGGGCAGGTCAGTAGACCCATGTGCAAATTAATGTAGTACCTGTTGTAACGTGTCACATTTTTAGGGTAGGGCTTGGTTCTCAGTCAATAAACTGTATGGAGGCAGGTAAGTTTAGGCCAAGCTTCTAATTATCTGAAACATGTCCAAGTGTATAGAATCTATTTCACATGTACAGTATGTGTGAGTCCAGGGTGTTCTCCCATTATTTCAAAATGAATATTGTCATCAGGAAACTGAGAGGAAATGAATGGAATCTTCTGGCTTCCTTCCCTGACTTAATCATGCTTTGTGCATGTTACGAGGGACAGTCAAAAAGTAGTGAGCCTGACCTAGTAAATGATACAAATGCAGCTGTTTTTATGTTTTATTTTTCTACATATTATCTGTCAACCTCAAGCAAATTGGTTTTGCTACGTTCCAGCCTTACGATCCCCATTTTGTTTGAAATTTTATCTTGGTACCCCCCCAAAAGCGCAAAATCTGCAATAAATGCACCACAAACTTCAGGTAACAAAATATGCAAGAAACATTTTGTGTGTTTGAGATAGGTAGACGTCTCGCTAGAATCAAACTTAGATATTAAAGTGGATAAAAAGCAATTTGAAAGTACAATCGCTTGTTAAAGTGATTCCCCTTTCATGTTTACTGAAACAGCTTGTTTTGGAGACACTACCCACCCCAGTTCAGACAGATTTAATTCATAAGGACATAACTTATTCTAATGTTTTCACTTTTTCACACATGATGCTAAAGGTTCAAAGTAAATACTGAATGGTCACACAAGTGTCAACTCTCAGTATATTGTAAACAGGGCCAGCTTGAATATCTGGACACAATGTTTTGAAAGACTAAAATGGGTGTGTCCTTAAAAACAGCCCTGTCTAAACATAAATCAAGCAATCCAAATCTTTGAATGTTGATTATGACGGGAAATCATCCAATACTATACTAACATATTCTATATGACATTATCTGAGGGCATACCATTATCCAAGAGGTACTAAATGACGGATCGTTTTTCATTTTCTGCATTTTTTCTAGAAATATTATACCCAAATGTGTTGTGATGACCAATATCTCGTTAATTACATTACCCACATGTGTGAAATTTTTTATACGACTTTGCTAATGATTCCTTCAAACTAAAATGGAAGCTTTTCAAACATTGGACATGGAGAATATAGTTAGGCTACGTACTTTTTGACCGACCCTCATATATGAATTACTAATGCTGTTTGTGGCCTTGACAAGGGTCAGATCCAGGAGTTTTGATGTGCACATACTACCCAAGTCACAAAGTGACTAGTCTGATTTCACAGTTAAAAGAGGTGAGTGCATCCCTGCACCCAACGTCCCGATCTGCCAGTATTGACCACAGTTGACCCAAACAGATCGTCCTGTCTGTTTCCTTATGACAAGAGTTAAAAACCCACTAAGGCCTGTCTGGTAGAGACGGCTGTCATGTGTCAGGTTAACCTAGTACCGTTTAGGGTTTCAAGATATGTATATGAATTTCAGAGTTGCTTTATCAACCATTTCACAGAAGACAGATAATGTTGAAAGGGAAAAAACAGTTTAAATTGGAGCCATAGACATCCATTTAAAGAAGTGAAACATTGGTTTTGAATGCTTTCCTCAGCAACATAGAGACAGTGCAACAAAAACAGGCCACAAAATAGTTAAAACACGGGTCAAGTTCAATCAGTCAGTATTTACAAGGTCATTGTTACATGATGCCAACATGCAGTTGACCTAATACTACATGGTTGTTCATCCTGCATGAGAGTATGTATAGGCTCCATATGAATGCATTTGACCACAGTCATCCCGAAAAGTGTGAGTGAGTTAGTTTAGTTTTACACCACACTCAGCAATATTCCAGCTATATGGCGGCCCCAAGATATCAGTTTGTTGTTGGTATCAGTTCAGTTTGATTCCATTCCATTCAGTCAATGTCCACTAGGGCAAGGATTGAATATGCAATGTTGAAACATATATTTAGTTGAGCACAAATTCCAAATGAATGCTTCATTTTCTGATTGAATTTGAAAATTAAACCCTTAAAGAAACATGATGCCCATGAAAAAGAAAAAAGTCAACTATTTTGATGAATGGGAAAAGAAGATTATGGCTGAGATTGAGTATGTTCTGTTTATTATGTGATGTTAGAAGTGTGAAGACAGGGCCTGTCCTGTATATGTGCAGACTGTATAATGTCTGTCTCCTCTACATGTACAGGTGTATGTCCGACAAGGGGTCACCTATGACTGCCCAGAAGGGAAGGAGTGGCGTCCTGTCTCTACTGAAAACCATGGTCTTATTAACGTCTCTGTTGGACCTACAGGACTCGTGTGGGGGGTCACGTGGGATGGCCAAGCTCTCGTCAGACTCAATGTCAACCGAGACCATGTCTTTGGTGAGAGAAAGAGTTTTCTTAACTCATATATCCTTGCATTAAAGAGGCCTCAATAGTGATTTGGGGTTTGAGATTTCATTTTCCCAAAATGTGTTTTTGGTAAGAATCCCCCCCTAAATTTTAACGATGATGATAAATTTCTATGAGTAACATTTTCAAAAGTTGGATATGTCTTTCAGTATGTTCAGATACAATCAAAGAAACATGTTAAAACTCATTGTTATCAGATGAGGGATATATATTCAGGTGATATTATTTGACTAGAATGAAATTTAAGGGGGGATACGAGCGGAAGTCTTTCCTGTTTCTTATGGCTAATTTAAATGTGGATTAGTTAGTGTGTCGTAACAGTTGCAGTGTGGCATATATTATTGACTGTGATAATAGGATCTGGAACTTGGATGTAAACATAGCTCAAAGTGTTCTGGATAACAGCGTGTTTGTTGTACATACAGTGTTTCGGGGCTACTCCATACACCTTCAGCAGGTGGAGAAGTAGTAGTAGCGCTAAAACAGTGTGTATGTATTACAAACGAGCTGTCATCCACACTTGTCCTCATCATAGATTGTTCTTCAAGTCACTGATTTGCTCAGATGTGGCTGGAATATTGTGGTCTGCATCTTAAAAGAACATGGTAACCATGGTTACCGAAATGTTTTCGTATCACTTCAAACGTGGGAACTACATATCACTCCAAGAGTTCCCAGTACCATATAAGGGAATGTGTGATTATAACCATGATGGCTGTTGTTGCCAGGCACCGACTGGACGTTAGTGACGTATCCAGATGAGGCTACCCGTGTGATGCAGGTAGCTCTGGGTCTCAACACGTTATGGGCACTCAGTAGAGAAGGCAAGGTATGTGATACATCTTCTCAACTTACTGTGATCACTCAGAGGCATGATGTAGGATGAATACATTGTTAGCTGGTGCAAAGAAGGCTGTGCAGAATTGCAACCCTTAGCTCTTCCAGAATTACCTGTTTCTTTTGCACTGATTCTAATATTCATGTACTGGATAGTTTTGTGAAATGATTGAAAATTGACCGTTATATATAACAGGGTTGTGTTTTACATGTTCACAGTTTTAAATACAAAAACTATAACATATGCTGGCACGTACCTTGATAATGATTAAGGAAATTGTTTTCTGTTTTCAGTTTTTAAAATTACACATTTTTTGTTATGTGTGCTGATGTAAGTGATAGATAAAACCTATTTGCATTTTGTTTTATTCATGTATATACATGTTTCTGAATTAAAAGGAATTCCCTAACATGTAATCAGACATTGTCTAATCTTGGAGATAGTACTTGGGCAGTGGCTTCATCATGTACGCCACACTGATACTAAATTGTGTATCAGGTATGGTACCGCAAAGATATACAAGGGACACAACTCCTGACTGGCACAGCAGCAGCTATGGGCAGCACCTGGGTGGAGATGGTGGGAGAAATGGCTCACATCGCTGTGACACCTTGTGATCAAGTGAGTGTCTGTACTATACCATTACAGATTGTGTAAGTTGGTTCTTTGTTTGTCCAGATCTTCCTCTCGCGTGCAGTGGTCATGAGGAGTATGTTTGTTCCATCACTATTATTTATAATCCATGTTTATATAGATATAGATGTTTATATAGCAATCAGTCTATTAAAGTGACCCTGAATTAAAGATATAATACTTGTTTTAACAGGTTTTTGCTGTTGGTCTTAATGAAAATGAGATCTACTTCCGGTCCGGTGTGACTTCGAGTGACCTTGGTGGCAAGACATGGCAGTTATTGTCCCTGAAGGAGAACACGTCACTGCTACAACACGACAGCTTTTCAAGTGTCATGTCGGATTCACTCACAGAATCAGGACTGGAAGACTCCAGCAGATTCTCCTCCTCAGTAGCAAGTCAGATGACCAAATACATGCCGCGGACAGGCTCGGAGTCAGGATGGTCGGAAAGCAGCTCCGTGGCAGGAAGCTTGACCCGTGCCAAACTTGTCAACACACCTGTCAGCGATAAGGCAGCAGGTGCACGTAATGGCTTCTGTATGACATTAGCTACTCCCATACAGAAGACTTCATCAGAGCAGGCAGGTGATGCTGCGCTTCTTACTGTGGCTGCATCTGGGAGAGAGGCCACTATATCAAATAAAGGTTTGTATGGAACTACTTCTCTTCGACTTAACTGATTACTCAGCCACTACATGGGCCAGGTATTATTTACCTACTACTAGGACAATTACTGGGACCATAGCAACTATTGCAGTAGTACTGATGTTCCCATAACCATATTAAACTCAGGGGTGGATCCAGGATTTTGGAGATGTGTGTGTTTGTGTGCGTGCATGCATGTGCACTTAAATCATGAAGTCCAAAGGTTAGGGGGAAATGCTCCTCAGGGAAAAAACAATTTCAGGGGAGAGGAGGGGAGTGCGCAGCCCCACACCCCTCCTTTGGATCCGCCCCTGCAACTATTGTTCATTGTGGGATTAAGATATTCCAACAAGACTGACTCCCTGAATTTCTTTGACTGATGCTAAAGCATGGCAGGTCCACTGTTAACAGGAGTGAAGTGGGGTCACTCTCATTGGGTGCTACTATCAGTAATTGTACATCAGATATGTTCATATAGAGCAACAAATTGAATATTAAGTTTGGTTCCAGTGAAACATTGTGGCTTTAAGATTTACTGAGTAAACATCTTTGTATGGCTGGAATATTTAGCAAAGAGGCATTAACCCAGCTGTGATAAAATCCACATTGAGCATGATTGTATCATATGCACAGAGTTTATTTTGATGCCCAGATAGTCTGACATGGTGTCAGTGCTGGAGTTTCTTAATGATATTATTGGGGACTACACTTAACGTAAAGAACATTAAACCATACCAATGATTTATTGATCTGTAAATGTATGAATCTGGACCTTTCAGTGGACAGAATGCTGTCCAGATTTATGACGCTTTATGGGCAGTGGAGTCATGATAATGGCAGTGTATCTACAGTTCAATCAGTTATTATATCTCTAGTAGGTCCAGTGCGGGATACTCCATCTGGGGAGACAGATACTGCAGGCCACAGCGGTGCTAGTCTGCGAGAGACGTCCATTACACACATTGCACCAGCAGCAGATGCAAAAAGTTCACAAGACGAGACTGTTGGAAATGAAGGTAAAGCAGTCTCCGTCTTGGATGATTTTATATCTATGGCTGAAAGTAAAACAATCTTCTTGTTGGGTGATTTTATATCTGTTGCTGAACGTAAAGCACACTCCTTCTTGGATGACTTTATATCTATACCTGAAGGTAAAGAAATCTTGTTGGGTGATATTGCATGTATATCTGTGGCTGAAGGTAAAGAAATCTCCTTGTTGGATGATTTTATATCTGTGGCTGAAGGTAAAGCAGTCTTCTCATTGGATGATTTTATATCTATCACAACTGCAAGTTCTGTACTTTAAAAATAGCAGTGCTAAAATCGATTATTTGAACACATTAGCATTCCAACAACGGCACCCCACATTAACTCTGGCTGTATCACTGACTGAGACATTTTACACCACCTCTGTAAGAGACGTTCATCTGAAAAACTAAGTTTGAATACAGAGCATTTTCTCTCGAGGTGACAGGACATACATATACTTAAATGTTTTAAAGATGACCTCGGATGGTAGTGCAGCTAGGACGTAAGGCATTGGCTGCCCAGCACCATGGGTTTGTTGTCCAGTAACCACAGTGCCAACTTGAGTCCCGTCTGCATGCCAGAAATGTATGATTGTGGGTTCAAATCCTGGTTTGCCTTATGTATCTTGGTTTGTGAGCAACATAAGCATGCTGTTGGGTTCTATGTAACTGATATGTACCTGAGACATGCGCCTCTGTCATGGTTTCCTGACTTTCCTCCCACATCTTGCTGACATCTTGTCATATAACTGAAATACAGCCAAACACTGAAACCAGCTGACTTATATCCACTCAAAGTGTAAATCCATTCTTTGTGCTTATCACAGTGGTATGGATTGATGGTTGCAGTTCTGTTCATGTATAAGTTTACTTCTATTCAGTTATACAGTTTCTGGTCCACAGGTCTGACAGTACTTAAGAATACCTGCGTATTCAGTATTTTTATTCTGTCTGCTTAAATGTTTCCAGTACATTGACTGTTTTACCAGTACATTACTGGCAATTATCTCTTCAAGAAAGCAGTGCTTGAACAAAGTGGCATGATACCCACCTCACTCACCACTAGAGTTCAACACTATGGAGAACTGAAAAGGGGTGGTGGGGTAGCCAAGTGGTTAAAGCGTTAACTCGTCTCACTGAAGACCCATGTTTAATTCCCCACATGGGTGCAATATGTGAAGCCCATTTCTGGTGTTCCCCACCGTGATATTGCTGGAATGTTGCTAAATGCGGTGTAAAACTTAACTCACTCACTAGAACTCAAAATACCCAGAAAGTTAAGCATTGCTTACTGCTCTGTGCTTACAGTACACTTAAAGTGATAGTTTGTGAATGTTTCATTTAAATTTTTAAGGTTTTGGTCAATGAATGTTTGAACCTTTTAAAGGATTTCACCTGTAAAAGTATTACTGTTAAATAAGATTCGAAATGAGGGTTAATTTATGTGCTAAAAATGTTACTTGTTAGTATATATTGATCATGACCTGAGATTGATCATTTCTTTAAGAAATCGGTTTTGAAGTATTTCTTTGTCTTACAGTGAGGGAAAGCAAATCTGTGATACATGACCGCAATTTCAACAATGGGTTAACCGAGGAACTGCGGTCATCCAAGACTAAAGATACAGCAGCAAACCAATGTGATCGAGAGACAACCTGTGATAAAGAGGATGAATGTAGTACCATGCCACCTGTACAGGTATGCATTACATCAGTGGGTACGGAGAGCTCCGAATCAGTTGTTGATAATCACCAACCAGGAACATTTTCTCCAGCCGGTGTTAGTGACAAGCTGTCGCCTAAATCTGTGATAAGTTCTTGTGATAATTTGGACAGCTTGGGGTCTAGTATTACATCAGAAGAAAATGATGGAATATTCAATTTTGTAACAGACTTACTATCAGTCTCGTCAGTCACTGAAAAATCAGATGACACCGATTCGAAGGATGTCTCCGGTGAAGATAATTCGAAAAGGTTGGAACAAGACGATCAAGACACAAGGGAGATAACCACCACAACAAACAGGCCTTCATCTTTGGGAGTGTCGGATAAATCATTCGTGCTGACGGATGATGGTGAGAGCCCTGTATTTAACCAGGGGGAAAGTGTTCCTTGGATTACCATGGGGCCAAGCACAGGTGTATCAGGGACCATCTCAGTGAGGAGTACACCATCACTTGACCAGGAAGTTATACCAATGTTTGAGATGACCCCTGCAATGCCGCGTTACAGCTGGGCTTGGCTGAATGGAATGGCTTGTGCTTTTGATGATCCTTCCAAAATAACTTGGCTTCAGAGTTACCAAGGTTGGTTCTGATAGTTCGATATGTGAAACTTAGTCTCCTCACAATCAGATCTGTTACATGACCCTCTATGTGAAGATCTGAGAACAACTCCAAAGGTCACCTCAGGTGAACCCTGAGCAACCTTTGACCGCCCAGTCAATATGAAGGATGAATAGGTTTTTTGTTTTCTAAGATGATTTAGATTCATTTCTTTACAACCTTAGTTTGGAAATTATGAATTTAATTAAATGAAACCCACACAGATATTCCTTTGATGGTACTCCCCTTTGGGTATTGTAGCCATGATACTCTGAACCGATATCAACAACAATAATGACATGGCTTTTATCAGAAGTACATGTAGTTGTTTCATGTTCATGTTCGAGAGGGACGGTGGGGTAGTCTAGTAGTAAAAGCGTTCACTCATCACGCCGAAGACCCGGGTTCGATTCCTCACATGGGTACAATGTGTGAAGCCCATTTCTGCTGTGATATTGCTGGAATAATGCTTAAAGTGGCATAAAACTAAACTCACTCACTCATTTTCGAGATATAGAACCAGCAGACCTGAAATCTTTGCTTACTTTAAGAAACTTGAATGCTGCTTGGCTGACTAAAAGTTTCACATGTCACAGCCTTTCGTGATGGTGTCTTCAGATCTTCACGTAGAGAGGTATTGGAGTAAAGAATCGGATTAATAAAGTCAGTTACCTTTTCAGATATAATAGCTTATGCGTTGGTATTTAGGCCAGACCAGTACATATTCTACCTTAAATCTTTTCAAGAATTTGAAAGTTATACACATTGTAATCAGAACAGTATTGTAGATTTTGACAATGACATCCTTTGGTTTGAAATTTATTGTTTCAGAAAGTGACGATGCAACACCCCAGGGGAACAAAACAAAAGTGAAGATATCAATGGCTTTGAGGGATGACTTTCTCAAGAAACTTCACATGAGAAACATAAAAGAAGTAGAGAACTTCAAGTATATAGAAAGTGCAGTACAAAGGGTGAGGCCTAATTATCTGGATCTATGTTGACTTGTACTGATTTTGTTTTAACTTTTATCTTATAGACCACAGAAGTAAACTCTATAACCGATTCCTCCAGCAGATATAGCTAAATCTGACATGACTGAAACACTCCAAATACTGTCAGCATGGTGACACAAGACTTCAAAAAGTCTTCTTCACTATTATCCTGATGATTACTATGAAAGGATGAGCTGTGTGTTTGGAGATGACAAGACTTTATGGATGATCAACTTCTTTATTTGACAATGGCGACGTTTCGGTATAGATTCTTAATCCGTTTTCAAGCATTTTACATATGCTTGAAAACGGTATGAGAATCAATACCAAAACATCGCCATTGTCAAAATAAAGAAGTTGATCATCCATGAAGTCTTGTCATCTCTATACCACCAACTTCTAGAATGCCACTCAAACAAATGTGTGCTGTTTGCTTGCAGACATCATGGCTGAAGAAGAGCAACATGAAGTGGTACATGTTTGGGAAGCGGCCGCAGTGGCAGGACTGTTCCGTGGAGCTGGAGCAGGGTCATGGAGACAGTGAGGAAGGCTCCCTCACTATACAGTACACCATCAAGGGGAAACCCATGGTAGGAGGGAACGTGTGAAGTCAACTCTTGTGCCACCTGATGTGATATTTGACTCACTCATGTCTCCTGTAGCCCCATGTTTTTATCAGAACAGGAGGGGAAAAGTTTATTATTTTCAATGCAGCAAAATCAACAATGGGGATTAAGATTGATTTTTATGCAAGTAAGAACTGTTTATACCACCAGATGTATATCCCTTGAAGTACCTCCTCCACTGCATGTTCATGTTTGTGTAGTTTGTGAATTCTGAAATCAGTGAGGAGCAGTGAGTAGCTTTATACCATAATTTGTTTGTTGTTGTGGTCTGTATGGGTGGTAGAAAGTAGCAGTACGTTCCTGACTTCAGTGTCATGCATGTCTCCTGCAGCATACCCAGATCTGCGTCCAGGACATCGTGTGTGTGAAGCAAGTCAGTCATTACCTAGAGCGGACTACAGTTTTCATCCACACCACAGACACAGTCAAGTCCCTGCAACCATGGCTCCTCAAACTTGCATCAGAGTCTGAGGTCGAGGACTGGGTAAGTACCGTACCTGGGGTAGGGTTGATGATGATAGCTTGTCTGTCATTAGTACCATATATTTTGTTTCGACACTGAATGTGTTAGCATTCAAAAGGATAATTCAGAGATTTCAAATCAGTGATAACATAAAATATGAATGGAAGGGATGTAACTCTGTTCATTGAGTTGTGAGATTTTACAGCACTGGCTAAAGACAAAGATGAGTGAATAATGAAATTTTGGTTTGTGAGTGAGTGAGTGACGAGCGAACGCTTTAACCATTAGGCTACCCCACCACCCCTTTGGTTTGTTGACTGAAGGGAAGGCAGTGTATAGAGCACCACCAACAGTAGCATGAGTTGTTCCCCCTAGGTGTCCTTGCTGTGTACCGTCAATGCCGTAAGGTGGAAACTGAATAAGCCTGTCCCTACTGGATCAGTGTGGTCAACTACAATGAGGGGAGACATCTTTGTGCACCCACCGGACAAGGTGCATGTCAAAGGTCATGAGATGCGCTGGATGCAGCAAGGTGGTCACTTGAAACTCCTGGAGACGTCAACATGTGGGATAACGTGGGGCGTTGGATACGACCACTCCGTGTGGACCTACAATGGTGGATATGGCGGAGGAATCTTTAAAGGTTTGTCCCATCTGTCTTGCAATTCCAGAAATATGTGATTATTTGTTTGTTAAACTTCTTGGGTAAAGGATAGCTTGGTGCTTTTGGAGTTTTCACGCCATACAGTAGACATGGGACCAATTCCAAATATTTTCTCTTAGAGACATGTGAAGCCCATTTCTGGGGGATACTCAAAAATAACTTAAAATTACCATCTTTATGTGAAAATTGTGAGATGAATAAATTGACAGATTTTGAAATCATCTTCCCTTTATTGCCATGTTGATCTATTTCTCTCAGCAGTCAACTGTAACCAGGCTTTGAAGTATGAATGCATTTGTCTCTGTTGTACAGCAATGTCTCACCTGTCAAACGAAGTGTTCCTTCAGACGGACGTGAGAACTGTGTTGGTCTACGAGAACCAGAAATGGCTGCCTGTGTTTGGCTACTCAAGTAGGTGAGTGTCTGCCCCGTCCTGCAAGCATGAGTTTACAAACTTAGAAAGAAGATAGGTGTTAACAAATTGTTTTTAAGATTTTTTACCAAGGTGATGATAGAAAGGCAGACAAATGTTCTTAATATTTAGTTTATAAATATATCAACATTAAAGGGATAGCATGTCAGTCGTTCTTGTGCACTGTTTGTAAAATAGCCAATAACTCCTAATGTACTTATTCTGATGATGTAGAACACATGGGCCTAATGAAGGGTGTTTGCTTGTTTTACGTATTATTTTTCATCATTATATGGATATACTGCAATGGTGAGGTACATAAAAATAAAGCTTTACATATCAAAGTGAGTGTAACACAAATGGAAATAGTTTTCATGTTTGGGGATATTTTCTTGATGAGGTTACAGTTAAAAGTTTCATGACATATATTTATCGAAGTGTGTAGACTTGTCTAAAATGAACCAGATGAAAAATACATGCAAGGAATAAGTCATGTGACAGGGGTACTAGGCAAGGAACTCTGGGTAGGAGAATGATTGTATTGACCCTATGTCTGTTTGCCCTGTATCCTGTATTGCCCTACTCTGTATCCTGTATTGTCCTGCTCTGTATCCTGTATTGTCCTGCCCTGTATCCTGTATTGTCCTGCTCTGTATCCTGTATTGTCCTACTCTGTATCCTGTATTGTCCTGCTCTGTATCCTGTATTGTCCTGCTCTGTATCCTATATTGTCCTGCCCTGTATCCGGTATTGTCCTACTCTGTATCCTGTATTGCCCTGCCCTGTGTCCAGTATTGTCCTACTCTGTATCCTGTATTGCCCTGCCCTGTATCCTGTACCCTGTATTGTCCTGCAGTGTATCCTGTATTGTCCTGCTCTGTATCCTGGATTGACCTGCCCTGTACCCTGTACCCTGTATTGTCCTGCAGTGTATCCTGTATTGTCCTGCTCTGTATCCTGTATTGACCTGCTCTGTATCCTGTATTGTCCTGCCCTGTATGCTGTATTGCCCTGCCCTGTATCCTGTATTGTCCTGCCCTGTACCCTGTATTGTCCTGCTCTGTATCCTGTATTGTCCTGCCCTGTATCCTGTGGTTGTCCTGCTCTGTATCCTATGTTGTCCTGCCCTGTATCCGGTATTGCCCTACTCTGTATGCTGTATTGCCCTGCCCTGTATCCTGTATTGTCCTGCCCTGTACCCTGTATTGTCCTGCTCTGTATCCTGTATTGTCCTGCCCTGTATCCTGTGGTTGTCCTGCTCTGTATCCTATGTTGTTCTGCCCTGTATCCGGTATTGCCCTACTCTGTCTGCTGTATTGCCCTGCCCTGTATCCTGTATTGTCCTGCCCTGTGCCCTGTATCCTGTATTGCCCTGCTCTGTATCCTGTATTGTCCTGCCTTGTATCCTGGACCGCCTCCGTGGTGTAGGGGTTAGAGCGTCTGTCCGGAGAGCGGAAGGTCGCAGGTTCGATCCCCAACCGCGTCATACCAAAAGACGTTAAAATATGGTACTTGTTGGTCCCTGCCTGGCACTCGGCATTAATGGGTACAACAAGGACTGGTCGGCTCGGATTCAGTATAATGTGTCTGAGTGGAGTATTTATGCTTCACTGCGGCATGGTATCTCAGAGGGCTAGCACTATAAAATCAGCTTCAGTCTGGGCTAGTACAAGCAGCCGCACTTACACATACACACGCATGCACGTCATCATATGAGCGAAATATTCTCAAGCACAAAGTTAAACCCAATTTCACCTCACCTCACCTTGTATCCTGTATTATCCTGCCCTGTATCCTGCATTGTCCTACTCTGTATCCTGCATTGCCCTGCCCTGTATCCTGTATTAAAGTATTTGTGCTGGCCTCGACCCGACATTGTGATGCTTGAGTGTGATGCCAACATACAGAAGTGTGTGTGTTTCAATAGGTGGAAATGACGGGCTACAGCTGGAGTGTGATGTACAAGTGAGTGTTTGTGTCTGGGGGTTGGAAATGACGGGCTACAGCTGAAGTGTGATGTACAAGTGAGTGTTTGTTTAAGGGGGTGGAAATGTTGGGCTACAGCTGGAGTGTGATGTACAAGTGAGTGTGTGTTTCATGGGTGTGGAAATGACTGGCTACAGCTGGAGCTGGGCTACAAGTGAGTGTGTGTTTTGTACAAGCTAGTGTGATGTACAAGTGTGTTTCATGGGGTGGAAATGATATTCTACAGCTGAAGTGTGATGTACAAGTGAGTGTTTGTTTCTGGGGGTGGAAATGCTACAGCTGGAAAGCTGCTGAGTGTACAAGTGAGTGTGTGTTTCATGGGGTGTGGAAATGATATTCTACAGCTGAAGTGTGATGTACAAGTGAGTGTGTGTTTCATGGGGGTGGAAATGACGGGCTACAGCTGAAGTGTGATGTACAAGTGAGTGTTTGTTTGAAGGGGGTGGAAATGACAGGCTACAGCTGAAGTGTGATGTACAAGTGAGTGTTTGTTTAAAGGGGGTGGAAATGACAGCTGGCTGACAGCTGAAGTGTGATGTACAAGGCTACAGCTGAGTGTGTGTGTGTTTAAGGGGGTGGAAATGACAGGCTACAGCTGGAGTGTGATGTACAAGTGAGTGTGTGTTTAAGGGGGTGGAAATGACGGGCTACAGCTGAGTGTGATGTACAAGTGAGTGTGTGTTTAAGGGGGTGGAAATGACAGGCTACAGCTGAAGTGTGATGTACAAGTGAGTGTGTGTTTAAGGGGTGGAAATGACGGCTACAGCTGAAGTGTGATGTACAAGTGAGTGTTTGTTTAAGGGGTGGAAATGATAGGCTACAGCTGGAAGTGTGATGTACAAGTGAGTGTGTGTGTTTAAGGGGGTGGAAATGATAGGCTACAGCTGGAGTGTGATGTACAAGTGAGTGTGTGTTTAATGGGGGGGTGGAAATGACGGGCTACAGCTGAAGTGTGATGTACAAGTGAGTGTGTGTTTGAAGGGGTGGAAATGATAGGGCTACAGCTGAAGTGTGATGTACAAGTGAGTGTGTGTTTAAGGGGGTGGAAATGACAGGCTACAGCTGAAGTGTGATGTACAAGTGAGTGTGTGTTTAAAGGGGGTGGAAATGATAGGCTACAGCTGGATTGTGATGTACAAGTGAGTGTGTGTTTCATGGGGGTGGAAATGACAGGGTACAGCTGAAGTGTGATGTACAAGTGAGTGTGTGTTTCAGGGGTGTGGAAATGACGGGCTACAGCTGGAGTGACAAGATGAGTCAGAGGTGTGACAGCAAGGAGGAAGTGCAGCTCCCTTCATCACGGTGGCAGTGGGTGAGTTGTCCATTACCATAGCAACAGTGTAGACAGAATGACACTGGGGGAGTTGTCCTTTACCATGGCAACAGTATAGACACAATGGTAGTGGGTGGCTATGGCAACAGTGTACACACTGGCTATGTGGGAGTTGTCTATTACCATGGCAACAGTGTAGGCATAATTATAATTATTAAGCTGTCTTTGGAAAAAGGAATGATCAGAAAATTTTCATGTGATCCAAAGAGAAGTCAGTTTATTGTTATTTATGGGGATTGGGAGATTTGTCACTTTCAAATGTTCAATATAGTAGTTAGTGCTTGCTCAGTTTACACTGAAACAAACCTGAGATACTTGTCACGAAGGCTGCCTTAGTAGTTAGTGCTTGCTCAGTTTACACTGAAACAAACCTGAGATACTTGTCACGAAGGCTGCCTTAGTAGTTAGTGCTTGCTCACTTTACACTGAAACAAACCTGAGATACTTGTCACGAAGGCTGCCTTAGTAGTTAGTGCTTGCTCACTTTACACTGAAACAAACCTGAGATACTTGTCACGAAGGCTGCCTTAGTAGTTACTGCTTGCTCACTTTACACTGAAACAAACCTGAGATACTTGTCACGAAGGCTGCCTTAGTAGTTACTGCTTGCTCAGTTTACACTGAAACAAACCTGAGATACTTGTCACGGAAGGCTGCCTTAGTAGTTACTGCTTGCTCAGTTTACACTGAAACAAACCTGAGATACTTGTCATGAAGGCTGCCTTAGTAGTTACTGCTTGCTCAGTTTACACTGAAACAAACCTGAGATACTTGTCACTTAAGGCTGCCTTAGTAGTTACTGCTTGCTCAGTTTACACTGAAACAAACCTGAGATACTTGTCCACGAAGGCTGCCTTAGTAGTTACTGCTTGCTAGCTTTACACTGAAACAAACCTGAGATACTTGTCACGAAGGCTGCCTTAGTAGTTAGTGCTTGCTCAGTTTACACTGAAACAAACCTGAGATACTTGTCACGTAAGGCTGCCTTTAGAAGTTACTGCTTGCTCACTTTACACTGAAACAAACCTGAGATACTTGTCACGAAGGCTGCCTTAGTAGTTACTGCTTGCTCAGTTTACACTGAAACAAACCTGAGATACTTGTCACGAAGGCTGCCTTAGTAGTTACTGCTTGCTCACTTTACACTGAAACAAACCTGAGATACTTGTCACGAAGGCTGCCTTAGTAGTTACTGCTTGCTCACTTTACACTGAAACAAACCTGAGATACTTGTCACGAAGGCTGCCTTAGTAGTTACTGCTTGCTCACTTTACACTGAAACAAACCTGAGATACTTGTCACGAAGGCTGCCTTAGTAGTTACTTCTTGCTCAGTTTACACTGAAACAAACCTGAGATACTTGTCATGAAGGCTGCCTTAGTAGTTACTGCTTGCTCACTTTACACTGAAACAAACCCTGAGATACTTGTCACTGAAACAAAGGCTGCCTTAGTAGTTAGTTGCTTGCTCACTTTACACTGAAACAAACCTGAGATACTTGTCACGAAGGCTGCCTTAGTAGTTACTTGCTTGCTCAGTTTACACTGAAACAAACCTGAGATACTTGTCAGGCTGCCTTAGTAGTTACTGCTTGCTCAGTTTACACTCGAAACAAACCTGAGATACTTGTCACGAAGGCTGCCTTAGTAGTTACTGCTTGCTCACTTTACACTGAAACAAACCTGAGATACTTGTCACGAAGGCTGCCTTAGTAGTTACTGCTTGCTCACTTTACACTGAAACAAACCTGAGATACTTGTCACGAAGGCTGCCTTAGTAGTTACTGCTTGCTCACTTTACACTGAAACAAACCTGAGATACTTGTCACGGAAGGCTGCCTTAGTAGTTAGTTGCTTGCTCAGTTTACACTGAAACAAACCTGAGATACTTGTCACGAAGGCTGCCTTAGTAGTTACTGCTTGCTCAGTTTACACTGAAACAAACCTGAGATACTTGTCACGAAGGCTGCCTTAGTAGTTACTGCTTGCTCACTTTACACTGAAACAAACCTGAGATACTTGTCACGAAGGCTGCCTTTAGTAGTTACTGCTTGCTCAGTTTACACTGAAACAAACCTGAGATACTTGTCACACGAAGGCTGCCTTAGTAGTTATGCTTGCTCACTTTACACTGAAACAAACCTGAGATAGTTTTGTCACGAAGGCTGCCTTAGTAGTTACTGCTTGCTCAGTTTACACTGAAACAAACCTGAGATACTTGTCACGAAGGCTGCCTTAGTAGTGAGTGCTTGCTCACTTTACACTGAAACAAGCCTGAGATACTTGTCACGAAGGCTGCCTTAGTAGTTAGTGCTTGCTCAGTTTACACTGAAACAAACCTGAGATACTTGTCACGAAGGCTGCCTTAGTAGTTAGTGCTTGCTCAGTTTACACTGAAACAAACCTGAGATACTTGTCCACGAAGGCTGCCTTAGTAGTTAGTGCTTGCTCACTTTACACTGAAACAAGCCTGAGATACTTGTCACGAAGGCTGCCTTAGTAGTTACTGCTTGCTCAGTTTACACTGAAACAAACCTGAGATACTTGTCACGAAGGCTGCCTTAGTAGTTAGTGCTTGCTCAGTTTACACTGAAACAAACCTGAGATACTTGTCACGAAGGCTGCCTTAGTAGTTAGTGCTTGCTCACTTTACACTGAAACAAACCTGAGATACTTGTCCGCGAAGGCTGCCTTAGTAGTTACTGCTTGCTCAGTTTACACTGAAACAAACCTGAGATACTTGTCACGAAGGCTGCCTTAGTAGTTAGTGCTTGCTCACTTTACACTGAAACAAACCCTGAGATACTTGTCATCCGCGAAGGCTGCCTTAGTAGTTACTACTTGCTCACTTTACACTGAAACAAAGCCTGAGATACTTGTCCACGAAGGCTGCCTTAGTAGTTACTGCTTGCTCACTTTACACTGAAATAAACCTGAGATACTTGTCCACGAAGGCTGCCTTAGTAGTTAGTGCTTGCTCAGTTTACACTGAAACAAACCTGAGATACTTGTCGAGGCTGCCTTAGTAGTTAGTGCTTGCTCACTTTACACTGAAACAAGCCTGAGATACTTGTCACGAAGGCTGCCTTAGTAGTTACTGCTTGCTCACTTTACACTGAAACAAACCTGAGATACTTGTCACGAAGGCTGCCTTAGTAGTTAGTGCTTGCTCACTTTACACTGAAACAAACCTGAGATACTTGTCACGAAGGCTGACTTGCAGATAGAGTGGTCAGACTTAGTGACCGAATTAATTGGAAGTTGCTCCTGACATCTGTCTGATCTAAACTCAAGTACTGACAAGTGACCACATGTAGGTAGAATATTACAGTGTAGTGTTAAACAACACACAGATAACCAGTGACACTGTCTGGCTGTGTGTGTCTTAATGCTTAACTGCTGTACAGGTGAGTGACTGGCGGCTGGACTATGAAGTGGAGGGGGGAACGGACAACAATGGATGGCAGCATGCATCCAGCTTCCAGAGGTACGTTTACTGTTTCCTGTTTCACATCTTGTGTGTTTAGTGAGTGTTTCCAGTTATATTTTGTGCTTAATGAATGTTTCCTATCATTTGTTGTGTTCACTGTTTACTGTCACATATGTTCAGTTTCCTATCATTTGTTGTGACCTGTGAAGATCCGGGTTAGAATATTGATCTTCAGTAACCCATGCTTGTCGTAAGAGGCGACGAACAGGATCGGGTGGTCAGGCTCGCTGACTTGGTTGAACATGTCATTGGTTCCCAATTGCGTAGATCGATGCTCATGCTGTCCAGACTCGATTATTTACAGCCTGCCGCCATATTGCTGAGTGCGGTGAAAATCTAAACTCACTCACTCACTGTCAACTAGAGTGCCGCCATATAGCTGGAATATTGCTGAGTGTGGCGTAAAACTAAACTCACTGACTCATTTGTTGTGTTCCCTGTTTACTGGCACATGTGTTCACTGTTTACTGACACATGTGTTCACTGTTTACTCACACATTGTGTTCACTGTTTACTGTCACATGGCTGCTTCACTGTTTACTGTCACATGGTTACTTCACTGTTTACTGTCACATGGCTGCTTCACTGTTTACTGTCACATGGTTACTTCACTGTTTACTGTCACATGGTGTGTTCACTGTTTACTGTCACATGGCTGCTTCACTGTTTACTGTCACATGGTGTGTTCACTGTTTACTGTCACATGGTGTGCTTCACTGTTTACTGTCACATGGCTGCTTCACTGTTTACTGTCACATGGCTGCTTCACTGTTTACTGTCACATGGTGTGTTCACTGTTTACTGTCACATGGTTACTTCACTGTTTACTGTCACATGGTTACTTCACTGTTTACTGTCACATGGTGTGTTCACTGTTTACTGTCACATGGGTTTCACTGTTTACTGTCACATGGTTACTTCACTGTTTACTGTCACATGGTGTGTTCACTGTTTACTGTCACATGGCTGCTTCACTGTTTACTGTCACATGGTTACTTCACTGTTTACTGTCACATGGCTGCTTCACTGTTTACTGTCACATGGTTACTTCACTGTTTACTGTCACATGGTTACTTCACTGTTTACTGTCACATGGTTACTTCACTGTTTACTGTCACATGGTGTGTTCACTGTTTACTGTCACATGGCTACTTCACTGTTTACTGTCACATGGTTACTTCACTGTTTACTGTCACATGGTGTGTTCACTGTTTACTGTCACATGGTTGCTTCACTGTTTACTGTCACATGGTTGCTTCACTGTTTACTGTCACATGGTTGCTTCACTGTTTACTGTCACATGGCTACTTCACTGTTTACTGTCACATGGTTACTTCACTGTTTACTGTCACATGGTGTGTTCACTGTTTACTGTCACATGGTTGCTTCACTGTTTACTGTCACATGGTGTGTTCACTGTTTACTGTCACATGGTTGCTTCACTGTTTACTGTCACGTGGTTGTTTCACTGTTTACTGTCACATGACCGCTTCACTGTTTACTGTCACATAGTTACTTCACTGTTTACTGTCACATAGTTGGTTCACTGTTTCACTGTCACTGATTGTTTCCCAACAATTTAGTGTTTCCCCCAGGATTATGAAAGGGCAGGGTAGACTCAGAGAAAAAAGGGCACATTAAAATTCAAAAGGGCATTCAGCAAACAAAAAAGGCACAACAATTAAGGGTTCAATAATTTACTGTGGATGACATAATTTGGGTCTGTTTGGCATGCTTTGATGCAAAGTTCATAAAATTATTCGTTCATATTCTCCTCTTCTTTCGTGCCAAGAACTTGGCCACACACTTCCTCAAGTCAATGTCAGTAGAAGACTTAGCATTCATGCTGACCATAAGTAGCTTGGTGCAGTTATTTACTTTCAGCCTGTTCCTATGGTCTGTCACAATGAGTTTCGCCCTGGAGAAGACTCTCTCAACCTCTGATGTCGAAAGGATCACAGTAGCATGGATACTCAGGAGCTTCACAATGTTTGGGTAGAAGTCTCCCAGTTGGGGCTTGAGGCTTGTCAGAGTCTTCAGGATATTGGATGGTGAACAGGTGTCAACTTCCTCAGCAAAGAGTTCCTTGACCTGACTCCACTCAAGCTGTGTTTTATCAACATCCAGGCCTGCCAAGTGTTCTGCCAGTTCTGTAATCTGTAATTTGAATAGTATGTCAATATATGAAAATGTGACATCCAACTTGTGTCCAAACCATGGATCCATTTCGTCCTTTCATATTCCACTTGGTGCAAAGAGAACAAAACATCATGGAGCTTGTTTCACCCTCCTCGTTTGCAACCTCAAAGTATTTTAGCCAGGGGCGACCTTGTTTCCAAGACAAGCTTGTGACCTGCATCTTTCTTCTTCTGAGTTGTTTGAGGAGCTGGTCCACTGGATGACAACCACTTGTCAATGTCATAGCAAACAAGTTCTGAATCTTCTACATCGGGTCTGAAATACACATACAAGTCAGTTTTATTTCCAGCCAAAATTTATTGTATTTTGTAATTTGGTAATAAGAAAACATCCTTTAAATATTAGGAAAATAAGAATAGTAAAAATACCTTGTACTAATGAAAGTACTTTTTCACACACAGAAAAAACAGTTCACACTTTTATTACATTTCAGTTGAGGATAAATTAGGGTAAAATATCAGATAAATATACACAAAAGTTTGGAACAATTATTTTTAATTTTGAAAATCTTTAAGACTAGATATGGAGACAGGTAAAAATTGTCTTTGTTCATTGCAGACACCTTATCCACCACAAAATCTACTAACTTCAAATTAAGTATATATAGAAAAATTAATTTAGTATTTCTACCGATATTTTAGAATATGAAAACTACATGTATGCAGTGCAAAAAATAAACTTAGATATGCGTTCAGAAATAGACATGTTTGATGTGGCTTCGATTCCTGCGTCTATTTAGGTGTGGAATTATTACCGGTAATTCAGTATATTTACAAAGAGTATTTAAAATTTCAACACATATACCCAGTGCAAATATTAACTATAGCAAACGAGAGGGTTTTGTGTTTATCTAGAAAATCGAAATGAGAAATACGTGCTTCCGAAAGATTTCTTTCAGAGCGAGGTCGACTGAACAAGGAGAAATTAAAAGTAAAAAAACATATTAGAATCTATTCACAATCGTAATATTAGAGAGGATAACAATCACCGGTGTGTTTTAAATACTTTAGACAAGCATTGAAAAGGAAAAGAAAAATATTCGGAATAATCTGAAGTGATCATGTCCGATATGGCTTCCCTTTGTTTCATTCGTTTTTATTTTCTACTCACAAAAAGACTAAAATGAGATATGGACGTAAAGTATTTACAGCAAAGATTCTTAAACATAACAGAGACGGAATGGGCATGTTTTATTAGCTACAAAGAGATCACATGAACCTAGATTATTGCTGGAAATGTTTTCTAATTTTGCCGCTATCGGTTCAAAATGGCGGAAGTCATTGTCAAGTCGTACCTGTTTGGCGCGAAGAAATCCACGAGTCGACGACACTTCCTTGCTTCAGCCTTCACAGCTTCTTCTCTTTTCCTCTTTGTTCTTTCTTTGGTTGGCATTGTGAATCAGAATGAAAACGAACAAAGTCGAAATGGCCTTGCACAAGAAAAACATCCGGGAAGGGAGCTAACTCCTGCCTTTGTTAAAATCCGGAAAATATTGGATTTTTCAAAGGGCAGATAATGCGGTGATTCAAAAGGGCACAGCGCTAAATGAAAAGGGCAGGGCGCTAAATAAAAAGGGCAGGGCGCTGAATAAAAAGGGCAGGGCGCTGCGCCCTGCCAAATATGCCTGGGGGAAACACTACAATTTCTCCAAAAATTAGAAAATGTGCATGAGTCATACACAAACGTCCTCCCGCTCTGGTACCCACTTATATTTTTCAAAACAAAACCAGGGATAGAGGCCAAGTGGTTACAGCACTGACTCATTACACTTGCTCTTGTTGATTTTATGAGCACAGTCAGTGTATCTGGTACTTTGTGTTAATGCCTTATAAGGATGAAAGTTGTTGATAACAATCACCATATTCCAGGCCGTTTCACCAAGCGCGGGGAATGAGGGACGGTGCTCGGAGGAGGAAGTGGATGAGGTAAGGGCAGACAGTTGTGGCACTTCATATTGCAGATGCACGATGATGATTTGAGACTCAGATAGTTAAATTATCTCATGTATAAGTAATTGCAACAATTTGTATGTGTGAAATGATACGTATTGATACAGTAAGGCCATTTTAGTATCATATCAATGAGTGTATATAGAATTCTGTAAGTGAATAGTTTCAGCCTTTTTATCCCCCGCCGCGCGTTTAATGTGAAACGGGGGATATAGTATTAGGCTCTGTCCGTACGGACGTATGTACAAACGAATTGGAATATCTTAAGAACCGTTGACTGGATTCTTATCATATTTGGTACCTAGGTTCATCTCAGTAAATGAAAGGTCCCAGTCAGGTTTGGTGACCTTGACCTTCATTTTAATGTCACAAGGGGACTTTAACGTTTTACCCTTGTCAGGGAGATATCTCACGAACCGTTCTCTGGATTTTCTTCATATTCAACACCACGCTTTATCTAGGGAAGGCGCAGGACCCAGTCGATTTTGGTTAAAGATTTCAGTATGTTAACCTGCATGTTAAGCTTGTCAGCGAGATATCTCAAGAGCCGTTCGCTGGATTTTCTTTATATTTAGCAACAAGCTTTATCTAGGGAAGGCGCAGGGTCCAGTCGATTTTGGTGACCTTCACCTATTTTTCAAGGTCATGGTGACACTTTGAAAATTTCAGCATGTTAAGCTGCATGTTAAGCTTGTCAGCAAGATATCTCAAAAAGCATTCACTGGACTTTCTTCATATTTGACACCAAGCTTTATCTAGGGAATGTGCAAGGTCCAGTCGATTTTGGTGATCTTCACATAATTTTCAAGGTCACAGAGACACTTTGAAGATTTCAGCATATTAAACTGCATGTTAAGATTGTCAGTGAAATATCTCATGAACAGTTCACTGGATTTTCTTCATAGACTTTCAAGACTTCCCTTGAATGTTTTTCAATAAGCAATTTCTTTATTACTATTTTTGCATATTTCATACACTAAGACATTTATGTCAATGTCAAAGTGGGTCTTGAAAATATTTGTGCGTTTGAACAACTACAGATCAAGATATTAAGAGAGGTTGACTAGTCATGTTTTTGTTGACGTTTAACTTCATCTTAAAATACGACCTTCACTTTCATTACTTTTTAAGTTTGATTTGATAATTTGCAGCGGAGGATTATGTCACCTTAGTGACAATGCTTGTTATTGGTGGTTTAGATTTTGTCTACAAGGAGACTAGCCATGATTTTCTTGTACATTTAGTCATAGTTATTTGTTCTTAAAATTGAAGTTGCAGTTGCTTCCCTTAGCAGTGTCAACAGCTGCTGGACATGAAATTCAGTCCTTTTTCCAGCAGTTTACCAGAAATCAAGGGATTCTGCAAAATACTAAACTTGTGCATCAGGTTTTCATATCCAAAATGATAATTTTTAAACTTATCCTATCTCACGACTTGCACCTCTCTCTCTTCATTCGACCATGAGTGGAAACGAATTAAAACTTTGCTCAAGACCTACCTTACCCCTCTCCCCGTGCTGTGCATGCCTTCCTGTCTCAGTCGTGCTCACTAGTCCATGACAGCACGAGGCATGCGCAGTCCTCACCCACGTGATCACCTCACATACTCATTCTCTTTCTTGTCGCTCCACTGAGTGGACGTGAAAAATTTTTCGTCTGAGAATTGCTCAAAATGGTTAAGCCTGTTAAGGCCAGTAAACGGAAGTTTTGCGCCCGTTGTAATAAAGTATTTTCAGCATGGGACCCTCACACATCGTGTGTTGATTGTGTGGGTGTTTGTGACTGGGACACACGCTGTCCGAAGTGTTCAGGTCTGTCTAATGAGGCGTTTAAATCTTACAAACGTGCTTGTGCCAGACGTTTGGCAGATAGGGCTAGGACTAATTCTGCGGGGTCTGGTCCATCTCCCGCTAAGAAACAATGCTTAGATCGCCCCACCCTCACTGCTCACCGTTCTCAATCGCCCGTCTCGCCTGACGAAGATTTTATGGACGCTTCGTCGGATTCCTATTTATCTGAGAACGTTAGAAGGCTTTTAGGGGAGCTTCCCTCACCCAGTTTACGTTCTCATGAGCGTACCAGGGTGGTAATGACCGATATTTCTTCTACGCCAGACCTGCGATCTACATTATCTCGTAGGTCTGTTTCTTCGGAACGATCACAGACTTCGAGAACTTCTAAGCATTCATCGTCGAAGTGGGGATCGGCACGGTTGGAACGTAACCGCTCTCCTAATTCCACGGTTTCATCTCACCGGAACAATTCACCCACACGAGTTGAGTCACCATCTGGTGCGAAGGTTCGAATGCGTCTTTCCACGGCTGGGAGGAGTCGTTCTAGGTCTCGTTCACTTTCCCGAGCCGGCTCACCCCGCCGAGCCGGCTCACCCTGCCGAACCAGCTCACCCTGCCGAACCGACTCACATGGCCGAGCCGGCTCACACAGCCGAGCCGGCTCACATAGCCGAACCGGCTCACCCTACCGAACCGGCTCACACGGCCGAGCCGGCTCACACAGCCGAGCTGGCTCACCAGGCCGAACCGGCTCACACGGCCGAGCAGGCTCACCAGAACATCCTCGAATGAGTTCAGTTGATCGAACTGATTCACGTAGTCGAATGGGTTCCTCTGGCCGTACTGTTTCACGTACTCAAATAGGTTCACCAGGACGAACCGGTTCACATTCCCGACTCAACTCACTTCAACAGGTGCTTCCGCTTTCGACTCACCACAGCGTTTTGATTCCCCGTGAGTCGCTCAGTCTCACCTAGTCGAAGTGGTTCGCCATTTCCATCCGGGTTCACCTAACCGCTTGGTGTCTTTCGCCAGAGGGATAATAGAAGTCGGTCTCATTCACCTCAGGGGAATCAGAATATCCCCTCTAGCCAGCCTAGTGCTAGTAACGTCTTACGGTCAGTGCCTTTACATGATAGTACACATCAGCAACGCCGTTCTGTACGGGTGGTTTCACCTGCTAGGCAGCGTTACGCTTCAGTGGATCAGCGTTCACCTTCACGCCTTTCCACTTCTATTTTGCCCCGGTCACAGATTATTGCTGAGTCTTGGAATCCTGCTATTGATTCCTCTCCAGCCGGATTTAGATACCATGCTTTGTGCCGTTACGCGGCTTGGAATCAGTGTCACTCGGCCCTCACATGTTCAACAATCGTCTGGCGTGCACTTAGCAATAATCGCTCTGGGGATTTGAGGGATCGGACTAGATCTCAGACTACTTTCCCTTCACCTGGGCAGTCAGACATCTCCACTCCTGATGGCAGTTTTGATGTTGTTGAACCGGCTCACATGCTAGCCTGGATAGTTGAAAAACTTCAGCTACCTCTTAGTAAATCTCCAGATGATTTGGCCACGTCTTATGCCATGACTAATAGAGATGTTGCCAGTATCACACTTCCTTTGCGTCCATGTCTTCAACAATTGCCTTCTTCTCTTGACGCGGCTTTCAACAAACTTAGAAGGACGAAGGATGGTTTGTCTGCTCCAAGGTTCCGACCATCCACGGCACATACTCATGGTGTGAAACTTTGGTCAGCGGCACCTTCAGTCGATGATGACATTTCCATGGTCTGTGGCAAGCGTTCCATTTCGCCGTATTTGGTGGAAGACAGGGAATTGGCTCACTTAGATACTATGGTTCGCCATGCTATCCCTGCCATTAGCTGCATTATTTCAGCTGTTGACGCTGTGGCGGAGGCGGTCAATCATGCATATACGGACCAGGACGCATACATCAGGGGTAGTATGACTCTGATTTTAGACCAATTCCAGGTGGTCTTCGAGCAATTGTCTCATTTTTTTGGCTATTTACTTGCAATACGGCGACGGGATCCGTTGAGTTTCTCCTCATGGGAAGATAGATTCAAGGCTGAATTATTTCGTCAACCATGGTCGGGGGATACGGTGTTCAGTGGGGCTATTGCTGAAATCGCATCCAAGGTGGACATCTTAACCAATTTCAAGTATCTGTTGATCTCTTGGAATTGCAAAAAAATTCAGCTCCAAGATTCTATATGGCATCGCCGAACCGCACAATTTACCCCTTCCAACTCAGACCTCCGGGAGTGTATGAAAGGCACGGCGCCTTCTCAAGCACGTGGCAGAGGCAGGAGGCCATTTCGTGGTTCCGCATCACGTCGCCCCTATCGACCCGACACTGGAACTGGACATAGACAATCCAAACAGTGACTCACGGAAGTCAGAGCTCGGATTGGTTCTGCCGGACCCGGTGGTTCCGGTGTTCGATTCCCCTGTAGGAGGGAGGTTAGGTCTGTTTGCTCCCAACTGGGAGTTTCTGGGAGATCCATTTGTCACAATGACTCTCATTCACGGCTATCGACTGCCTGTGGTCGGGGATCCACCCCCTCACCATTCAACCCTTGCAGCAAATATATCCTCTGGATCGGGCTGCAGTCCTTTCGACTACAATCCAAACTCTACTGGAGAAACATGCGATAGAACACCTAGATCAGGTGTGCATAACTCCAGGATTTTACTCCCCGATTTTTCTGGTGCCAAAGAAAAACTCCAGCAAGTTGCGTCTCATCTTCAATATGAAGACATTCAACGCTCGATTCCTGCAACAACCACCTCATTTTGCGCATGGTATCGGTCAGTCTTCTCCGCTCAATTCTGAAGAAAGGGGATTTCCTCATATCCCTCGATCTTCAAGACGCATACCTGCACATTCCGATTCACCCAGATCATCGGAAATATCTAAGGTTCACCTTCGGGGCCATCACTTCCAATGGAACGCCCTTCCATTTGGAATCTCTACGCCCCGTGGCTTTTACTCGGGTGACCAAACCCATCAGCAGTTTCCTACATTCTCGGGAGTGACCTTCGAAAGCTATATCGACGATTGTATTCAGGCACAACAGGATCCAAACGTTCTTCAAATCCATCGGGAGTTCACCATCAGGCTGCTCAAACAGTTAGGGTGGCTCCTCAATCACGGTGAAGTCGGAGTTAACACCGACTCGCAGACTTCAGTTCATAGGAGCAATCTTCGACACAGAACAAGCCAAGTTGTTTGTTCCCCAGGACAGGTGGACCAAAATTCAGCGCCTGGTTCCGCTTAGCCTTGGATCACCCCAGAACTCTACCCCAGTGGCAGGAGTTGCTACGCCTTAACGCCAGCTCAGGCTCTGACTTACAGAGGTCAACTGCAGCTTCAGCCCACTTCAGTTATTTCTGCGCCCTCATCTTCAAACCAACAACCCTCAGGTGTTGATTCGGTTACCCAGGGAACTACGCCCAATTCTGCGTTGGTGGCTCAGCGTACAGAATGTTTGCGCGGCGTCTCTTTGGTGCCCTTCAGTCCAACCCATCAGTTGTTTGTGGGCCTCTCTAGAAGGTTGGGGGCCATTTCCTTCAGCATCAAGTGGCAGGGCAGTGGTCGTCCGAAGACAAGTCACTCCACATAAACATTCTGGAGTTCAAGGCAGTATTACTGGCGATTCAGCACTGGGCAGCTCTTCTCAAGATGTCTCACCTGCTGATACAGTCCGACAACTCGACGGTAGTGTGGTACATCAATCATCTAGGGTCGACGGGTTCAGCAGCACTCCTACAGTGGATGTTTCGTTTCTATCTTCTGATAGATTCTCTCAACATCGTCACAAGAGCCAGGCACATTCCCGGAACAAAAAACGTGATTGCTGACGCTGTGTCTCGTTCCAGTCGCCCGTCGCCCACAGAGTGGCAACTCCTGCCCAAGATTTTTCGGACGATAATTTACCCGATCTCGACCGAGTGTCGACCTGTTTGCCACTCGGTTCAACTCCCAACTGCCGAGATTCGTATCTCCAATTCCAGATCCACTAGCTTGGGATCACGACGCCCTGGCCATTCCCTGGGACGGTCTCAACGCTTATGCGTTTCCACCTCCGGCTCTACTTCACAAGGTCATTCAGAAAATTCTGTTAACCAACAAAGTACAACTACTTTTGGTAGCCATTGTGGCCAGCGAAGTTGGTTCGCCGGCCTAAAAAAGTCTAGTCAGTCGAAGCAGCATTCCTCTTCCCGCATGGGACGACCTACTAGTTCATCCGCGACTCGGGCGTGTATCACGAGTCACCACAGACGCTCAATCTTCACGTGATGGCACATTTGCAGAAATCACTAATAGCCAAAGGTTATTCTCACAGAGTGGCCTCAGCTATCACTGCAGCTCATCGTGACGTCTACCCGTTCTTTGTATGACGATAAGTGGAAGAAATTTGAATGTTATTGTCGGGTCAGAGGGATCGCCCCTACTACTACCGCTTAGCCCCAGGTTGTTGGCGGAATATTTACAACATTTTGCGGGCTACAAGGAAACTCAATGGTTCCACTTTAGCCACCTACTTAGAGGCTCTTAATTCGGTCCTAGCCACGAGTTCTGCAATACGAAGGTTTCGACGGTACCGAACTGCAGTACTTACTTCGCTCTTTAAGCTAGCCGACCAATCCAGGAAATTTTCGGCCCACCAGCTTGGGACTTATCCGTGGTCCTGCGCCACTTAGTGTCCGAGCATTATGAACCCTTACAGGACAAGGAGTTTAAACAAGTTTCATTCAAGACCTTTTTCTTATTGCCTTGGCCACAGCGCACGTGATATCAGAACTGCATGCTCTAGATGTCAACCGTGTCCGTTTTGAACAGAGTAGACATGGCAAGGTATTTTTGGGATTGCGCTGGGATTTTGTTGCAAAAAAACAGTTGCCGGGTCAACCTGATCGTCTTTTTACAATCCCGCCTTTGTCTACCATATTGGGTCCAGCAGATGTCGAAGATCTGTCTCTTTGTCCAGTCAGAGCACTTCGCATTTACCTTAAAGCATCGCAAGAGCTACCGCCGTGGGCGTAAGAGACTATTTATACCCTTGTCTACGGCTTCCAAGGCAGAAGTTTCTCGCGACAACACTCTCATATTGGCTACGAGCTACAATACTACGAGCTACAATACTACGAGCCTACACTTTTGCCGGTTTGCCACCACCTACGGCAGTCAACCCTCATGAAACCAGGGCTTTGGCTTCTACTATGGCGTTGCATAGCAACTGCTCGTTAACTGCCATAATGGAGGGGTGTTTTTGGCGATATGACACGGTATTTTCGTCTCATTACCTCAGAGATGTGTCGGTGGCGGATATTCAAGGCCTTCATCAGTTTGGACCACTCGCCCTTGCCCAGCAGTTATCAGCGCACAACATCGCAGATAATGAACTTCCCTTGTGCTCGATGCTATATGGATCCCACTGTGCAGTTGATCCCGAAGTCGTGATCGCTTCTGCTTGTGTACAATCTGAATAAATCTGAAAAACTTTTTCTGATTTACGCCTTTATTTCTTCGGATTTAGATTTCTCCTCTCATTTGTTTGAGAATACAGAGAGTCGCCACCTCACTTACTGTCCTCTGCTCCACGGAGTAATTAAGTCAGTGAAGTGAGTCCTTCCCCGGCGTTACACTTCAGTAGCGCTCATGCTCCTAAGTGCCTATACACATCTATGTGATCTTACTGTGGTAAGTAGTGGAAGTCATAAGATGATGTTGTGGTACTGAACGCTAAAATTGTGAGTTTTACCGATTCAATTTCTCTTTCACCCTCCTCGGACGGTGTCTGTGGGGGTTGTTTCAAGCAGGGCTGGCCCGATACTAGTCGTTAGACTTTTATTACGGGGGTACCTTGGAAATCGTGGCGATGCGACTGATTACACTCGTTAAGCTACGTCCTTTCACTTAGTGAAGGTAGTGACTGAACACCACATTGCTCGGGAATCTCGGTCCCTGGGAGCAATTGTGCTTAGTAAGTCAATGGGTTCAACCTAACCCTCGCACGTAGTAACTTGGTAGTTATTGCCCTACCTTGTAGTTGCTTCCTACGGTTGTTTGGGCGTAACACTTAGCTGTTATCGCTTGAATTCCGGGTACTCTATGACCCACCTTCCTACCGTGGGATAAGTGCAAGTTGTGAGATAGGATAAGTTTAAAAATTTGAAAATTTTAACTATAAATTGTATATTTATATACTTATCCTATCTCACGCGATAAAGTCCCTCCCTACCTCCCCACTACATAGATTACCACCGTTCCGGTTTTGTCCTTTTATGGCTCCAAGATCGAGAATGAGTATGTGAGGTGATCACGTGGGTGAGGACTGCGCATGCCTCGTGCTGTCATGGACTAGTGAGCACGACTGAGACAGGAAGGCATGCACAGCACGGGGAGAGGGGCAAGGTAGGTCTTGAGCAAAGTTTTAATTCGTTTCCACTCATGGTCGAATGAAGAGAGAGAGGTGCAAGTCGTGAGATAGGATAAGTATATAAATATACAATTTATAGTTAAAATTTTCAAATTTAACTGTAATGCTGTTCAAAGCATGGTGTGGGGATTCAAGGTTAGAGTAGTTTCCCAGCAGCTAATGATCATAAGCCCGGGGTTGGAGGGGTAATTCTTGTTAATTGCATGTCAGGTTGTGGATCATTGATTGTTGGACCAGGCTACGTACAGGCTGCCATGATATAGCTGGAATGTTGCTGAGTATGCCATGTATGACAAACAGCTGAACTGTTCACAGCAGCTGAAGCCGAGCTTATCCCTGTTGTTTTGATGGCAGGAAATGTAAGCTAGAGACAGCTGGGCCATGGCTGCCATGTGACTCAGTGCCGCTGATGGACGTGTCTGTCCAGGTGGACCCAGTGACCTCATCCAGTGAACCTGTGGTTCTGTGGGCAGTTGGCACCAATGGAAATGTGTTGTCCAGGCTAGGGGTTACTATGGAAAATCCTCAGGTATGTAAGTTTTTTTAAGAATGGCTTGATGCATATTCTTTATTCCTACTGTGGCAGCAGTATCTGTTCAAAAGTACACCTATCCTAATGGTTTGAAGACATTACGTCATGTCAAAGACCTGTGTTTCATTCCCCACATGTTGTTCCTCTGGTGTTCAGGGAGACAGCTGGATCCACATAGCCACTGACCAGCCGTTTGAAGCCGTGTCTGTGGGAGGAACATACAGGGTGTGGGCCCTCGCAAGGGACGGATCAGCTTGGTACAGACCAGGGGTCACACAGTACAACATATCAGGTAGGTACTCAAGATTTCTACCTCCAAATAAATTGTCACGCCAAAGACCCGGGTTCGATTCCCCACATAGATATAATATGTGAAGCCCATTTCCGGTGTCCCTTGCCATGACATAGTAATTCTGGATAAAAAGGTGTCATGAATTTCTTTACTAGTACTGTGACACGTGATGATCTGGGTTAAGTGGTCTAATATGCTTGTCGTAAGAGGTGACTAATGGGATCGGGTGGTCAGTCTCGATGACTTGGTTGACACATGTCATCATATCCCAATTGCATAGATTGATGCTCATGACGTTGATCACTGGATTGTCTGGTCCAAACTCGATTATTTACAGACCGCTGAGTGCAGCGTAAACTAAACTGTAAATGTATATGTTAATCTGCTCACATTACCGTTTTCAACTATCTATCTGCTATCCATTGCTAAGTTTTCCCCTTGCTTCAGGCACCTGCTGGCTGCAAGTGGTGCCCCCTCCCCCTACTGGCTGTCTGCTGAGACACATCTCTGTGGGTGCAACTGCTGTCTGGGCTGTAGACACACAAGGTACGAGGTTTGAGAACACTCAGATATGTTTCTACAGTCATGAAACTGGCAGAATGTTTCTGATGATGTCAAGTCTTGCTTTTCCAGAATTGTGTTAAACATCAGTATCATTCTAGTTTTCATAACAAAAGTGAAACAAATAGCTTCTGCATTTGACAATTAAGAACTCTTAGTTTCATCTCGGACTTCAGCATACTGGCAGAACTAAAGCACTGACAATCATCTTGTTTTGAATAATGGATAATGTAGTCCTGTTGTCAGTAAGGTTTCACTTGATGGCAACAAAATATATCATTAACTGTATTAAAAACTGTTTCACGAACATATTTCTTCTGAATATGGGGGAAAGACAAATGACTTTTGAGAATAGTTTTCTATTGACATCAAAAGTAAGGAGGGACTAGCTACTTCATATTTCTCACCAAATATAGCCAGAAACATGGGCCACACAACTCAGGTCGGGATACAGTGGGGGCTGTACAGAATGGATAAAGGAATCTGCTTCTGACTTTTCAAAGATACTGTTTTGATGTGCATGTCTAAATCATATGGTGGGCACCAGAAAACTGTCCTGCTTTGTTTGGCCTACATTTATTATTTTTCCTTATCCTGACTCATGCTCTTTTGCTTGTCTTCTTCTTCTTGCGAACATAGTGGAACACTTGTATCTCCCTAATTGAAGCTCCCTTCAATGTAAAATCACTAATTAGTACTCACCAAGAGTTGCTTCCCTTTCCGAAATGCGCGGGAAAGGAGGCGCCACCTCTTCCCACATGCTTCACTCTCTCCTTCTTCGCCCAGTGAGCAGGATGTGAGAGCGCCTGTGTCTCCCTACACACTATATCCTTTGATTATTCTTATTTAGTTACCTCTTTTAGTCACCTATAGAGGTTTAGCTAGTATCCTTCAACATTATGTATTGATATTATTCGTATTTCTGCTGTTTATTCATGGGACGCCGTGATTGTTCAGTAGTTTACGGTGATGAAAATCTGTACTGTTTGCAGGTTACGTTTTTCTGCTGCTGATCCGCATTTAATATGCCCTAGCTGTACTGCACCATGTTCATTTTCTTCACGTTGCAGTTACTGTAATAATTTGTCTAATTCTGCTTTTAACAAATATTTACTTTGCGTTTTGAGACGCGCAGCAGATAGGTCACGTAAGCAGAGTCTAGCCATGGCTGATACATCTGAACCCCTCGCCAGTCAACTGCTGTCGGACGACCCCCTCCCGTCTGGTGTTCCGCTAGAGTTACCCTCGGAGGAGAGGCGTGGGACGCAGTCCGCCGTCTCCAAGAAGCGTCCTGCATCCCCAGACATCCCGTCATCGCAGCCGAAGACTAAGAGGGCTTCTACTTCAACTCAACGCAGACTCCGCACCCCCAGAGCAGCGTCTACCTCCAAGGGGAAATCGACGAAGTCTACAAGGACTTTCTCAGCTGAGATTGTTCCCGCCAAGAGAACTGGGCCTGTATGATGATCAGCCGATCATCATACCTGATGTGCATCACAAGAAACAACCGTGTCGGCAACAGTGACGCCAGCGCAGATCTACACGCAGCCTGATGTACCAACGCTGATGTCTGACGATCTTCCTGAGAGTCCCTGGCCGCTACCAACGCAGATAGGGCAGCAACTACATCTTCGCAGACCCGCCCCAGACGCACCTGGTTCTTCAGATTATGAAGATGATGGAAGACCGCCACGGACTGGAGAGACAACCAGCCCAGAGCCTGAGCCTTTGCGAAGGCTCCAACGACGCCACCCCAGAGGGACCCCCGTCAATGTAGCAGCTGCTACCAAGTCATCGCTGAGGAACCCACCTGCGCGAAGGACGTCACAGCCCATCTCTGCGAAGGACCCAGATGTTCAGCTTTAGCGAAGGCCTTCGCGAAGGACACCTAGATCGTCACCTACCTCGGACTCCGATGATCAACGCTCACGAAGAGGTTCGCGAAGGAAGATCCTCTCATCCCCGGACTCTGACTCTGACCCCCAGCCTTCGAGAAGGCCTCGCGAAGGTCAAGTCGTCACTCCCCAGGACCGGACTCAGATGAAGCTTCGCGAAGGTCTTCGTGAAGGGCACCAGTTACAGGCTCCAAGTCATCTTCGTCTAGAAGGTCATCGAGGGATTCCCCAAGAGCTTCGCGAAGCTATCATCGTTCACCACATAGATCTCCTCACAGGTCACCACATCGTTCACCTCACAAGTCTTCACGGAAGTCCCCAGACAGGTCTCCGTTGACTTCACCCTGCAGAGCTGTACTAGTATACAGGACTCCACCTCAGTCGCCATCGGAAGAGCATCAACCTCTTATCAGCGATCCCGTTACAGAAGATGATGGAGGCATCATATTCTCCGACGCAGAAATACGCTACTGGATGGTTAACAACCTGGACTTATCTTCACCTTCCAAGAATGGTAACCCGGCCCACACCTATCTCATGAGGGAGGACGACGCAGACACGATCACCCTACCTCCGATCGATCCGATAGCAGCGGTCCCACAGAATCTGGACACAGCCTTCCATAAAGCCACTAAAGCCCAGGCGCCGCACTTACCACAGTTCAACGCCAAAAAGTTCTCAGCCCATAATATGGACCCATTTTTCAAGGCACAAGAAATCGACGATAACTTCAAAGTCATCAACAATGCCAAGACTAAGACGTACAAGATAGACGACCGCAAGCTGGTTCAGATCGAAACCATGACAAGAAGAATGTTCTTCGGCCTTAACAGATCAAGAACGATTAATGAAACTCTCATCACCAGATTTCGAGATTCTACATCAGAAGACGACAGAGTGATATACTCGGCCCTCCTTATGCAGAAGAAGGACCAGCAGTTTTTAACGGATCATCTTACATCAGTCTCCGCAGCGCTAACTCTGGCTCGTCGTCAAGGTCTCCTCGCTTCCCGCAGTTGGGGTGAACAGTTCACATCTTCACTCTACACAGCCCCGTGGTCTACGCTGTCAATCTTCGCTGGAGGAATAGATAAAGTCTCTAAAGAAGTCACCAAGGATTCAAGGGAAGTCCTTATGATAAAGTCGATGGACACGCTAGCTAGCGTCATCAGGCAGACATCACAGAGATATTCAGGAAGATCAAAGTTTACTGGCTCACAGAAAGCACGGGACAGGAAGATGGCCGGTTCAAGAGGAGGAAAAGATTCTTTTCGACGCCCATACGGCAACTACGGGAGGATCTGCAAGAGGCAGGGCACCCAGAGGCTCCCGCAACTATAAACGATGAAAGACGGGTTCAGAACGACTGGAGTCTTCCACCCCCAGCCGTTCCAGTACAACCATCACAAGTGGGTGGACGCCTTCAACTGCACTGGGAGAACTGGGGAATTCCACAGGATCCATATGTCTCCAACATCCTACAACACGGATATCGAATCCAACTACAGGCCACGCCTCCGCTTACAGTCAACCCTCACAAGTTCGACTTCCAGGCTCAACAACTACCAAAGTTACGAGAAGCTGTTTCATCTCTCCTAACCAAGGAGGCCATAGAAGTACTGGATCAAGTAAACATTGAACCAGGCTTCTACTCCCCAGTTTTCCTAGTGCCCAAGAAAAACTCCAAGGAAAAGTTCCGACTCATCTACAACATGAGCACGTTCAACAGAGATTATCTACGCAAACCGCCAACGTTTCGCATGATACATCTACCTCAACTAATGCACCTAGTTCGTCCCATGGACTACATGGCCAGTATAGATCTGCAAGATGCTTATCTACATATCCCGATTCATCCCGAATCCAGGAAATACCTATGGTTTACACTAGACGGGCTGCATTACCAATGGAAAGTACTGCCATTTGGAATATCATCGGCCCCCTGGTTATTCACAAGAGTAACGAAACCTATCGTCACTTACCTACATCGTCTAGGGCTACGCAGTGCGTTCTACCTCGACGACAGGATTCAAGTAGATCAAGATCCACAGCGTCTCAAACTACAGTTAAACTTCATCATCAAGCTACTAACACAGCTAGGATGGTTAGTAAATCTACTCAAGTCGGACCTAGAACCTACGCAAGATCTGCAATTTCTAGGCATTCGATTTATCATGACACAGAACCGTATCGTCGTACCAGAGGACCGATGGCTCAAGATCCAACAGACCATCCCACAAGCCTTACTCTCTCCGCTACCACTACGACAATGGCAGAGTCTGTTGGGTCTCCTCACGTCAGCCCAAGACATGACAGTCAGAGGCAGACTACAGCTACGTCCGTTACAGGTCCTCATCAACGCTCATCTCGACGACCTACAACCATTCAGTCTACCGAAGCACATCAGACCTCATCTACTATGGTGGACCAGGAGGTCGAATGTCTGCGAAGGCATCTATTTAACAGAGCCGGAATTCAAAACCCATCTCTATGTAGACGCGTCGCTCCAAGGTTGGGGAGCTCATCTCGCCGACCGGACGGCATCAGGGTTATGGAACCAGCAAGAGAGCAAGCTGCACATAAACATGCTAGAAATGAAAGCAGTAATCAACGCCCTACTACATTGGAGCACCATTCTACAGAATGCGCCATCTAATGATACACACCGACAACTCAACAGTGGTGTTTTATATAAACAAACAAGGCTCAACGAGATCATTTACCCTATTGACTCTATGCTTTCAACTGTTCGATCTAATCGACGATCTCAACATACATGTCAGAGCATGTGACATTCCTGGAGCCAAGAATGTACTAGCAGACGCACTCTCTCGGCCACATCTACCGTCACAGACAGAATGGATGCTCCATACAGAAATCTTTGCACAGATTATCAAGGAAATAGGAGCTCCGCTAGTAGACCTATTCGCCACTCGCTTCAACAATCAGCTAACAACATTTCAGATCACCAGTCCCGATCCACAAGCTGGGCAACGGACGCACTAAGCATATCCTGGGAAGGCCTCAACGCCAAGACACGTTTCGCCGCCAGCTTAATTCCAAAGGTGTTACAGAAAATCAGACAAACTCAGAGCCTCCAACTGATTTTGGTCGCGCCCTACTGGCCAGTGAGAACGTGGTTTCCCATTCTAATTCAAGAAATCGGACAACCAATACTACAACTACCAAAGCGCTCGAATCTACTAGTACATCCTCACAGCAAACAAGCGCACAGAAACCCAGAAGCATTCCAACTTCACGTATGGACTGTATTAAAGTGTGTCTAAACAAGAGAGGTTATTCAGCCAGAGCGGCGAAAGCAGTCACGCTTGCTTTACGATTAATTCTACGCCGCTAACTTGTATGACGACAAGTGGCACAGTTTTGAGACATACGCTGTTAAAAAAGGATTTACAGCTAGAAATGCTACACATCCACAAGTGGCTGACTACCTTTGTTACCTACGACAAACTAAACGTCTAAAAGGCTCGACATTGTCAACATATCTCGCAGCTCTAAGTTCAGTGATAACTATGAGAACGGGTGTCAAGTTAACTAAGACGCCCGAGTTACTGGCCTTGCTACGTTCATTCAGATTGGAGGATCAGAAACAGAGATTTCGCGCTCCAGCATGGGATCTAACTGTAGTGCTCCAACACCTCACAAGTGAGGCCTATGAACCACTGGAATCAACATCGTTTGAATTTCTGACACAGAAAACATTGTTCCTGTTATCCCTAGCAACGGCAGCCAGGATGTCAGAAATTCACGCTCTAGATTATGAGAGAACACGTTTCGATGACAATCAAAACATAGTGCATATGGGACTGCGATGGGACTTTATCGCCAAGAATCAATTGCCAGGTCAACCAGACAGATTATTCCATGTCCCTGCACTTTCTTCAATTCTCGGACCTCATGATATGCTTGACCTATCATTATGCCCAGTGAGAGCACTCAAAATCTATCTACAACGATCCAAAACGAGGCGACGACAACTCAAGCGGTTATTCATCCCTCTATCGACAGCGACTCAGACCGAAGTCTCTCGTACCACGATATCGATATGGATCAGAACTGTCATACTTCGTGCCTACAAGGCTGCAGGACTCGACCCTCCAAGAGCATCTAATCCCCATGAAATCAGAGCACTGGCTTCGACACTCGCTCTACACGGAAATTGCTCGTTGAATACCATTATGGAGGGCTGCTTTTGGAAATCCGACATGTTGTGTGCTAACCACTATCTGAGAGATATCACCACCAAGGACGTCTCAGGTATTCACCATTTCAGTCCCATGGTCCTCGCACAGCAGTTGACAGTCCCTCGTAGACGATGAGACATAGTCTCACGAGATTATTCTGTATATATCATACCAGTATTATCTAGCTTATAACTCTACGGAGTTTTGTGCTAATTATATACATATCTTAAGTCTACATTAGTCTTAAGCCCAGTACTGATGTTCCACTTTGGAGTCGCTTTTATACTATTATTATTATTATCATAGTATCTAAATATTGTAGTACCCCCATCTATGGCAGCTGGTAGAACTTATGTATTATAACAGCAGGAATTATCTTAATTACAGTGCCATTATGAAGTTCCCGTAGGGGGTTATTACATATATAAATCACTAATTATTTAAATCCAAAGTATTCTGTTTCCCACCTCCGTTTCCGTAGGATTCTACAAGCAAAAGAGCATGAGTCAGGATAAGGAAAAATATGTAATTTTCTGAATAAAGTTGATATTTTATACTTATCCTGACTCATGAGGTAAGCCCTCCCATCCTCCCCACATAACACTTTGGATTTCCCTGTAAATTCAAGTGTTGGGCTCGTTAAACAGGAGAGAGTGAAGCATGTGGGAAGAGGTGGCGCCTCCTTTCCCGCGCATTTCGGAAAAGGAAGCAACTCTTGGTGAGTACTAATTAGTGATTTTACATTGAAGGGAGCTTCAATTAGGGAGATACAAGTGTTCCACTATGTTCGCAAGAAGAAGAAGACAAGCAAAAGAGCATGAGTCAGGATAAGTATAAAATATCAATTTTATTCAGAAAATTACATAATCAGAATGAAAATTAGTTTCTAAAAACATTTTTTCCCTGACCCTTGCTATATGAGCTAGAGACTTTAAAATGCACTGGTACAGAAATATATAGGTAACGTGGTATCTGACTTGGCTTGTGTTTCAGGTAACTTGTGGTACCGGCATGAGATTACAGAAACATTCCCCGAGGGCACCAGATGGGGGCATGTGTGTAGGAGTGTCAAGTCCGTGTCCGCAGGACCTCAAGACCAGGTACAACACCTGCCTTCTTATGTTGCATCGATACAGCACCACAAAACACCATCATCAACACAATCAAGTTTGTTCGGCAGAAAATCAATGTGATAATCTACATGATGCAATACACGAAGCATCAAAATTGATGTCCAGTGCAGTTCTCTAATCTGACATGGACCACATGATCCTGTGTACGATTGCGTTCTGAGCATTCATTGTGGATGAGTACCGCCAGTTGGGCATGATAGCTACTCCTTTTCACAAAACCCTGGCTTCATCGCTGTTTGATAGTGATATGTATACACATGCATGTTATATAGTCCAAATTGTACTGGACTCTGCATTTAGATTTCTTTTGAACACAGAAACAGTTTTGTCACTTTTATTTATGGGCACCTTCAAAGCATAATACCTCATACACCATGTTTATGTTGGAGTGATCTGTGATCAGCATTGCCAGTTTCCTGAGACTACAGTGTCAGTCTGTTGATATCTGATGCCATGTGTAGGTGTGGATCGTTGCTGATAGTAACTTCATGAAGAACAAGCGAGGTCCTGGTGTGATATATCGACGTGTTGGTATCAGCGATGCCTGTCTGACTGGGACCAGCTGGGAGATAGTGATCGGGGGTATGTTTTTATATGTGTGTTGTGTCCGTGATGGATGTGCGCCCATATCTTATCTGTAAACACCACACAGCTTAGATGCCATCCTGTGAAGATTGCGTTTTAGTATTGGTCCCATCCGGGATTCGAACCCACACCCTCGCGAGCACACAAAGGCAGACGCCTAACCCGCTCAGCCACCACGGCTTCCACAAAAATAGAAATCGGACAACTGGTAGTCTGGACCATGGTCTTTATGTACCCCTGAATCTGAGAGTGTGGGTTCGAATCCCGGATGGGACTCAAACCAGCAAAAGTACTAGAATCTGTACTTTGCTGAGAAAGTGTACTCCCAAATATAACATGTGTAACAGACTACCTACTTGCTGATGTGAAGACTGGAACCATTGTAACTGTATTTCTTGTTTTCAGAGTGGCTGGGAGTATGTGTCAGTCCGAGGGCAGCTGGAGCCGGAGGAGGAACCAGCAGACCTTCCCATCAAGGAGCCCTTGTAAGACCTGATTACAGTGGCTGCTGCTCTGTGCAATACTAGGGAATGGCGTGGCTCAGTGTATGTCTTACCAGTATACTCATGGAAATAAGTTAGGGAACTAACACCATTCATGAATCATATTGTGTCTTGTTTAGTCAAACTGCTTCATATTTTAACTGTCTGCTCAGAAAAAAGAATATGTCCTGTGAAATGTTGTTTTAAGTTTGTACATAATCTGTATTCATCTCAGGGTTTATGCATCAAAAACATGTTTTACTCTATGACCTTATTTCTTTCCTTCAGTATATATATGGACCACTATAGCTGATCCTGTGTATTATGGGTACATATGTGCAAATACCATGGACCAAAATCATGAAGCAATCAAACTGCATCTTCTGAATGACAGTTTTTCAAAGATCTACAGTGAATTATGTTTGTAGTTGACACATTGTATAGTGAATTGATGGATACACTGAATGGGTTTGTGGTAACAGCCATTTGTGTATATTTTATCATCTAAAACTGATGGACACAGTTAACACACTTTAACAAACTCGTTGATATTCCCTTTATGGTCCTGTGTGTAATCTGTCAACAACAGTGGTTATGTTGATAGTGCACATTGTTGTTATTTATTGAGTCACATGACTTGATCAAAGATGTCTGTCAGTCAAAATGCATATAATGAACTATGGTTATAACAATCTGCAATCCATAGTTCATGAACTATGGTTATAACAATCTACAATTGATAGTTGATGAACTATGGTTATAACAATCTACAATCCATAGTTCATGAACTATGGTTATAACAATCTACAATTGATAGTTGATGAACTATGGTTATAACAATCTGCAATCCATAGTTCATGAACTATGGTTATAACAATCTACAATTGATAGTTGATGAACTATGGTTATAACAATCTGCAATCCATAGTTCATGAACTATGGTTATAACAATCTACAATCCATAGTTCATAAACTATGGTTATAACAATCTACAATCCATAGTTCATGAACTATGGTTATAACAGTCTACAATTGATAGTTGATGAACTATGGTTATAACAATCTACAATTGATAGTTGATGAACTATGGTTATAACAATCTACAATCCATAGTTCATGAACTATGGTTATAACAATCTACAATTGATAGTTGATGAACTATGGTTATAACAATCTACAATTGATAGTTGATGAACTATGGTTATAACAATCTACAATCCATAGTTCATGAACTATGGTTATAACAATCTACAATTGATAGTTCATGAACTATGGTTATAACAATCTACAATTGATAGTTGATGAACTATGGTTATAACAATCTACAATTGATAGTTGATGAACTATGGTTATAACAATCTACAATTGATAGTTGATGAACTATGGTTATAACAATCTGCAATTGATAGTTCATGAACTATGGTTATAACAATCTACAATTGATAGTTGATGAACTATGGTTATAACAATCTGCAATCCATAGTTCATGAACTATGGTTATAACAATCTACAATTGATAGTTGATGAACTATGGATGAACTATGGTTATAACAATCTGCAATCCATAGTTGATGAACTATGGTTATAACAATCTACAATTGATAGTTGATGAACTATGGTTATAACAATCTACAATTGATAGTTGATGAACTATGGTTATAACAATCTACAATCGATAGTTCATGAACTATGGTTATAACAATCTACAATCGATAGTTAATGAACTATGGTTATAACAATCTACAATCGATAGTTAATGAACTGTGGTTATTACAATCTACAATCGATAGTCCCTGTGAATTTGATATGACCATAGTTTTCATGTGTATTCAAAATGTGTTGTACAAGCCAGTCTTCAATGTTATTAACTGAGTAAGACTGTTAAGAATGTATTTTGTTTGGGAAAGCTGCTTTCCTGAGAATTAAGACAGGAGGGGTGAGGCTCTCATTTTCAGTTGTATGGCGGTTGTAGACCAGCCACTTATTTTGGAGAACAGCATATATGTCAGTCTTTGAACAGGAACGCCAGCCATCACAGTTTAGGGTTAATGATTACACTATTACACTTTTCCTTTCCAGATTATGATTTTTGACATCAATCTCAGGGATTTATTTACACACATCAAGTATCATGAAATATACTGGAAACCTTAGACCTTTCCTATGCCAGTATATGGTACAGGGAGTTGGGTGCTAGACACTTCAATTACAGAACATAATTTTGATTACCAAAGTTAGATTGATGTCACTGATGAGGTTTTGCACGGCATTATGGAACTTCAAATTTCAAGTACTGATCAATGTCGATGTCTATTTTGTCAATGTTAATGGATATAATCATCAAGGTTTAATCATTGTGAACCATTCACAGGCCAGTGGGCATTTTCTCCCAAGTTCCCAAACAGTGGCAGAGTTGTGTGCTATTACATTACCAAGGGACTGTTCATAATATGGCTAGGGGGTATGATTCACACACACGTCCTGCACGCACGCACGCACCCACACACACACACACACACACACACACCACACCACACACACACACACACACACACCACACCACACCACACCACCCACCACCACCACCACCATATTTCTATTATATTTCTGTGTACAAAATTGCTACCTTGCCCAGAACAAAATAGGTGAACAACCCCCCTGCACCCCAAGTCATCGACCCCACCCACTACCCACACCACACCCCTCTTGGCCTAACGAAAATGTTGAACCAAAAACCTACATCATTGTACAATTATTTATTTTTTTCACACAAAAAATTACACATTTTTACCCCACTGATTAACCAAAGCTGTGATGAGTGTTGGCATTTCTGAAGTTTCCGAGTCAAACCTTGCTTAAAGTGAAGCTATGGAGGTGAATGGTACAACAGTGTGTATCCTTATGTAATGGAGACACACCACACTTGACACATAAGGATGCATGTTTGTGTACCTGCTGAGGACATGATGACATTTGACATTACTTGTCCACATAGTGTAGTAGTTGATGTGACCGTTTGATATTGTGCAACCTCTTGCTTGTATTACACTGTCCAGCTGTCAGCCTCGAGATATTTGTAATGACTTCAGTGCTACAACACCCATGTGTTGTTATTACTTGCCCGAGTAGGATACTGCAGTGTAATATTTTTACGGCAATATTACACTAGTGTAATACCGCTAGATCTATGACGTCATAATGGTTTACAGTTATGACGTCACAATACTAATACTTCTGTCACAATATGCTGTCAGAGCTTGCTTGACTCGCGGAGAACTGTGAGTCATCAGAATGTAGGCAGTTTCGCTGCAGTTTCTTTCAATTTATGTCGGAGAGTAATAAACAGAATACTAAACTTGCTTCCGTGAAATACCATTTTGATTAAGCTCGTGAAAGATTTAGTAACCAAATCATTAACTCGTTCAATAGAAATGGTATTACACGGAAGGTTGTTTAGTATCATCTATTTACATGACATGGGTTGTAGTTCCTGGTAGTGGAAACAATGGCACTTCCTGTTTATCTTAAGGGAACTGTATGTTATGCTTAAAGGATATCCCCAGTTACACCTGCTGTTAATGTATATTGTTGACAACACCTGTGTCATGGTGTCACAGTGCTGAAGCTTCCCCAAACCCACACACACTGGACGTAGCTCACCTGGTGAAGGAGGAACTTTTTATGTCGTCATCAATGTCATGGCCCACATGGAGTTATTATTGCAGTTCATTATGAATTATATCTGGTCATATGTTCTACTGTTCAGCTGATGTGTACAGCTGGGTGGGTAATGAGTTGGACCTGGACCCGTCTCAATACCCGAACCCATTATGATCAATATTTAGACATAATTTACAGTCACTTCTTTAGAATATAATACATGGTTAAGATATTGAAAAACCCGAACTTTTAGCTTCCAAGCTAAGGAACAAAGAGTCGAGCACCGTTGTCTCGATATTCATGGGACCAAGAAAAAATATTGAGTTATCCGAACTTCGAGACATCCGACAAGGGCATATCATCACATATCCCTATGAAAGAAAACAAAACGTTTCCAAGTATGTTTTGATTCGAAACTATAATGCGTTATCAGTAGTGTTTAGTCGTAACAGTGAGTACTTCCTAATTAATTCCTTCTTAGTTAATCCTAGTTAAATAACAAACAAGTGACACCATCCACTCAGTTAGCCCTAATTTGTTTACACGACCGCATCTCTTTGATTCATGCCGCACCGTATGTAAACGTGTGGAAACAACCTGAGTTCAGAGGGATACTTGCCCATGAAAGGTAGGTGAATATCGAGTTTCTTTGCAAATATCGAGTTAAAAGGGTAAGTTTGCTTGTTGGGACCATGAAATTATATCGAGATATCCGAAATATCAAGAAATCCGTATCAAGTTAAGAGAGCTTGAATACTGATAAATTATGAAGGATTTTGCCGGGACCGAGATGTTATATCAAGACAACTGAGATATCGAGTTATCAGAGTTCGACACAACAGTGCTCAACTGTATTGCCATTTCTTGCAAATTTGATGTCAGGAATTAACATAATGGGTATCCGGGTAGGGTAGGGTAATAGGGGGTGGGGTACCCAGGTAGAAAATTTGGACCCGCCCCAGCCCTACCACTAGATAATGGTAACTGACCATTTACCAAGATTTCACAGTCTCAGTGCCACCAGCAGGTATAAGCAAACCGTATAGACCTCCCAATGCTATTACATTCCATGTTCACAGGTGAGCCACTATAGCTGATATCTGACACACAGAAAACTGGTATATGTATCAACAATGTGGCTACCAACATATTGTTGTCTTTGTGTCAAGGACCGTGTTTATTCCATGTATTACTGGTTATTATAGTATTTGTCTGATTTGCTGAAAGACTGCACACAATATATCGGTGGTGCATGAATTTGTGTACATTCGGGGTTGAATGGTACAAATAATAATTTTGACCCAATATGGAGCACAGAATATTGTATAAATATTGTATGTGGGACATATTGTATTATACCGGTAATACCTACAGTCCTTTGTTTCATTACAATGCCTTCAGTGGAACATTACACAATTAAGCACATGTTATTGGAAATTGGTGTTTTGTTTTAAACAGTGTTTTTTTTATTGTTTCTTACATTTATGACTGACAGATAAGAACGCTAGATATACATCTACCAGATTTATGAAACAAATAAGTTTGTATTGCTATGGAAAATCTTTCTAGTCCCAGACTCACTGTACTTATTTAAAGCTGTGTTGTTGACATTTTAATCAGTATGTATATATTTTCTATGCTTTCCCTGTCCATTGTCCATATGCTATATCAAAGTGCAAGATTTGTCAAATTTTATCAGACTATAATGCCAATCGCCATAATATATTTTAGTTGATCTTTTTGCAATTAGTACTTTTATACATTCTGTTACAGGAAATGTTGCCACTGCAGACAAATAAAATGGTTTTTGACATGTCTTGTGTTGTAAATGAATCTTGCATCACCTCACTGTGGATGAAACACTTGACATCAAGTCAGGATCAGACAAACTTCAGCTGTGGATCACAACTAACTCCTCACAGCTGACACTATTTGTGGCACCCTATACAAACAGGCCCTCTTGTCCCTACAATGACTTTGCTGAAAACAAGGCAAATGCCATGACTGTGAAAGACCCACGATTATCGAAGGAGCAAATCTGGGATTTGAACCCTCAGATTCTGGAAGCTCAAAGACATGGCGCCATACAAGACTTTCCATTCCTCCCACCCCTTGGTAACCAGTACCTTCGTATAACCCATCTACAGGGACCACAGGTTAGTCCTTGTCCAGTGATGTTGCAGGCAGACTCTAACATCTATTAAGTCCTGATACTCACTGTTTGTCTTCCCTTGTAGATTCAAGGGCAGAGCAGATACCCAGTATCATTGTCTTCTTTGGAGAAGGGCACAGTAGGTTCCTGGTACCCAGTGCTTGTCTCACCCACAGTGTTTCAAAAGCAGATTAGGTTCTGTATACCCAATAACAGTATCTGTGAGGACTGACACAAAGTAGGTACCCTGCAGCAAATGAGTGTGAAGATCGGGGTTAGAATTGTTCTTCAGCAACCCATGCTTGTCGAAAGGGACGACTAACGGGAATGGGTGGTCAGGCTTGCTGACTTGGGTGACACATCTCATCGTATCCAAATTGCATAGAACGATGTTCATGCTGTTGATCACTGGTATGTCAGGTCCAGACTCAATGATCATTTACAGACCACCGTCATATTGCTGGAGTATTGCTGAGTGCTGCGTTAAACAACAACCCACCATATCCCAGTATGCAGTGGTTGTCTGTCCACAGATTCATGGGCAGTGTACCCCAGTATGCAGTGGTTGTCTGTCCACAGATTCATGGGCAGTTCGCTGAAGTTCGCTTCTACACATGGCTACAACGTGTTAAGCCCTTGTCCGTTGTTATATTGTTGGAATGTTGCTAGAAAATGCACAAAACCTTACTAAATAAATCACTCCCACTTAGATTCAGCGGTAGAATAGCTTCCCAGTATCCAGGAAGTGTTTCCAGTGGTTGAAGCCGACTAAAATGGAGATACACTGGTCATACTGAGACTAAAATGGGGATACACTGGTCATACTGAGACTAAATGGGGATACACTGGTCATACTGTGACTAAAATGGGGATACACTGGTCATACTGAGACTAAAATGGGGATACACTGGTCATACTGAGACTAAAATGGGGATACACTGGTCATACTGTGACTAAAAAATGGGGATAAAACACTGGTCATACTGTGACTAAAATGGGGATACACTGGTCATACTGTGACTAAAATGGGGATACACTGGTCATACTGTGACTAAAATGGGGATACACTGGTCATACTGTGACTAAAATGGGGATACACTGGTCATACTGTGACTAAAATGGGGATACACTGGTCATACTGTGACTAAAATGGGGATACACTGGTCATACTGAGACTAAAATGGGGATACACTGGTCATACTGTGACTAAAATGGGGATACACTGGTCATACTGTGACTAAAATGGGGATACACTGGTCATACTGTGACTAAAATGGGGATACACTGGTCATACTGTGACTAAAATGGGGATACACTGGTCATACTGTGACTAAAATGGGGATACACTGGTCATACTGTGACTAAAAATGGGATACACTGGTCATAATTGAGACTAAAATGGGGATACACTGGTCATACTGAGACTAAAATGGGGATACACTGGTCATACTGAGACTAAAATGGGGATACACTGGTCATACTGTGACTAAAATGGGGATACACTGGTCATACTGTGACTAAAATGGGGATACACTGGTCATACTGAGACTAAAATGGGGATACACTGGTCATATACTGTGACTAAAATGGGGATACACTGGTCATACTGTGACTAAAATGGGGATACACTGGTCATACTGTGACTAAAATGGGGATACACTGGTCATACTGTGACTAAAATGGGGATACATGGGGGTCACTGGTCATACTGTGACTAAAATGGGGATACACTGGTCATACTGTGACTAAAATGGGGATACACTGGTCATACTGAGACTAAAATGGGGATACACTGGTCATACTGTGACTAAAATGGGGATACACTGGTCATACTGAGACTAAAATGGGGATACACTGGTCATACTGTGACTAAAATGGGGATACACTGGTCATACTGTCATAGACTAAAATGGGGATACACTGGTCATACTGTGACTAAAATGGGGATACACTGGTCATACTGTGACTAAAATGGGGATACACTGGTCATACTGTGACTAAAATGGGGATACACTGGTCATACTGTGACTAAAATGGGGATACACTGGTCATACTGAGACTAAAATGGGGATACACTGGTCATACTGAGACTAAAATGGGGATACACTGGTCATACTGTGATACAAAATGGGGATACACTGGTCATACTGTGACTAAATGGGGATACACTGGTCATATTGAGAGACTACAAAATGACTAAAAATGAGGATACACTGGTCATACTGAGACTAAAATGGGGATACACTGGTCATACTGAGACTAAAATGGGGATACACTGGTCATACTGTGACTAAAATGGGGATACACTGGTCATACTGAGACTAAAATGGGGATACACTGGTCATACTGAGACTAAAATGGGGATACACTGGTCATACTGTGACTAAAATGGGGATACACTGGTCATATACTGAGACTAAAATGGGGATACACTGGTCATACTGTGACTAAAATGGGGATACACTGGTCATACTGAGACTAAAATGGGGATACACTGGTCATACTGTGACTAAAATGGGGATACACTGGTCATACTGAGACTAAAATGGGGATACACTGGTCATACTGTGACTAAAATGGGGATACACTGGTCATACTGTGACTAAAATGGGGATACACTGGTCATACTGTGACTAAAATGGGGATACACTGGTCATACTGTGACTAAAATGGGGATACACTGGTCATACTGTGACTAAAATGGGGATACACTGGTCATACTGAGACTAAAATGGGGGATACACTGGTCATACTGAGACTAAAATGGGGATACACTGGTCATACTGTGACTAAAATGGGGATACACTGGTCATACTGAGACTAAAATGGGGATACACTGGTCATACTGAGACTAAAATGGGGATACACTGGTCATACTGTGACTAAAATGGGGATACACTGGTCATACTGTGACTAAAATGGGGATACACTGGTCATACTGTGACTAAAATGGGATACACTGGTCATACTGACTAAAATGGGGACTAAAATGGGGATACACTGGTCATACTGTGACTAAAATGGGGATACACTGGTCATACTGAGACTAAAATGGGGATACACTGGTCATACTGTGACTAAAATGGGGATACACTGGTCATACTGAGACTAAAATGGGGATACACTGGTCATACTGAGACTAAAATGGGGATACACTGGTCATACTGTGACTAAAATGGGGATACGCTGGTCATACTGTGTAATTGAGACTAAAATGGGGATACACTGGTCATACTGAGACTAAAATGGGGATACACTGGTCATACTGTGACTAAAATGGGGATACACTGGTCATACTGTGACTAAAATGGGGATACACTGGTCATACTGTGACTAAAATGGGGATACACTGGTCATACTGTGACTAAAATGGGGATACACTGGTCATACTGAGACTAAAATGGGGATACACTGGTCATACTGAGACTAAAATGGGGATACACTGGTCATACTGTGACTAAAATGGGGATACACTGGTCATACTGTGACTAAAATGGGGATACACTGGTCATACTGTGACTTCACTTACGGTTGTTGCTCATGCTGTTAACCCCTGGTTCGCCCAGACCTCGACCAAGCCCACATGATAAGGGTGGAGACTACGGAGTGAAACAACATCAGATGGATTCACTGAAGTTAAGAATGACACTTTATATTAGTTCCTGATTGGTATGTATGCAGGCGTTCATATTAATTAAATTTAATTCGGTATTAAAACCAACAAAGTATTTTTCATTCACTATGCAACTTTATTTACAGCTTACCATAAAAACAGAAATAAAGAATGAGTTAAAAAATGCCCGTTTTTTTGTCAATTATTCACGCCCACATTAAAAGGAACCCACAGTTCTGTTTATACACACGGACATTGACGGAACTATTGCATGGCTTTACATTCGTGTGAATGTTTAATAATTTTCATAAGGAAACGTGTCTCCGCTAACCCACACCGTATGGTGTAGGAACGTGTAATAGTCCACCTGGACTGACACGTGCCAAAATCTCGAAAAATATAAATATTTTTTAATCAAACGTTTAATAAAACACGTTGTAGAATGTTGTTATGTCTCCTGTGCGCATGCTCGTGTTAAGCTAATTAAATAGCCTGTTATGAGAAGTAGTAAACTACAGGACAAACACATGCCGCAAAGTGCAGGTCTCCGTATACATCATCGTCGTCGTCAGCATTTTCTCAAAACGTGCGCGTCACTCCCACGAAACCATGTCGCTTTGAACCATGCATTATATAACCGACATACAGGGCACCGCGGTTTTCCATCTATATGTATATCGCTTAAACTCTCAACATAAAAGTAGTAGAACCTGTACTTGACTGAGAAAGTGTAATCCCAAATATAACATGTGTTATATGTATGTCACAATATAAGTAGGAACCACAGAGAGTTCTTGAATATTTCACCCAAGTCTGACAGTAATGTTATATAGTCGTCTCGTGAAAAGGAAATCGCGGGGTTTACCTATACTTGGTCATGGGCAACAGTTACATGTACGTTCGACAGAAAGGAATTATAAAGTAATTCACGCTCCATGCAAATCTCGACAAAATTCAAACTGATCTGTTGTAAACATACTCAATGCCTGTGTGAACGTCACAATTGAGTCAGTACCAACAATCTGCTTCGTCCCTGAACGCGAACTGTTGAAGCCGCGTAGTGTTGACTCACGTACAGAAATTGATCGTGACTCGTCCATGCATGTGGAAATATCTGTCCATTCAGGTGAATCGGGCCAACAGAAATGTTCCTAGACTCAGGTTCTATGAATACCCATGATGTGGGTGCTACATTAACACACTGACGCTGGTAATGTGTTGATCCCCCCTACATTTAGTGGCTATAGGACCTAAACAGGAAGCGTTATCAGAAGAGGAAGTGTTTGGATTTACCGCAGGTACCGTGGTTTCTGTCAGATATCGTGTTATTGGTTGTAGTATATTTGATCAAACTAAACTGTATGAGATGTTTCTCTACTCTCAGACACAACATATGAAACATTTATCGGAAGGGTGTATATTCCACAGTGAACTGGCCGTAGTTCCAGGTCGTGTATGCACTACGTCCAAGCCAGTGTGAGTGGCGCTATTTCTAGATTTTTAGAACAACTTCCAAGTGCCAGCACATAGGTTATTTTGTCTATTTTTTAAACACAACGGTATTCGTCGTATGAAAGATGTTTATTATATGTGGTAAATACCAGATACATGCTGGGTCCAGGGCAATTTTCTTTATCATCAGTATTATAATATAATGGAAATATGAATATCTATGATTTTTCTTACATTGGTCATTATAGTTATTCTACTCTCTCCCTCTCTCTGTCTCTCCCTCTCTCTCTGTTTGTGTATGTCTGTCTCTCTGTGTCTCTCTCTATCTGTCTCTAATTGTGTGTCGGTGTATGTTTCTCTATGTGTGTGTCTCCCTCTCTATCTGTCTCTAATTGTGTGTCGGTCTATGCTACTCTATGTGTGTGTGCCTCTCTCTATCTGTTTCTAATTGTGTGTCGGTCTATTTGTCTCTGTGTGTGTGTCTCTCACTATCTGTCTCTAATTGTGTCGGTCTATTTGTCTGTGTGTGTGTGTCTCTCTCTCTCTATCTGTCTCTAAGTGTTTGTCGGTCTATGTTTCTCTATGTGTGTGTGTCTCTCTCTGTCTCTAAGTGTTTGTCGGTCTATGTTTCTCTGTGTGTGTGTGTGTGTCTCTCTCTAACTGTCTCTAATTATGTGTCGGCCTGTGTTTCGCCATGTGTGTGTGTGTCTATGTGTGCCTCCATGTGTATGTGCCTGTCCCTCTGTATGTATCAATGTGTGTATTTCTCTGTGTGTGCATGTCTCTCTCTCACCTACTCTCTGTTTCTGTGTGTGTCTTTCTCTGTATGTGTGTATATCGCTGTGTCTCTCTCTCTCTCTCTCTGTGCCTCTCTGCGTGTGTGTGTGTGTCTCTGTGTGTGAGTTTCTGTCACTCTGTGTGTCTCCGTCTGTCTCTCTATGTGTGTCTCTCTCTGTCTCTATCTGTCTCTATGTGTGTGTGTCTCTCTCTCTCTGAGTTTCTCTCACTGTGTCTCTCTCTGTCTCTATGTGTGTGTCTCTCTCTGTCTCTCTATCTCTGTCTCTATGTGTGTGTCTCTCTCGCTCTCGTACATGGTATTAGTTCTTCTTGTAGCAATGGCGACTAAGAACACTGACATGCTGAAGCGGTACAGATCCGCCATGCTTCTGGCAGGCGCGGGGGACGCTCTCGGCTACAAGAATGCTGAATGGGAGTTCTGCCGTAAGGGAAGGTTCATCCATGAAGAACTGGAGCGATTGGGAGGATTAGGACGGATAGAAGTGAACAGTCGGTATTTCTACATTTCTATTTCATATAACACCGTTATAATCTGATACTGGTGGTGGCGGCTTTACTAATTTATATGATGCTTATGATAATGTACATAATAAAAATGATTAGCAGCTAGTTCATTGTAAGATATTAGTTAATGTGTAATTTTAACCAGCTTGGCCTAATGACAGCTAATTATATGCCGCACAGCCGTTTGTATATGTTTTGGTAATCAGTGAGACTCTCGGAATGTAGGTGATACACTTTATCCTCCAAATCTTCCAATACGTCAGTTAAGACATGTTCACATCACTATAGCTGAGGAAACTTGAGACAAGGAGGGCTTCAAGAGCAGGTCAGTTCTCACAGCATTAGAGTGAGCTCCAAATATAACACGTACCATATGTATTTTTGCGGGGTATCGGTTTTAACAGACAGTTTTACGTTATATGTTCCTTGGGTGAAGAAAGTGTTATCCAAGATTACACCAGTGCTTCCTGCACAGATCAGATATAGATTGTTGACTGTTTACATTTGGTAGTGTGTGTGGAGTGCGTGATACTGCATGCTAGCCATATATGACGTTACACCATATATGGCAATCTTGTCAGTGATTCACTCTATAGGGTTGAATATAGTTTGCTTTCTGCTTGTTGGGATTGGGCCCTCGGGCGGCAACTTGGCAGGTTGGTTGGGCCTCTGACGCCCCCGCGATGCCGCCCAGCCATTGGTGTACTACTATAATGTACTTCCCTATTAATATCTAGACAAGATGATAGTCTGTGAACTAGATGATAGACTTCTGTGAATGAACAACGGGTATCCCCATTGGACTAGGATAACACGTCGGCTACGTACACTGTATCAAATATAGATATACCAAGGTGAACAGGCAAACTAACAGGGTCACAGGCTCACACTTAAATATTTATTTGATACCAGACCTATAAGTAATAACAAACGACTTGATAACTGCTTTAGCTCTGATATATCCTAGTGCAAATACAGTTGCTTAAACAAATATTTTCTAAAACATTTTAAGCAAAGTTTTATTACTTTCAGTTTAGTATCAAGACTAAATATAGTTTTCATGTAACTAACATATTTAAGTTGTATCATGAAACTAGTCATTTATTGTCTTGTAGACTGTCATATTAGTGTGCTGTACGAGACTATCTGTCATCCATAAACACTTAGTGTGCTGTGTCATGTAGACTATCTGTCATATTAGTGTGCTGTATCATGGAGACTATCTGTCATATTAGTGTGCTGTCATGTTTCCAGGGCACGGCTGGATGGTGAGTGATGACACAGTCATGCACCTGGCTACTGCTCAAGGTAAACTGTTTGATACTTCTAGTAGCCCGGGTGAGTGAGTGAGTGACTTTACCTGTCCAAGGTGAAATGTCGTTGTTATTAACGCAGCCTGAATGTAAGTTTGTGAATGAGTGAGTGAGTGATGACACAGTCATGCGTCTTTGAGCTGTCGAGAGTCCACTGTTGGTATTTTTTTCATGTAGTCCGAATTTTAGTGGGCGAAGTGAGTGAAATTGAATGGGTTTGGGAAGAGTTAGAGTAATGACACATTCATGCACCAGGGCCGCGATCCACAAAGTGTTCGCAACATTACGACCTGTCGTAACTCTATAGTTATCATAGGCTAACGAATGTCGTAGCGCTACGAACGCTTTGTGGCGCGGGACCTTGGCTACTGAGTGTGTGAGTGAGTATGGTTTTACGCCGCTTTTTAGCAACCTTCCAGCAATATCACGGCGGGGGACACCAGAAATGGGCTTCACACATTGTAGGCTACCCATGTGGGGGATCGAAATAATTAGAACAGACCTATGATGACTTATTACCTGCAAGTCGATTCCCAACACTCGGTACAACGTGTGAGGCCCATTTTTGTGTGTTGAAAAGCTGCTAAAGGCGGCGTAAAATCACACTCAAATACTTGTGAGTAACCACGTATAACCATGTAACACTATTTTCCTGCAGCACTAGTGTCCCCAGAGGCACAGCAGGGTCGCATCGACATGTACCACGAGATGGCCCGCCAGTACATAGAGTGTATGAAGGACATGACCGGCCGGGCGCCAGGTACGTCATGCTCAACGGTTGGTTCAGTCGTATCACAGGTAACACCTTAAACATGACCGACCGGACGCCAGGTACGTCATGCTCAACAGTTGGTTCAGTCGAATCACAGGTAACACCTTAAACATGACCGACCGGACGCCAGGTACGTCATGCTCAACAGTTGGTTCAGTCGTATCACAGGTAACACCTTAAACATGACCGACCGGACGCCAGGTACGTCATGCTCAACAGTTGGTTCAGTTGAATCACAGGTAACACCTTAGACTTGACCGACCGGAAACCAGGTACGTCATGCTCAACAGTTGGTTCAGTCGAATCACAGGTAACACCTTAAACTTGACCGACCGGACGCCAGGTACGTCATGCTCAACAGTTGGTTCAGTCGTATCACAGGTAACACCTTAAACATGACCGACCGGACGCCAGGTACGTCATGCTCAACAGTTGGTTCAGTTGAATCACAGGTAACACCTTAGACTTGACCGACCGGACGCCAGGTACGTCATGCTCAACAGTTGGTTCAGTCGTATCACAGGTAACACCTTAAACATGACCGACCGGACGCCAGGTACGTCATGCTCAACAGTTAGTTCATTTGAATCACAGGTAACACCTTAAACATGACCGACCGGACGCCAGGTACGTCATGCTCAACAGTTGGTTCAGTTGAATCACACAGGTAACACCTTAAACTTGACCGACCGGGCGCCAGGTACGTCATGCTCAACAGTTGGTTCAGTCGAATCACAGGTAACACCTTAAACATGACCGACCGGACGCCAGGTACGTCATGCTCAACAGTTGGTTCAGTCGAATCACAGGTAACACCTTAAACATGACCGACCGGACGCCAGGTACGTCATGCTCAACAGTTGGTTCAGTTGAATCACAGGTAACACCTTAAACATGACCGACCGGAAACCAGGTACGTCATGCTCAACAGTTGGTTCAGTCGAATCACAGGTAACACCTTAAACATGACCGACCGGACGCCAGGTACGTCATGCTCAACAGTTGGTTCAGTCGTATCACAGGTAACACCTTAAACATGACCGACCGGACGCCAGGTACGTCATGCTCAACAGTTGGTTCAGTTGAATCACAGGTAACACCTTAGACTTGACCGACCGGAAACCAGGTACGTCATGCTCAACAGTTGGTTCAGTTGAATCACAGGTAACACCTTAAACATGACCGACCGGACGCCAGGTACGTCATGCTCAACAGTTGGTTAGTCGAATCACAGGTAACACCTTAAACATGACCGACCGGACGCCAGGTACGTCATGCTCAACAGTTGGTTCAGTTGAATCACAGGTAACACCTTAGACTTGACCGACCGGACGCCAGGTACGTCATGCTCAACAGTTGGTTCAGTTGTATCACATGTAACACCTTAGACATGACCGGCCGAAAACCAGGTACATCAGGCTAAACAATAGCTTCATTTGAATCACAGGTAACACCTTAAACATGACCGGCCGGGCGCCAGGTACGTCATGCTCAACAGTTGGTTCAGTCGAATCACAGGTAACACCTTAAACATGACCGACCGGGCGCCAGGTACGTCATGCTCAACTGTTGGTTCAGTTGAATCACAGGTAACACCTTAAACATGACCGACCGGAAACCAGGTACGTCATGCTCAACAGTTGGTTCAGTCGTATCACAGGTAACACCTTAAACATGACCGACCGGACGCCAGGTACGTCATGCTCAACAGTTGGTTCAGTCGTATCACAGGTAACACCTTAAACATGACCGGCCGGACGCCAGGTACGTCATGCTCAACAGTTGGTTCAGTTGAATCACAGGTAACACCTTAGACATGACCGACCGGAAACCAGGTACGTCATGCTCAACAGTTGGTTCAGTCGAATCACAGGTAACACCTTAAACATGACCGACCGGACGCCAGGTACGTCATGCTCAACAGTTGGTTCAGTCGTATCACAGGTAACACCTTAAACATGACCGACCGGACGCCAGGTACGTCATGCTCAAGCAGTTGGTTCAGTCGAATCACAGGTAACACCTTAAACATGACCGACCGGACGCCAGGTACGTCATGCTCAACAGTTGGTTCAGTCGTATCACAGGTAACACCTTAAACATGACCGGCCGGAAACCAGGTACGTCATGCTCAACAGTTGGTTCAGTTGAATCACAGATATCACATTGAACAAAACATTGAAAGGTCGACGGAAATATTGTCGTACACTTTATGTCAATAGGAGCAGGCCTTTCGGCTAAGGTTTCATAGTCGAACGGGGGTCAGGAATTATCTGTGACAATATTAACGATAAGTACCAGTGACGCTTGTAACGCTTCCATTTGGCTGGGTACCTGTGACAGACCTGTCCTTGTATTGCAGGCGGCACCTGTAAGGCGATGACACGGATACTGAAGCCGGGTATGAAAGATGGCTACAAGGTCCCTTTTAACAACAGGTGAGAGAAACATGTGAACAACGCCCATATCTGAGAGAGATCTGCATGGCTTGTGTCAGATACACGTCTTGTTGTAGCTTATGTCAGCATTATCTGAAATGGATAAGACCTGATGAAGTCTTTGCCCGGTGAAACACTTAGAAGCGTCTTTCTTAGTGCTTTTCGGGACTAACCGGTGTTGCTGTTAAAAGATGCTCGTGATAAAAATGCCCGACGCAACTGAAAGTGCAACTGAAAGTGTAAGACACGCGGGACGTGACGACCTTGCGAATACTTTTGTCCAACATCTGTAGCTCTTGTTTGGGGTGTGTTTGGTTTGTTGTTTAGCTCAGAGTTGATTTCAGCTATCTAATGTTTTACGCGACAAACCCTTTCCAAAATCATAGGAACTCTATTCTCAAGAAGCTGTATCGAACATCATTTTGGTCAAAGACACGTCAAATTTAGGCATGTCCCACACAAGACATCATAAACCTTTAAGAAACTACTGTAAATTTACTTAAAAAAGACATAATGAACATATGAAATATAAGTCCTAGTATGAGATGCTCATAGATGTATCTCTTTGTCCCCAGGGGCGGAGGATGCGGAGCGGCCATGAGGTCCATGTGCATCGGTCTCAGATATCCCAGGTGAGAGGGCTGTTATCATGCTTAAAAACGGCATCTATACCGAAACGTCGCAATTGTACAATAAAGAAGTTGATCATCCATAAACACTTGCCATGCCCACTCATCTGTGGTCTAGAAGTCATTTATCTTCTTGTAGGTACCTAGTGTACTACAAGCTAGTCAGATCCACACTGATCAGCGGGGGGAAAGTGCTGGTTGGTGATATTGTCAAACGAATTGAAAAAATCGAAATGTTGTCGTTTAAAAAAGGACACTGTACTTTTCTACGTCACTGACACATTGTGCATTGCCATTGTCTATCCCCATCCGGAACGTACGTATACCCTCTACGGCGGCGCATCGCACACAGATATATATTTCATGAAGCTTGACGAACATTAGACAAAGTTATATTAAAAAGGTCACATGCAACGTAAAACACAACTTTGCAGATTCTGATACCTTTGGGTATGGACTTACCGAGACAAATCATCAAAAATGCAAATTCAACTCATAAAGTTGAAAAATAACGCGATGTAAAAAACCGCGCGAAATCGGAGTTTAAACGATTCACTAATTTTCCCCCGACTTTTCGGGGGAAAACTGGTTTCAACAGCTGGGCTGCGCTCATAGCACGTGCGCTGTGAAATAGGTTCGCGCAACTTGGAAGCGGGCTGTCCGGTGAATACTCGGTGAAGGCTTTGGTGTGAGCTATTTTCCTAATGTTTTGTTGATATCTCACAGGCGCGAGCTTTTTATATGTTATGACAGTAAATAAACTGTTTATATGATTTCATTTGTCTATTTTACCACACGTTCTTCTTACCGAGTCACTTTCTCAATTCGATACTTAAAAGCAATGTCATTATTTAGCGTTGACAGAATTTCTAACTGTGATATAGATATGTCGTTGTCACAGACAAAACTCAATGTCTTGTTTTATTGACACCTGTGTGTCTGCCTGCCTGTCTGCTAATGACAATATTCAATACACAACTGTGATCAATGACCACATGCAATTTGAACTTAACACCAATCAGGCTATACACCATAAACAAAACGCATTGATTTATGGCCCGAGTTCGGTCTCTGTCACATTATGTAATTACACCTACAGGCAGGTGTGATACTTGAACACACGACATGTTATGATGTCTGTTGATTGCAAAATGTTATACACAAAAATTGAGCATGTATTTACAAAACCCAACATCTCTATATATACACACACAATGAGCCGTGAGGGCGTCTGCAAATGAACCAGCCGTTACACTTGAGTGCACACCCACCCGCTCTGACTGGGTTCGGTATCCCGGCTGCTTCGTTTCTTGGGAAGTAAACCCAAGTACACAATATTGCACTTTTGATTTGCGATTGTACGCTCATAATTTTGTTTATATGTTTTTTCATAACCAGCCATGTATATTATATGTCATGAATAAGTGATAATTGTGTTTTAAGTATGTTTGACTTTTTGGTTGCATGTGACCTTTAGTGCACGTGGATGCAGCAAACAGGCTACATATATTATATTTTCGTTGTAATTATCAATTCGTTATGTTCATTGTGTTGTTCTTGTCGTCGTCGACATAGCTATGTTTGATACAACATCGTGTTCCGGTGAAGCTAGAAATGTTTTATATCCATATGCTGTTGATGGTACCGTCCACCTCTTATGCCTGGCCATGCCTGCCGGGCTGTGCCGGTATTTCTGGGATGTTGCGGACTACCCCCCGAATACAGCAGGAGAGTGAGTGAGTTTAGTTTTTCGTTACACACAGCAATATTCCAGCTATATAACGTACAAGCATGTGTCAACCCAGTCAGCGATCCTGGCCGATTTCGTTAGTCGTCTCTAACGACAAGCATGGGTTACTGAAGATCTATTCTATGTTCAGCTGACCATTGTCTTTGTGCGCACGTGGCGGCTGCGCTGTAGAGAAATGTTGCTTAGAGCCTGATCTAGGATCGCTTCATAATTTTCATGACTTTCGGTCCTGTGGCCTTTCAGTACCGAAAATAAATATATATTGGACTGTCGGTCCGACCATGTTTATGATGAGATGACAAAACTGTATTGATGGTCAATTTCTAGCGCTATTGTGAAAATTGTGAGAAGATGATCACCCATCAAGTTCTGTTATCTCTATACCACCAACTTCTAGAATGCCCCTCAAACAAATCATGTTTATGATTGGTTTTATAATTGTGGGAAAGGCCCCTTGTGGTCTAATGTAGTAATGGGATATACTTGTGGGCTTCCGTTTCCTTTATAACAGATATACTATTGTTTATACAGCAACACAATTTGTGAACACAACAGTTATCATTATCATGTAATATTGTACGGAGTTGTGAGTCAGTGTTGGTCGAATCGAAACCATTTCAGACCTGAAGACCTTAAAGATCTGATCGCTGTCAGCATAGAGAGTGGCAGGATGACACACCATCATCCTGTCGGCTTTCTAGGGGCACTCACTTCGGCCCTCTTCACAGCCTACAGTATTCAAGGTAAACATCTATCCTCACCTTAACGTTCCCTTGCGCCACGTCATAAACAGACGTCCATAGTTGTGTATGTCAAAGTAACTTATTGTGGGACAGGATCGTTGAGACGCCACACCTGACAACTAAAGTTAACATAATGCAATGGCCTGGTTCTCCATACCTGAAAGCACCTTCTCTTGCTAGGTCGAAGAAGCTAAAACTTGGCATTCTTGTCACCGTCAAAAATGACAATTTGGTTATTTTCTTCTTAAAGAGCCAAGGTAAATGCATAGTTCTTGTGGCGCTTAACTTGCATGTTCCGGTGGGTTTGTTGTTTTTTTAATTTATCCTCTGCAGTTTGACCAAGCTCTTGAATTATTTTCAAATGTGTTCTTGTTGAGTCTTCTCCTCAAACAAAGGAAGTAAGACTTTTATAGCATGAGGTATTGCTATGAGAAAGTAAATTGATTAAATGGCATATTCGACTCCGAGTTGATACTGTAAGTACAGGTGTGTATCATGGTAATGTCCGTAGTCGTGTTTTATATTTAAATAGTTTCATGTGGCACTATACGATATCAAATCAAATATATTATTCATACGCGGTATCTTAAGTTGCTTCACAAGGCCACCTTCAGTTTAAGAATGACATCATATGATAAAGATGTTATTGATGTAATTGACATCCAATGTCCATTTTGTAATCTATCTCAAGAAGATGAGTATCATGAATTACTTATATGCCAGAAATATTTAGAAATAAGAGAAAAATATCTGTTTTCTACAACCAACCGTCAAGACATAAATTCTGTATGCTACTTCACACAGAAAATATTGAATTATTGTTTCGGGTAGCCCTTGAGTTTCACCACATATTTAGGTTGAGAAACAGATGTAAATTGTTAATGGGTATTTATTGATGTCCCTATAATTCCCAAATTTACAGGTTGAGCACAAATTCACTGTTATAATTTAAAACATGTACTATTGACCTCAGGACCAGTTATACAAATACAGATCTGTCTGTCATAATAATGTGCTTCCGTATGGTAAACATCCTATATGAAGACTACAAAACAGGAATCATGCTTGTCACGGACTCGCACTCCTCTTTCTGCTATATGACATCGATGACATGGGAACGTAACATTCGCTTTTACATCTTGATTAGGAAACACGGCTGAAAGCTAGGAATCTGTTTCAAATATATCAACAATTTCTCGTTATTTATGTAGATCGTTAATATTATAAATGGCTGTCTATTTTGCATTGTATACCTCTGCGTACTCACCGAAATGAGTAACAGGTCCGTGCCAGTACTTTGATTGTTTCAGTTAAGAAAATATCATTTGCTTTATTGATTACTTAATGAAATAATATACATAATATAATCTTTGGTTTATTCTAAGGTCTGATAACGCAAACAATATCCGATCGCACGATCTACATTCACACAGTAAAGTCGCCCAAAACCGCGATATTATATATAGTTCAGAGTTCAGAATATAAAAGTTTTTTCTTCTTAAACTCTCTGTTACCCATGAGGACTGTAATCTGTTACCTCCAGGCAAGCCCCCAGTAGAGTGGGGCCAAGGCCTGCTGGATGTTCTACCACAAGCCTTGCAGTATGTCCTGGACAGCGGCCACTACCCTCAAGAAAATATAAATGCCTGGTAAGGTAGACGCTTCTATTTTTCTTTGAATATATTGTTTCTGTTCAGTTTTCTTGGATATAATAAATTGATTAAAGTACAGCGTTACTTGTTACAGAGCTTGCTTTAAAACATATCTTTGTCTGTTTCAGGCCATTTTTTGAGACACAATGGAAGAAGTATGTAGAGTTGCGGAAACTGGCGTCTGGTGAAGCACATTTCCCTGACAACTATCATGAGTCTGATGTGAGAGACGCATACTACAAATCCATCAGTATTGGCGGGTGGGGCGGGGCTTGTGGACATGACTCCACCCTAATAGCGTGAGTGTTGGTTATGTTCACAAATGTGTGTGTGTATTCTATCAGTATTGAATGTAATGTAAAACATACTTGTAACATATGTTATATTTGGGATTACACTTTCTTAACAAAGTACAGATTCTAGTACTTTCGGGTTGAATATACTTGATTTGCAATGATAAGTTGGTCACTATTACAAAACCTGTTTTAATTGAAGTAATTTTTAACAAAGTCCCTAGTTAGTACTTCATAATTAGAATATATTGGAATATATAACGCTTAGATATATATTTAATATATGTATCAGTTAGAAGTACAATCACGGGTGGCCAAACTATATACAGACTAGAATATAGGTTTACATTAACTGAAACATTTTGATCATCCGCGATTCATTATAATTAGTAAACGATACAAGTATCTGATTTCTTTTCTAACTACCGTCTTGTAGTATTGATAATCCAATCTGAAGTGTTCCAAACGAGCTGCTTTTCTAATCACTTCAGCTATGACGCCATCCTAGGGGCTGGACAAGACTGGATGCAGCTGTGTATGAGGTAGGTAAACACTTGGTCAGAACAAACAGCTGTGTAGGTCTACCAGACTTGGAATATGTTTGTGTTGGGGCCAATTTCAAAATTGTTTGTGATTTGAGTTTTAGCATATATGTTGGTATGGGTATTACTGCTGTTATCAGTATTGACTGTAATGTTACTGTTCGCGTCAATATTTGGTGGATATTACTTTTGGGTTATATGTTCTTTTCTTGAAACTGGTGGTATCAGTGGCGATTGTTTTGTTTCGGGCGGTAGAGTGGCATACTGGTGAAAGCGTTAGCTCGTTACACGGAAAATCTGGGTTCGATTTCCAAATTTCAGGCGTCTATCGCTGTAGTATTTCTGGAACATTATCAACAGCGACATGAAACAATTCTCACTTGCTGCTATGTCAGTGTATGCGTCAGTGTTGATTGTGTTGCTAATTCCAGTTTTTGTACATTCAGGGGCATGTTCCACGGCGGGGACAGTGACAGCACAGGGACTATAGCGGCATGTTGGTACGGGGCGATGTACGGCTTGGAAGGTGTACCCCAGGGCAACTACAAAGTATGTGTGACCACATCGCAAAACAGCACTTGTGTTGTACCACAAGGGCGTGTCGGGCTTCAAACAGCGTTAGAAGGACATATAGGTATATAGACCCTACCCTAGTACTATATAAAAGTAAGTACTAGGGTAGGGTCTATATACCTATATGTCTTTCTAACGCTGTTTTTAAGCGCGACACGCCCCTGTGTGTTGTACAATATAGATATTGCTACACTGTACTTTGCATAAATGGGACAGCATCAGAGGATATATTACACAAAAGCCTGGTTATCTGTTCATGATGGGGTCCCTTACCATTGTCAGGATCTGCTGACTGAATCGCCCTCTGTACGATCCTATTCAGTCTGCAAGATGCAGTCGACCTATGCCGCGTTCATCCTCGATAATCTCCAGGGTATACTTTACGATCACTCTCCACTATACCCTGGATGCATCCACGGCTTGGCCCGATGATTTTATTACCTCCCTTTGCTGGCTCCACATTCTCACAGTATCTAATCAGCTAAGCCGCCGTTACACCCGATAGTGATAGTGAGACTGGTGTATATTTCCAGAACCTAGAGTACAGAGACCGTCTGGAGACGCTTGGGAAGAAGCTGTATAATCTGACTGTGAACGATGCCGCCGACCAAGGCACTCCCGAGGAGGCACTGACGTCAGACGTTAAGTCGGTTATCTCCCAGTTGGCAGACACCCAGTTGACAGACAGTCGATTGACAGACACTGAACTAAAAGGTTAATTAGGGTAACACCTACGGGTATAATGGAACAGTCCACTGTCTAATGAGTAGAGAAGTTTGATTGTGCGTAAATGGAACTTTGTTGTGATTGAATGATAATGTCTTCTCTTCTCAAAATTGTTTTACTATCAGAGAGATATAGATATGTACATATTTGAAAACATTCTGATTTTCAGTAATTGAGAGACCTGCATTGCCATGTAAGATAAGATTATCAATATTTTCTACAGTTTTTATCAGTGTATATCTTTGAATAGTATACAGTGAACATTCAAGGAAGTAATGAAAAACATTCTCACATCTATGGCCACATTGACAAGATGCGTCATGGCATCCCGAGCACGTCAAACCTCTAGTGTTAATCTGCCTCGTGAAGGGACACAGTCCTACCAGGATGCAAGCAACATGTAACTACTTCTCAGAAGTTCATTTATCGACACATTCATTTTATACGTGGTTCTATTTCATAATGAGATCTTAGTTATAAATGTAGCTGAACTAAGGCTGCCTGTAGTTTCCCGTATATACGGGTAATTTTCACTCCGACCCGTCCACTCTGAATTTTGATTCCGACCTGAAATAACATCTCAATTTACCACTCTGCTGTGGAAATTCATAGACTGATGAGACACAGAATACTCTTTTTTCTACACTCATAAATAAAACAAGGTCAGCTTGATCTTCCTTCGTCTAGGCTTATTAAAATATTGTTTAGAAAGCAAAGTGATGTACATCATAAATACATTTACAGGCTATGACAAAGTGATCAAAGCTTGTAAATTGCATGAAAGTAGTCACACGTTAAATGAAAAGCAGGGTTTCTTTGCCCTGTTGGATGAGACTGGAGGTGAGAAATACATACAAACTAGGGATGGCTTATTGTGTATAGAGCTCGTTTTGACTGATATGAACCTTGAAATGCGATACTAAAGTGAAGACAAGTCTTATGTCATCATTTCCACGTCATCAGACTGATACATACTGTTTGAAATCAATTTAACTTCCATGTATTTGTCATCATGACCATCCTCTTGCCAGCAGTCAAACATAATTGTAAAAGAATCGTTATTACTTTTATTCCTGGACTTGTTTGTTAGTATTGTCAATGCGTATATGAGCGGACTTTAGATGTAAACATATATATATATACCCGGTAGTTAAAGACATCCAGGGACAGGAAGCCACAACAGTCGACAGATAGAGAGACAATGGGCTTTGCTTTGCCTTGGACTTACTGATGTGACGACCGGCAACGACACAATGCAATGGCAACGAACGTTAAGAATGGAGATTAGCATCAAATAAATAATTACAGTGAAATGATACCTGTTTTTGTTTGTTTGTTTGTTGTTTAACCAGCTATATGGCTGCTGTCTGTAAACAATCGCGCCTGGACCAGACAATCCATTGATCAATAGCATGACCATGAATCTACGCAATTGGGATACGTGTGAACAATGTCACCCAGCCTGACCACCCGATCCCCTTAGTCGCCTGATCCTGAGTTACTGCAGACCAATTCTAACCCGGATGTTCACGGGTCTATACATACTTTGGCTGCATGATAGAGTGAGTGAGTTTAGATTTACGCTGCTTTTAGTAATATTACTACAATATCAGGGCGGGGGAAACCGGGAATGGGCTACGCACATTGTGCCCATGTGGGCAATCGAACCCGGGCCTTCAGCGTGACGAGTGAAAACTGTAGCCACTAGGCTACCCCACGGCCTGCTTCATAGTAGATGGCCTTTGGAATCAAATATGTACTGGATCAGTAGCTATGACAGCATCACTAATCCTTTATACAATGACTGGTATTTACAAGCAAATAAGACAGAAATAGCCCAAGGATGTGGATATTGTAAACAGGTTTATATTTAACACAGTTTATGCAACACTAATGCAGGCAGTAATTGACCATCCCTTAACGTTTAAAGAGGCACGTATCAGTATTCCAGCTTTTTGGATGGTGGTCAGGATATAATGAAGCCAAGACCAAGACAAACCAGTGATGTGTCTGTGTGTCTCTCTGTGTGTGTGTGTGTGTGTGTGTGTTTTGCATCCTGAGAGTTCAGTCCTGTCCCACAACCAAGCACACATGACGCATTTAGTCTCACCTTAGGCATGTGACTTTGAGAAAAATTGCTTCTGTTCACGCAGCAGTGGATGGGTACGGGATGAGATGGTAACGGGATGACTGTTAACCATCTAGCACCTCACAGGCAGCTTGGGTTGCAGAGCACACTGAGCCAATATACCCAACAGGTAAAGTGCCATTACAGACTTGGAATATTGCTGAGAGGCACCAAACACCAAGCTGTCTGTATGTCAATATACCCAACAGGTAAAGTGCCATTACAGACTTGGAATATTGCTGAGAGGCACCAAACACCAAGCTGTCTGTATGTCAATATACCCAACAGGTAAAGTGCCATTACAGACTTTGGAATATTGCTGAGAGGCACTAAACATCTAGTTGTCTGTATGTCAATATACCCAACAGGTGAAGTGCCATTACAGACTTGGAATATTGCTGAGAGGCACCAAACACCAAGCTGTCTGTATGTCAATATACCCAACAGGTAAAGTGCCATTACAGACTTGGAATATTGCTGAGAGGCACCAAACACCAAGCTGTCTGTATGTCAATATACCCAACAGGTAAAGTGCAATTACACACTTGGAATATTGCTGAGGCACCAGGCACCAAACTGTCTGTATGTCAATATACCCAACAGGTAAAGTGCCATTACAGACTTTGGAATATTGCTGAGAGGCACCAAACACCAAGCTGTCTGTATGTCAATATACCCAACAGGTAAAGTGCCATTACAGACTTGGAATATTGCTGAGAGGCACCAAACACCAAGCTGTCTGTATGTCAATATACCCAACAGGTAAAGTGCAATTACAGACTTGGAATATTGCTGAGAGGCACCAAACACCAAGCTGTCTGTATGTCAATATACCCAACAGGTAAAGTGCAATTACACACTTGGAATATCGCTGAGAGGCACAAAAACACCAAACTGTCTGTATGTCAATATACCCAACAGGTAAAGTGCCATTACAGACTTTGGAATACCCAACAGGTTGCTGAGAGGCACCAAACACCAAGCTGTCTGTATGTCAATATACCCAACAGGTAAAGTGCCATTACAGACTTGGAATATTGCTGAGAGGCACCAAACACCAAGCTGTCTGTATGTCAATATACCCAACAGGTAAAGTGCCATTACAGACTTGGAATATTGCTGAGAGGCACCAAACACCTAGTTGTCTGTATGTCAATATACCCAACAGGTGAAGTGCCATTACAGACTTGGAATATTGCTGAGAGGCACTAAACATCTAGTTGTCTGTATGTCAATATACCCAACAGGTAAAGTGCCATTACAGACTTGGAATATTGCTGAGAGGCACCAAACACCAAGCTGTCTGTATGTCAATATACCCAACAGGTAAAGTGCAATTACAGACTTGGAATATTGCTGAGAGGCACCAAACACCAAGCTGTCTGTATGTCAATATACCCAACAGGTAAAGTGCAATTACACACTTGGAATATCGCTGAGAGGCAAACACCAAACTGTCTGTATGTCAATATACCCAACAGGTAAAGTGCCATTACAGACTTTGGAATATTGCTGAGAGGCACCAAACACCAAGCTGTCTGTATGTCAATATACCCAACAGGTAAAGTGCCATTACAGACTTGGAATATTGCTGAGAGGCACCAAACACCAAGCTGTCTGTATGTCAATATACCCAACAGGTAAAGTGCCAATTACAGACTTGGAATATTGCTGAGAGGCACCAAACACCAATTACAGACTGTCTGTATGTCAATATACCCAACAGGTGAAGTGCCATTACAGACTTGGAATATTGCTGAGAGGCACTAAACATTTAGTTGTCTGTATGTCAATATACCCAACAGGTAAAGTGCCATTACAGACTTGGAATATTGCTGAGAGGCACCAAACACCAAGCTGTCTGTATGTCAATATACCCAACAGGTAAAGTGCAATTACAGACTTGGAATATTGCTGAGAGGCACCAAACACCAAGCTGTCTGTATGTCAATATACCCAACAGGTAAAGTGCAATTACACACTTGGAATATCGCTGAGAGGCACCAAACTGTCTGTATGTCAATATACCCAACAGGTAAAGTGCCATTACAGACTTTGGAATATTGCTGAGAGGCACCAAACACCAAGCTGTCTGTATGTCAATATACCCAACAGGTAAAGTGCCATTACAGACTTTGGAATATTGCTGAGAGGCACCAAACACCAAGCTGTCTGTATGTCAATATACCCAACAGGTAAAGTGCCATTACAGACTTGGAATATTGCTGAGAGGCACCAAACACATGCTATGACATCAGCATGGACACACATCAGACAAAGTAACCATGTAATGTTCCAAGGCTGGAATGAAACCCAGATTTTGCGAACAGCTGGTCAACACTTTTGAATGCTTTGCTCATAACATGTAAAATATTGCTAATTTAATGTGTGTTGATGTATTTTTTTAGGATGATTATTGAACTTGTATAGTTAGCATGTGAAGTTCAACTGAAGAGAACATGATTTTTGTGAAAATATTTATTGAGGACAATGAGCATAAGAAATACACACATACATGAATATGAAAACGACATATATCACAGTTTTGTACAATAGAGTCAGTGTCGATGAAGACAGGTATACAACATCGTTTCTGCACCTTCAGAAATATGTCATGTTAACATACAGTCAGCTATGGATGAAGAAATGTCCAATGATCTTAGACTTAGTTTTGTAAATACTGACTGTACACATGAACCATACTCTCCTGCCACAATATCACAACTGGCTTTGCTTAAACCATTATTGGGTTTTTCATGCTGCTTCATTCAATGTGGCCTGTATCACTGCATTAGTGATGACATTATGATTATCTGTTAACATGAAGGCTAATGACCACTTGTTAACATGGAAGCTAATGATCCACATGAAAGATAGTGAGTTGATCTGACCAGATAACATGTAGATCCTTAACATCTGTATATCATGACAGTCCTAGGACAGCAGATATAATGCTGACATACCAGGGCTCATACCTGGGCCAAATTATGGATTAGAATCCATGATCAGTGAGAACAGCATGCTACTCTTGACAACAAATCACTTGTGCCATATACCATAGTCACATTAACAAAGACCTAATCCAAGTAATAACAAAGGAACAACTTCCTGTTGTATCATCTCTTCCCACCTCTCACTGACAGGGCAGTAGGCGCTTCTCCATCATCTAGGAAAATGCAATATGTCATGAAATTGTCAATGATCAGTTGAAAATATATGCTTGAATCGTTACGTTTTCTACATTGTTGTATTGCAACATGGCAAAGACAAACTGCAACTAACATCATCATAAAGTACAAAACATAAACTGCCCTATGACAGAGTTATCCAAGTTATCAACTATTGTAATCACATCTTAATCCATAGCAATATATATTAGCTTTATCACATTCTTGTAAAATATTTCATATTAGTTACACTGTCCACAAAATATAACATAGCAGATACTTGAATAAACAATGATCAGTAGAGGATGTAACGTGTATGCGAGACGGTTCACCGTTACGCGTACACGTGACTACCTGAGACGGGGTCACTCATTCACATGAGTGCCTGATCACAGCCAGGGAAATTCAGCATGTCACACAAAAACGCGTCTAAAAGTGTTATTTATGAAAATAATTAAACAAAATCTGCTACAGTCATGGATAGTTGTTCAAGTTATTGATTGACATGAATAAAAACATAAAAAGATGATGATTTGATCATGAAAGTCTGATACCATGGCTTCCACTTGGAGAGACAGCGCTCAATTTCCAAAGACTCTGTGATATTTTCTCACCTAACTGTTCTTCCATCTGCTGTAGAAAAGCTCCTCGATTCCCTTCCCTATGAGATGCTCGGCCCTGTGCAGCAGTAGTACTACGAGGATGGCGGTTGACATAGTGAGACACTATGCTGTACAGCAGAGGCCTGAACAACAATACATTATCTTGCACTGCTATGCATAGTTTACTGTGTAATCAGTGTTCATGGAAAATATTCTACAAAGGGATATGCACATTGCTTATGGCCTGGAGTACTAACACCAGCTTGAGACAAACCCTACAACATGAAACATGTGAGTTTGGTTTTATGGTGCTTTTAGCAATATCCAGCAATATATCACGGTGGGGAACACCAGAAATGGGCTTCACATATTGTACCCATGTGGGGAATCGAACCTGGGTTTTGGGCATGACGAGCGAATGCTTTAACCACTAGGCTACCCCACGGCCCTATGAAACACGTGAAGCCAGCATGTTGCTTCTGGTCTGATGCACCCTCATCACCTTGAGACTGTAATCATGGTAATGACACAAATTGAAACAGGTGAAGCTGGCACAATCTGATGTATCTTCACTATTTTGAGACTGTTATTACACACTATGATACAGGTGAAGTCATCAATTTGCTTATGGCCTGATGCACTTTCACCAGCTTGTTACAGTAATGACAAACGCTCTACATTGTAACACGAAACATGTGAAGCCAGCATGCTGCTTATGATCTGATGTACCATCATTACATTGAGACTGTAATGACACACTTGATACCGTGAATCAGTTGAGAGTCAACGGGGGTAAGAATCTAAGACTGAGAATATTTACGTACACTGTCTTTGCTGGTGCATCTTCCACAACATTCAGCTCATTCCTCAGAAACTCCCTTTCCAAGGCCACTTTTGGCATTCCAGATTCTTTGAAAAAATATACAGTTTTAACATTTTTAAAACAAATTATATTTATAGGTTTCCTTTTGTATATAATGCTTAAGATTACCGAAACTAATCAGCAGGAAAAGTAGTACACATGATACACTAGGAAAAGGAGTGACTTGTATGCTTATCAGTTACACATATTTTTATTAATATACAATACATTTATTTATTAGAAATCTTATTTTGACATGTTCCTCTAGCATAACCAGAGCTAAGGTGAAATGGACTTTAAGAATTTGTTCAAGATTATTGTACTTGTATAGGAATGTGCATGCACATGTGTGAGTGGCTGTTTGTCCTAGTCTGGAGTATAGTGCTAGCCCAGTGAGATAATCATAATGCAGGTTAACATCAAAACCCCACTGGGACACATTACATTGGTATACCAGCTCAGAGTGGAATAGTCCCTGTTTTATCAATATACATGATATACCAAATGACAGGCAGGGTAACACCAAGTATGACATGTTGACATAACACATCCATTGAATCAAACCACAGACAATTCATTTTCCTGGCAGACACTCTGTCTATAGTACTACGCCATGGATGCAGTCAGCATGGTTTGTGTTTCGCAGCGGTTTAACTGAGCAATAGTTTCCGACATATATCATGCAGCACTTTGGTGAGCATCAGTAATGTCACAACACATCAGGGATCATAATCCCAGACCTGGGACTGACATCCAGCAGATCCTGTCACACAAAGGGTTCACAACTTAAAATACTGTCACCCATGCCCCTGCCATGGCTTTCATCTTTATCATGGCAAAAACAACACGAACAGTGTACCTGCTACTAAGACCGATGATGCATATCTGTATTTGTTGTACTCCAGATATTCCCTGATCAGCTCATTTATGAGAACATTCTCATTACTGAGAGGTGGTTTATGTTCAGTTTGATCATCAAGAGCATTAAACACTTCAGCTCGAATCCTAGCTTTAATCTGTCCCAGCACACCACGGTTTTCAAGGCTATCTTTCAACACTGAAAACAAAGTATTGTTATGAATATAAGTAATTGGTAAGCATTTCAAAGGTTATTTATTTCAACAAAGTAAACATTTCAGGTGACATTCAGTTCAAGTCAGTGAGTGGGGAGTTATGTCTCAAAACCCCAGGTGTTGAATTCTTCCTTGAGCTTTTGAGCTGTTGTCTGCTTTTGACATTAATATTAAAGCAATGACCATAATGACTATCCAGATGTTGAAGAAATATATTTGAGTAAAAATAGGATTTGGTCAGACAGGAAATTATACAATGTGTACTCAAATGCTGAATACATTGTTTGTTTTCAAAAGGAGTTTATTCAGTGTGTTGTAATACTGACATGCAGACACTGTCGAAATTACATTGTGACTTAGAAATGAAGCACATCCCAATGAATTTTGTTATACGATGATCCGGAAACAGTCCACTACTATGACTATACTGGCTAGCGAACAGTTATCGCCATGTAAGAGTTATGGCCAGTACATCAGGACCACACGTGGGCAGTTCCGGTCAATTACAATTCCGGTATTTTCCCCCATAGTATTTGATAACAATAAAAGAAAAAGTCATTAATTGTTTCATTCCCTATCAATCTACTGTAAAAGAAACACTCAAATAGTCACACAATCAATTATTTGAGGTTACTGTATGATATAAATATATATTATTTAACAAATGGCATGAGAAATTCTAAATGGCGATAACTGTTACAGTTAGTTGTGAGAAAAACATCTATTTATACTGCCATGATTCCCTTCCGTCACGTTATATAAAAACATGATCGGCGGCAGTGAACGGGCTGGACACATCGGTGAATAGCCATCATTATTAATTCTGTTTCATTAATTTAACGAACGGTGGACTAATTCGGTAAATACCGCAAAAGGAAAGAGTTCCTTCCGTTCCCCCAACTCTAAACCAAACTCTAAACCTAGTCCTAACTTAAATTTTGGACTTTTAATCATTTTGTGAGTTCTCTAGTAATTAATTGTTGCGTTAAGTTTTGTTTATAATTCTAGAATATTTATACATATTATTTGGGATGGGGGAACGGGAGGAACTCTTACCCCGCAAAAATATGGTGATAACTGTTAGGTAGCCAGTAGCTGCGTTTTGCCTAATTTTTGTTTTTGTTTTGGGTTTTTTGTGTGTGTGACAATCACTTACGTAGATTTATATATCCTTGAACAAATTTTGTGTGTGTAATTTTAGGAACTAATTGGTCATGGTAATGGTGACAGAAAGTAAGATCTTCTGATTCTTAAGTGAAAACTGAAGACACCAGATATTATCGCTGATTATGGTGACATTTATCAACTCGACTCATGTCTGTGTAAATTAACTGAGTATATTGATATCAATATGTCAGAGTCTGTAGCTAGGAGGCCTGGTCTCTGTGATACTATCAATCATGATTATCAATCATGAATCAAGATTTTGAAACGTGACTGGGGCATGTTTCTACAGACATGTCCATCTGTACGTATTGACAGGTGCAGACATGCACAGATATCATAATCAAGTTAGCTATTAGCATGCCAAAAATTTATGTTTCATCACACAGCTTCAATATGCAATGAAATTTAGAAACACTATACTATTTGTTATTGTTTGGCAAAATTAAATGTAGCCCAGGAAAATATATACAACAACCTTCTTTGAGGTCTTCGGAAGATGCCATTTCGTAGTGCCCGCTTGTATACACACGAATTGATGACGCGGTAGGGATCTTTCATTAACAACATAGACCTTTATTCTCTGTTTACAGCCTAACTGCCCCATTCATTCTGTCCGCTTCAAATAATAATTGTATAGATTTTTCTAAAATCAGAACACTAATTATAATGAAATACTTTGCATATTTGTTGTTTGTCACAATAGAATATACTGAAGTCTGTTCGAATGCTCCCACAGTACTCATAAATGTGTGACGTTTACATCAGGAGGTAATGCTCACTATCGGTTTTAGCCTGGATTAACGTGTTTCGCTTATGTTGTCACGTTTCTTTCAGAGGTATTTTGCAAAACTTTCAATTAGAAATATTTTGGGTTTGTATATTTTCTCTTACTGATTATTCTAGATCGCATGACATCCTAAAGATACATTACTAATCACAGCTTGAACATGCACGAGACAGACCAGGGAAAACCCCAGAGAAACCGAGGTTCCAATTCTTGGATTTTCTCTCTTTGTTTACATGTTCCCTGTCACCACTCATTAACAAATGACCCTTACTCTCTCTATTAAAGCCAATCATGGCCATACATGGGCTGACCTAGACTAACGCTTAGTCTCTGAATATGTATAATTTTGACAGTTACAAATAAACCCATAAAAAAATTAAATTGAAAATGAGCCCAAGTGAGGTGTGAAATTCAGAACCTGAGGATCGAAATCTAGACTTGCTTCATTTAAGACTTTAGCATAGCAGGGAGGGCTAGGCAGTAGGGAAAATATTGTGGTTCAAGCCACTGTGAGAGACTAGCGTTAACCCCATGTTATCTCCAACCACAAACAGGGTCAACAGGCAGTAGTTTCTGTTTCAAGTTTCAGTAAGGTAAGCATGACCTGCTTTACTGATGACCCTCCTCATGCACACAACTTTAATAAATATAGTCATGGCCAAAGACTATCACAACATTCTAACACGTGAGAAGATTTAGATGTTCAGATTTATGGAACAGTCTCTGCCACATTGACTTTGACCTTTCTGTGGGGATTTCCTCTTGAGTAGGAGCCATGGATGTATAGTAATTCTATTCTTTAAAGGGGGCGATGGGGTAGCCTAGTGGTTTAGGCATTCGCTCGTCTCGCCAAAGACCCACATGGGCACAATGTGTGAAGTCTATTTCTGGTGTCCCCCGCTGAGATGTTGCTGGAATATTGCTAAAAGCGGTGTAAAACTCACTCACTTACTATCCTTTAAAGAGACAAGATAGAGAGTTAAATGTGTTCTGTTTATTCATATTTTTAGAAATTATCATTTAAACTATTATTTATTACCTTGTAGACTTGTGAAAGCCTACTTCTTCAGCAGCACTAACACTAACTGCAAAGCAGTCATGTGAGATCCACACTCTATTTCTCCAGTTGCTGTTGGACAGAATAAAAGTGACAAATCCTTTTTTCCATAAGAAATGTTCCCTAGAAGCAGAGTCAGTTGTACAATTCTGACTATATTATGAACATCAAAACAATGTTAGCCAGTAAGCTAAGCAAATCTGCTTCATTTTCCCAAACACATACAAGGTATTCATTTGGGACCTGAATGATTTCAGCAATATTATGCCAACTGAGGTTTTCTATTTAGGTTTTCAGTTTAGGGCAATACAATGTCTTCACCAGGTTTTGGTACAGCCAACATTCATTGGAAACTTTTCAATTTGGCCTTGGCATACCATTTCTGTGTCAAGGAATGTTTTGAACAGTTTATCATGGGATATGCCAGAGGATATTTGGAACAAATTCATTTCTTCCTCAACAAAACCCAAATACACTTTTGACCCCAATGTGACTGTCATTGTAGGTTTTCTCCGAGTCTTACTACAAAGTGGCAAAAGTATCAATTAGTGGGTGTTACAATCATAGATAAGGCCTCGTGGAGTGTAGGTGACAGGTTTATAAACACAAGCATAGATCTTAGGAGTGCTCATGGTGAGGGATTCTAGGACCATTGTTTCCTGGACTGAAGACCAAGTCTGTCAGTGAGTGATGAGGTAGGGACATCACATCAACACTAGCGCCATATAGCTGGAATATTGCTGAGTGTGGCGTTACAAAAAACAAATAAACATCAACACTAGATTAGACAAGCTGGCTATAAGGTTCATGCCGTGGGATTCTCTGTCACCACCTCTGTTTGAACAGAATCATTTGAAGCTCACTCGCTCACATCACACATTTAAACCCATGTGTATGTACAAATCACTGTCTTTGTGTTCCGTTGTATATATATATGTTGCCAAGTCACAGGTACAGATGTTAATCATGTTATTTTCTTTTGTTTGTAGTGTACATCAGTAATTGAAATTTATTTTAAGAATGGCAACATCATCATCTCAGCATAATGGAGTCAGCATGCTGGAACGGTACAAGGCTGCAATGGTACTTGCTGGAGTGGGGGATGCTCTTGGGTACAAAAATGGAGAATGGGAGTTCTGTCACAGTGGAAAACTCATTCTCAAAGATCTGAAGAATATGGGAGGACTAGAAAAGATCAAAGTGAACAGTTAGTATTATTGAGGAGAAAGATCTTGTTTGTTGTACTTGAGCAAGACCCCTTAACTCGCTGTCATATTATTCTCTATTTTGTGTTCACTGTATAACCATACTATATTGATGTGGTTCCAGAACGTGACTGGATGGTGAGCGATGACACCGTCATGCACCTGGCCACAGGCGAAGGTATCTTGATTTTCATCTAAAATTGTTTGAAATAAATAAACTTCGATTTTAATAATAATTTTGTGAACTAAGGATAAATATTACATCTTTATGTTATAATTAAATAAATGGTGTAACTATAAAATCATGAAAATGTCTTCTTTTTAATCTGTACTTAACATTCTGAGGACTAAACACACTTGGCTTGATGTTTTATAGGTTTTCATATATATGCTGGTAATATGTTTATTGTGTTGTATTAGAACAACTGTTATTGTGTTACAGCTCTTGTGTCTGAAGCGAGTAGCGTAAGCCTGGTGGAAACATATTACGACATAGCCCGCATGTACAAAGAATGCATGAAAGATATGGCTGGAAGGGCCCCAGGTATAACTGATGCTCTGTCTTTTTTGTTTTAAATCTTGAAATTAATCCGAGCAAAAATGTATTCAAACCCTCTTTGAATCGCTTTTTGCATGTTCACCAACACCGAGTTCCTCCTTCACCACCAACCTAACCCCCTTCACCACCACAACTGACTCTCTTCACCACACCTAACCCCCTTCACCACCCACCTGACCCCTTCACCACCCACCTGCCCCCTTCACCACCAACCTGACCCTCTTCACCACCAACCTGAACCCTCTTCACCACCACAACCTGACCCTTCACCACCAACCTGACCCCCTTCACCTGACCTCCCTTCACCACCAACCTGACCCTTCTTCACCACCAACCTGACCTCTTCACCACCAACCTGACCCTTCACCACCAACCTGACCCTCTTCACCACCAACCACCCTGACCTGACCCCTTTCACCACCAACCTGACCCCTTCACCACCAACCCTTCACCACCAACCTGACCCCCTTCACCACCAACCTGACCCTTTCACCACCAACCCTTCACCACCAACCTGACCCTCTTCACCACCAACCTGACCCCTTCACCACCAACCTGACCCCTTCACCACCAACCTGACTCCCTTCACCACCAACCTGACCCCTTCACCACCACAACCTGACCCTCTTCACCACCAACCTGACCTTCACCACCAACCTGACCCTCCTTCACCACCAACCTGACCTCTTCACCACCAACCTGACCCCTTTCACCACCAACCTGACCCCTTCCCACTTCACCACCACCACCACCAACCTGACCTCCCTTCACCACCCAACCTGACCCCCTGACTCCCTTCACCACCAACCTGACCCCTTCACCACCAACCTGACTTCACCTTCAACCTGACCACCAACCTGACCCCTTCACCACCACCAACCTGACTCCCCTTCACCACCACCCACCTGACCTCTTTCACCACCAACCTGACCCCCCTTCACCACCAACCTGACCCCTTCACCACCACCAACCTGACTCTTCACCACCAACCTGACCCCTTCACCCCAACCTGACCCCTTCACCACCAACCCTGACCCTTCTTTCCTTGACCTTCCACCACCCACCTGACCTCCCTTCACCACCAACCTGACCCCCTTCACCACCACACCTGACCCCCTTCACCACCCACCTGACTTCACCACCCACCTGACCCTTCTTCACCACCCACCCCTGACCCCCTTCACCACCACCAACCTGACCCCCTTCACCACCAACCTGACCCCTTCACCACCCACCTGACCCTCTTCACCACCAACCTGACCCCCTTCACCACCAACCTGACCCCTCACCACCACCTGACCTCACCACCAACCTTCTTTCACCACCAACCTGACCCCCCCTTCACCACCAACCTGACTGACCCCTTCTACCACCCACCCTCTTCACCACCAACCTGACCCCTTCACCACCAACCTGACCTCTTCACCACCAACCTGACCCCCTTCACCACCAACCTGACCCCTTCACCACCCACCTTGACACCTTCACCACCAACCCCCTTCACCACCACCCTGACCTCTTCACCACCAACCTGACCCCTTCACCAACACACCTGGATCCCTTTCACCACCAACCTGACCCTCTTCACCACCAACCTGACCCCTTCACCAACACCACCTGACCCCTTCACCACCAACCTGACCCCTTCACCACACCAACCTGACCCCCTTCACCACCAACCTGACACCACCTTTACCACCAACCTGACCCCTTTTCACCACCAACCTTACCACCACCCCCTTCACCACCAACCTGGCCCCCTTTACCACCACCCTGACCCCCTTTACCACCACCCTCTCCAGTCTGTATTGAGCCTTGTATACTTGTCATTGTTAACCCATCTCCATGTTGTATATTGCAGGATGTATTACTTGCCATGCTATCCATTACTATGGAAGCCATTAAGTATTACACAGTGGCCTAAATAGCCAGTGTTTGTTCCTGGCATTAATCAGTATTCACTAATGAGAGAGTGACCTAGCTCAACATTATGTTCTAACAGGTTTGGTAATCACTGTATATGCACTGATAAGCAGGCTCTGTTTGGTTCCAGGAGCTACATGCATGATGATGACACATAAACTGAAGCCAAATGTAGACGATGGATACAAGATTCCTTTCAATAGCAGGTAGGCAACATGAAAGGGGTGCACCCATTTGTTTTCTGTGCCCTCTGTCAGTCGGCTTGAACAGTGAAGGACAGTATAAGGGTCCATAGCACAAGTGGGTTGAGGTTCTGGACTTATATTTACTGTTATAACTTAGCATCAGTGATATTTACCTGATTCACCTTTATGAAGATAGTTTGGTCACATTTGTTTGAAAGGGTTGGAAAGTTTTGAAAAAATATATAGCTTCATCTTGTTAAATTATTAGCATTCGTCTTGTAGAAATATCAGTGTTTGATATGTGTTGATGTTGATAATGAAGAGATGCCAATGTTGATGTAAAGATGTTGATGTTTGTGTTGTAGAGGTGGTGGATGCGGAGCGTCCATGAGGGCTATGTGCATCGGTCTCAGATACCCGAGGTAAGTGTTCGTTCATTTGATCAAGTGAGGCGATTGCACATCAAACCAAGCATCACAGTTTCTACATGAGTTGGATGTAGGTGGTAAAAATGAAAATTATGGGAATTGAAACCAGTGCATTAAATGTGACAAGGGAACACCTCACCAACACAGCTACCCCGCTGTCCCTCATTTTTCAAATGACAAAAAGAGGATTAATGTAGCATTCAGCATGTTCCATATGGCCTCTCAAGGCATTTGTGACCCACTTGTTTTATTCCAGGACAAGCCGAATTCTGACTCGTGCCCCTCTGGAAGGATTTCATATTGTCATATGAGCATCAGAACTAATTCAAACAAGAATGATAACTCCCTTTGTGTTTAATTTCAATAGCACTTAACATTGCTGAATTTGAAGCACTTTGAGTTGTTGCCTTCAAGAGATTTTAACCAGTTTTAAACAATAATAATGATGATGATGATTATTTGAAAACATATTCTAATGTTAACATTACCAGATATTCACCTCATATTTCCAAATATATATGCTGAGAAAATATGAAGGACCTCAGAAATGTTAGACTGAATATCTCCATTGAAGTGAAAAGTAAGCACAATGATTAAGTGTAAAGTTGATTACTTATATTTAGATATATTGTTTTGAAACTTGCACATAGAATTTGATTTGAAAAAGCGTTTGTAAAATCGCAAACGCAGGCCCGCAAGATCATAAGAGAAAACACTTAATTGGGAACATGAGAGCTGTTATGTAAACAAAAAGTATTGAATCTTACACTGTTGATGGGGGGGTTGGGGTAGCCTAGTAGTTAAAGCGAACCCCCATATGGGTACAATGTGTGAAGCCCATTTCTGGTGTCCCCCGCTGTGTTGTTGCTGGAATATTGCTAAAAGCGGCGTAAAACCAAACTCAGTCAGTCAGTACACTGTTGATGACCCTATCCTTATTATCCCTCGCCGCGTGTTTAGCGCGAAGCGGTGGATATAGTATTAGGCTCGGTACGTACGTACAAATTGGAATATCTTAAGAACCGTTCACTAGATTCTTTTCATATTTGGTACCTGGGTTCATCACACTATAAGAAAGGTCCAAGTCAGGTTTGGTGACCTTGACCTTCATTTCAAGGTCACAAGGGGACTTTCACGTTTTAGCTGCATGTTAAGCTATCTCAAGAACCGTTCTCTGGATTTTCTTCATATTCAACCCCAAGCTTTATCCGGGGAAGGCGCAGGGCCCAGTCAATTTTGGTGACCTTCACATAATTTTCAAGGTCATGGCGACACTTTGAAGATTTCAGCATGTAAACCTGCATGTTAAGCTATCTCAAGAACCGTTCACTGGATTTTCTTCATATTCTACCCCAAGCTTTATCCAGGGAAGGCGCAGGGCCCAGTCAATTTTGGTGCCCTTCACATAATTTTCAAGGTCATGGCGACACTTTGAAGATTTCAGCATATTAAACTACATGTTATGCTTGTCAGCGAGATACCTCAAGAACCATTCACTGGAGTTTCTTCATATTTGACACCAAGCTTTATCCAGGGAAGGCCCAGGGCCCAGTCAATTTTGGTGACCTTCACATAATTTTCAAGGTCATGGCGACACTTTGAAGATTTCAGCATGTAAACCTGCATGTTAAGCTATCTCAAGAACCGTTCACTGGATTTTCTTCATATTCAACCCCAAGCTTTATCCGGGGAAGGCGCAGGGCCCAGTCAATTTTGGTGACCTTCACTTAATTTTTGACACCAAGCTTTATCCAGGGAAGGCCCAGGGCCCAGTCAATTTTGGTGACCTTCACATAATTTGTAGGGTCACGACGACACTATGAAGATTTCAGAATGTTAACCTGAATTTTCAGCAAGATATTTTAAGAACGGTTCACTGGATTTTCTTCATAGACTTTCAAGACCTCCCTTGAATGTTTTTCAATAAGCAATTTCTTTAGTACTAGTTTTGCATATTTCATACACTATGACATTCATGTCAAGGTCAAAGTCAGTCTTGAAAATATGTGTATGTTTGAACAACTAAAGAGCAAGATAATGTTTTTGTTGACATTTAACTTCATCTTAAACTTTCATTACTTTGATTTGATAATTTGCGGCGGGGGATTATGTCACCGTAGTGCTTTTAAGAACTTCAAATTAGGCAACACAAATATGTTACCTGTGTTCTTGGCAATGTTAACATGACGATATGTATTTTTAATGATTTTTTAAACAATCACACAATGCCATAACCATTTTAAGTTCTCGGGATTATATTTATCAAAGTACCTCAACCCTTACACGTGTGGGGCGGTGGGGTAGCCTAGTGGTTAAAGCGTTGGCTCGTCACGCCGAAGACCCGGGTTCGATTCCCCACATGGGCACAATGTGTTAAGCCCATTTCTGGTGTCCCCCGCCGTGATATTGCTGGAATATTGCTAAAAGCGGCGTAAAACTAAACTCAGTCAGTCAGCCTTACACGTGTTCTGATTGGTTTGTTGTATTTTCGCACATAACATTAATTGAGAAGGGGACAAGTCTTCTTTGAGTTTACGGAAAGGGGTGAGTGGTGATGAATGCCTTTGTGGATGAGAATTTGCAGATCCAACCAGTGCAAAGACACTGAAGCTTACATAAAAGGACTATGTATATCTGGTGTAGTGTGTCACTGTGAGTGCGTGAATGATTCCCAGCTTTATTTTGCATGTTACTAACGGAAGGTATAACATTCAGTTGGCGAGAATGTTATTGTTCTAGACCTGAAGACCTAAATGATCTGATCGCTGTCAGCATAGAGAGTGGCAGAATGACACACCATCACCCCACTGGCTACCTGGGAGCTCTGGCTTCGGCCCTCTTTACAGCTTTCAGTATTCAAGGTAACACCGCCATCTGTTTCATTCCAGCTGCATGTGTGCTAAGCCATGTTATCAAAACATCAACTGTGCGATTTGCAGTTAACTAATTTGATATATCAAATTATGTCATGGTTTACATACTGGTAACCATAATCATGACGTCAGGCAGGATATTAGATACGGTTCATATCTACCTACCCTGGTTTCTATTGCCTGGACTGTATAACTTGTATAACATCAGTTTATTGCATGACTATAAAGGTGGCTCTCATGAGCTCGGTTCACTTGCACAAAGGTATTCATCAATTCACAAGAGCATGAGGGCCCTGGGCCCCAGGAAGTTTGGTCCAATCCGTGAAATGTTAATAGATTTGGGGTGAGGTGGTAACCTGAACACTATATACTTTAAATCTTGAAAGACTGGACATTTGATTCACATTCATTTTTGGGTTAACTTTGCACAGCCAACTATACCAGTAACGGTGTAGAAATTGGAAATTGTGATACAACAAAAGCAATTATGTAGCTGTGGAGTTTGTGAAGTGTCTTAGGCTTGTTCCACCAGCTGAGCTCTATCTTGTCCAGAACTGTTTCAATCCAAAACATAAAATGAAGATGAGGTTTTATGTCACTTTCATCTTCAATATAACATGTAACTATTAGGTCTGTTATGATTCACTCGCCTGTTCATTGAAATCGTGATCACTAGCATCATGAATACTCATATATATTTAACCTGATAATGAGTAATATCAGCTGCTTACTTGTAACTGTATTCATTACTAAGTAATAGTCTTGCCTCACAGTGGATTCATTTTAGCCCTAGTAACTATAGAAACAGATAACTGATTACTGTTACCTCCAGGCAAGCCACCAGTAGAGTGGGGCCAGGGACTAGTAACTATAGAAACAGATAACTGATTACTGTTACCTCCAGGCAAGCCACCAGTAGAGTGGGGCCAAGGACTAGTAACTATAGAAACAGATAACTGATTACTGTTACCTCCAGGCAAGCCACCAGTAGAGTGGGGCCAAAGGACTAGTAACTATAGAAACAGATAACTGATTACTGTTACCTCCAGGCAAGCCACCAGTAGAGTGGGGCCAAGGACTAGTAACTACAGAAACAGATAACTGATTACTGTTACCTCCAGGCAAGCCACCAGTGAGAGTGGGGCCAAGGACTTAGTAACTACAGAAACAGATAACTGATTACTGTTACCTCCAGGCAAGCCACCAGTGGAGTGGGGCCAAGGACTAGTAACTACAGAAACAGATAACTGATTACTGTTACCTCCAGGCAAGCCACCAGTAGAGTGGGGCCAAGGACTAGTAACTACAGAAACAGATAACTGATTACTGTTACCTCCAGGCAAAGCCACCAGTAGAGTGGGGCCAAGGACTAGTAACTATAGAAACAGATAACTGATGACTGTTACCTCCAGGCAAGCCACCAGTAGAGTGGGGCCAAGGACTAGTAACTATAGAAACAGATAACTGATTACTGTTACCTCCAGGCAAGCCACCAGTAGAGTGGGGCCAAGGACTAGTAACTATAGAAACAGATAACTGATTACTGTTACCTCCAGGCAAGCCACCAGTAGAGTGGGGCCAAGGACTAGTAACTATAGAAACAGATAACTGATTACTGTTACCTCCAGGCAAGCCACCAGTAGAGTGGGGCCAAGGACTAGTAACTATAGAAACAGATAACTGATTACTGTTACCTCCAGGCAAGCCACCAGTAGAGTGGGGCCAAGGACTAGTAACTATAAAACAGATAACTGATTACTGTTACCTCCAGGCAAGCCACCAGTGGAGTGGGGCCAAGGACTAGTAACTATAGAAACAGATAACTGATTACTGTTACCTCCAGGCAAGCCACCAGTAGAGTGGGGCCAAGGACTAGTAACTATAGAAACAGATAACTGATTACTGTTACCTCCAGGCAAGCCACCAGTAGAGTGGGGCCAAGGACTAGTAACTATAGAAACAGATAACTGATTACTGTTACCTCCAGGCAAGCCACCAGTAGAGTGGGGCCAAGGACTAGTAACTACAGAAACAGATAACTGATTACTGTTACCTCCAGGGAAGCCACCAGTAGAGTGAGGGCCAAGGACTAGTAACTACAGAAACAGATAACTGATTACTGTTACCCCAGGGAAGCCACCAGTAGAGTGGGGCCAAGGACTAGTAACTACAGAAACAGATAACTGATTACTGTTACCTCCAGGCAAGCCACCAGTAGAGGGGGCCAAGGACTAGTAACTACAGAAACAGATAACTGATTACTGTTACCTCCAGGCAAGCCACCAGTAGAGTGGGGCCAAGGACTAGTAACTACAGAAACAGATAACTGATTACTGTTACCTCCAGGCAAGCCACCAGTAGAGTGGGGCCAGGGACTAGTAACTATAGAAACAGATAACTGATTACTGTTACCTCCAGGCAAGCCACCAGTAGAGTGGGGCCAAGGACTAGTAACTATAGAAACAGATAACTGATTACTGTTACCTCCAGGCAAGCCACCAGTGGAGTGGGGCCAGGGACTGCTGGATGTTCTACCACAAGCCTTGCAGTATGTCCTGGACAGCAGACACTACCCAGAAGAAAATATAAATGCCTGGTAAGGTAGACACTACCAGCCTCACCTCTTCTTTAACATTTCCCATGTTATATCCCTAAGATCCGCAGCTTTTGTCTTGTTCACTGTACGTCAAGGTTAGGAAATTTGTCGCGTAATTCACTCACACCTTCAACTGAATTTCTATCATGCTTGATTGCATTCTCTTTTAAAGATAACATGAAAAGACTCTTACAGTTTCATCAGTGTTGACCAGCCAATGAAATTGAGAAACATATGACTGAGTGACTTTTACATTAACTAGATGTTGTACATCAATGGTGGTGTTTCCAGGACTGGGAGAATATTGTGAAATGTTTCTGCAGCTAAAAGAAACCAAAATTCAATTGATTCTCTAATCTTTTCAGGCCATTCTTCAAGGAACACTGGGAATTGTATGTAGAATCGAGGAAACTGGCGTTTGGAAAGCCAGTGTTTCCTGACGATTATGAGGATCCGGACGTGAGGGACGATTTCTACAAAAGTATAAGCTTTGGTGGATGGGGTGGAGCTAGTGGCCATGATTCCACAATCATTGCGTGAGTAGACACAGAGAAGGATAACAGGGATAGATAAGATAAATGAGAGCATGGTGGTGTGAAACACAATATGCCCTTCTCATACTGGATGGATGTGTGTGAACGGAGTCACCTTCATAATACAGAGATATTTCGCTGTTTATCATATGTCTTTGCAAATGAAAAGCCGATTTGGATTTTGAGTTTCCCATATTTAAAGGCACAATGTAACCCATTTGTGACAATATTTTGGCCTATATTATATATATTGGGGCATATGCACTCACTTTAGTTTCCTATTGATGCAATGAAAGAGTTATTTTCCCTTAAGACTTGCCTGAAATCGATAATTGAAACTATATGGAATGTAAACAATTGCTGTGTACATCGAAAACTGTTGCACTCAGTGTTGTTGGTGTTTGCATAACTGATTTCAATCACAAGTTGTGTGTAGGATATTTATAAAGAGCACTCCAAGGGACATAACTCTATGGGGTTCGCTTGAAATATTGTTCAGCCGGTAGAGGGTGTGAGAGTCGATTTAATGCAACGTTGCATTAATCCATTTGAACTTTTTAATTAAACCAATTTGCGGGGGGTATTAAAATGAACTCCGTCCGTCCGTGTGCCCGTCCATGCACATTCGTATTTTCCGACCAGAACTTTAAAACCAGAACTTTAAAACCATTCACTATTTCCTCACCAAACTTGGCACATAGATAGATCTGGTGGTTTACTGGTGCCTTTTCGTTTTTTGTGGATTTCTGAATAAAAAATGTTTTGGGTTTCCATTAGGGCTAGGACGGGTACTCGAATCCAGGTCGGGTACAGCTGGAATCGAGTACCCCGGAAAGGAGAAAACTCTGTAATGACAAGGGCAGACAAAAACTTGTCTTTTTCATTATTGACGTAACACACCTTTGCATCATTGGCATTGTCCGATTAATGGAGGTTGTTATTAACGACTGTAATATATCTGAGTATGAGCAGTGAGGAGTAAAGTTACAGTAACAGCGGCAATGGTGTTACTCTCTATGTTGGTTAAACAGATGTAAAATAAATAGCCTATCTTCAGTTTCATTGTCTTATTGACATCATTTCAAGTTTTTCTATAAAAATCTCTGTCAACTCGTGATTGGATATTCAGAAAGTAGACAGAAGCGTTTTATTCCTTACATTTCCGGGTACTTCGATTCCGATTCGGGTAAGTACATGTGGGTACTCGATTCCATTTTTTCCGACCCGTCCCAGCCCTAGTTTCCATGGCAACAAGATTGACTTCAATTGATATTCGTGTAGGTGCTATTTTCCGGAGCAGAACTTTAAAACCATTCAAAATACCAAACGTGGCACATAGATAGATCTGGTGGTGTACTGGTGGTGTACTGGTGCTTTTTGGAAGTTTTGGAATTCAGAATAAAATAGTTTTTACGTTTTCCATGGCAACAAGTTTGACTTTGACTGAATTTGGTGGTAGTGCTCCTTTCTGGAACAGAACTTAAAAACCTTTCAATACTCTCCTTCCACTTCATATATACATGCCAAAACATTTGACATAATCGTAACTAGTAGACATATTCATGAAGAGTATTTTGCCATTGCGGGGGATATTGATGACTTTGTCTTCTTATTTAATATTGTAGTGATCTAAATATGTAAATTTTTCCTTATCACGACGCATGCTTATTCCTTGTCTTCCTTTCCTTCCGAATGCTAGTGGAACACTTGAATCCCCCTTTTGAAGCTCCCTTAAAAAAAGCGGACGTAAAATCACTTACCAGGTGTCATCTCCCTTCCAAAGGTTTTGGCGGGAAACAGCGCCACCTGTCACCCATGCTCCCCACTCTCTCCTGATTCGCCCGAGTGGACGGTTGTGAGAGCCTGGGACCCCTATACGGTATTATATCCTTTTCCTTTTTAGGCTGTACTTCTAAATTAGCTGTATAAGGCTTTAGGAAACATTTACCAACAATATGGTTTGAAATTATTTCTCAATTTTCTCTGTTTTGTCACGTTTTTACATGATTGTTCAGATTGTTTACAATTGATGAAATCTTGCACTCGTTGCAGGTACAGATTGTCTGCTGTTGACCCACAGAAACAATGTCCTAATTGCAAGCCAGCATGTTCATCTGGCTCTCGTTGTCAGTTGTGTTTTCGCCTGTCTGAAATTGAATTTTATAAATATTCATATTATCTGTTTAGACGTGCAAGGCAAGTCCAGACGAGATTTACATGACATGTCTAAACCGGCTAAGCTTGCAGAGGACCGGCAGTTGGTGTCTGCGCAGATTCACCATCCCAGTGGTCTACCGGGGTCGTCAGCGGAGGATGTTGCTGTCGTAGACAACAACTCTGGCTCGAGGAAGAGATCATCTACATCTGATAATTCCGCATCGCAGTCCAAGAAGACTAAGGCATCGTCTTCCCAGAGGAAGAAGTCAGCTGTATCTAAGACTTCGTCGAAGTCTCCACACGGGGCAACGCAGAAAACAAGGTCCTTTTCAGCTGAGATCGTCCCTCCTGAGGAAATAGATGTCTACGATGAGCCTCCCATCCTCATCCCAGAGATCACGACTAAGAAGAAGACGAGGGCATCTTCTACCGTAACCAAGCAGGACAACCTATCAACGCAGACACCGGGCTCCATAGAGGTACAGCGCCCTTTGGAGGAAGCCTCGTCCCTCTCAGATGCGTCATCAGTGCAGCAGCAGACAACGCAGAGCTTCAACCCGGGCTCCTTTATGCAGCAATTCACCCAACAGATGTTGGACTTGATGGAACAACGGTTCACACAAGAGAGAGCTGCGACGAAGACTCCGTCTGCTACGAACCTGCGTGAAGGACAACCGACCGGCACATCACGTCCTGTGGGAACCAACAATCTGCGAAGCTTACACGAAGATTCCAGCATGACTACAACGTCTGCACGAAGGTCTGGCAGTCCTACCAACGTAGAGCCTACGAGTTCGTTAAGAGAACCCTCAAGGACAAAGCGTTCGCCGAACCCACGCGGATCGTCATCTACCTCAGATGCGGACAGTCATCACGAACCCTGCACGCAAGTGTTCGTTATCAAGGAGAAGAGAAGGCATTCACGAACGTCTCTATCTCCACGCAGATCCCCAAGAAGGCTTTCGCGAACGTATGGATCCCCTTGAAGGTCACCATGCAGGTCTCCATATAGATCACCACGCAGGTCACCACATAGATCTTCATACAGATCTCCACGCACAGACGACTCTAGACGACGTCAATCCTCAGAGCATGATACTGCTAAATCGGAAGATGACGGCGGAATTATTTCTTCCGACTCAGAGATCAAGTCATGGATGGCCAACGGTTTGGAACTCGCATCACCCTCTAAGGAGGCCAATGAAGCACTCTCGTATTTGATGTTGAATGATGATATAGACACACTCAGTATTCCACCTATCGACCCTGTCTCAGATGTTCCAGACAACCTCAGCACAGCCTTTAAGAAGGCAACTAAATACCAGACCCAGAGTATTCCGTCTTTAACGCAAAGAAGTTCTCTCTACACCATATGGAACCCTTCATGAAGGCCCCAGAGATAGACGAGAACTATAAAATCATCAACGACCCTGGAATGAAATCCTACAAGATAGAGGATAAAAAGCTGGCACATTTAGACACAGTAACCAGACGAACCTTCTTCGGCCTAGCCAGGTCAAGAGCTGTCAACGAGACCCACATCTCGAAGTTTAGAAACACAACTTCAGAGGAAGATCGAATGGTTTATTCAGCTCTACTTACACAGAAAAAGGATCATCAGTTCATGTCTGAACACCTAGCATCCATTTTGGCAGGCTTAACGCTATCAAGAAGGCAAGGACTATTATCTTCCTGTACTTGGAGCGAGAAATTTACCAAGACACTCTACAGAGCCCCATGGTCAGCGCCATCCATCTTTGCCAGAGAAACTGATGAGGTCGCCAAAGAAGTCCCTAAAGACTCCAGAGGGGTGATGATGATCAAGTCTATTGATACACTTGCTAGTGTTATCCGTCAGACCTCCCAACGTTATTCCGGCAAATCAAAGTTTGCAGGCATACAGAGAGCAAGGGAAAAGAAATTCGGCAACGCTAAAGGAAACAAAGATTCTTTTCGTCGCCCATCCGGAGCTCCAAAAGGTAACTACGGCAGAGGTCAGCCCTTTAGAGGTGCCAGAAGTTCTAGACGATGAAGAACGGGTTCGGAACGACTGGAGTCTTCCACCCCCAGCCGTTCCAATACAACCTTCACAAGTGGGTGGACGTCTACAACACTACTGGGAGAAATTGGGGAATTCTTCAAGACGACTTTGTATCTCAGATTCTACTCACAGGTTACAGGATACAGCTACAAGCAGTTCCACCAGTAACAATCAACCCGCTGGTTCACAACTACGCTGCAGACCAGAAGGGAAATCTACTAGAAGCCATCACATCTCTATTAGAGAAAGAGGCAATCAAAGAGATAAAACAGGAGTGCGTCACACCAGGTGTTTACTCCCCAATTTTTCTTGTACCAAAGAAAAACTCCAAAGAAAAGTTCCGACTCATTTACAACATGAGGAAATTCAACAAAGATTATCTGTTAACGCCCGCAAAGTTCAGGATGATACAACTACGACATCTCGTACGTCCGCTAGACTACCTCACCAGCATAGACTTACAGGATGCATACTTACACATCCCGATCCATCCGGAGTCAAGGAAATATCTTCGATTCCTGTTCAACGGACGTCATTTCTAATGGAAGGTCCTGCCATTTGGAATATCGTCGGCCTCCTGGTTGTTTACTCGAGTGACAAAGCCCATCAGTATATATCTACATCTTCGAGGTCTACGCAGTGCGTTCTACCTAGACGACGAGATTCAAGCTCAGCAAGATCCCAGTCAACTCAGCCTGCAATTGAACTTCACCATCAGACTTCTCACTCAACTAGGATGGCTAGTGAATCTCCTCAAGTCGGAACTAGAGCCTACTCAGGATTTACAATTCCTAGGAATACGGCTTATTACAGCGGAGAACCGCATACTCGTTCCAGAGGATCGTTGGATCAAGATACAACAAATGATCTCTCAAGTTCTACTCTCTCCGTTACCACTACGAGAATGGCAGAGCCTATTAGGTCTCCTCACCTCAGCTCAAGACATGATGCGCAGAGGAAGACTACAACTGCGCCCACTACAGATTTTTGTGAACGCTCATTTACAGTCTGGACCCCTTCGGACTACCAGACAGACTAAAACCATGTCTACTATGGTGGACTCAGAAGGTGAATGTTTGCGGAGGAAACTACTTAGTAGAGCCGGAGTGCAACATCCACCTCTACGTAGATGCATCACTTCAAGGATGTGGAGCACATGTCGTGAACGAAGTGGCAGCCGGGAAATGGTCGAAACAAGAAATGGATCGGCAGATCAACATGCTCGAGATGAAAGCAGTAGTAAATGCCCTACTACATTGGTCCAACATACTAAGGAACGCAAAATTGATGATCCATACGGACAACTCAACAGTGGCGTTCTACATAAACAAACACGGATCATCAAGATCTTGGAATCTTCTAGACCTCAGCTTTCAGCTCTTCAACATAATAGACAAACTAAACATCTATGTAAAAACATGCCACATTCCAGGAGCCAAGAATGTAATAGCAGATGCACTATCTCGACCACATCAACCATCCCCAACAGAATGGATGTTACATCCAGAAGCATTCAGATGCATCATACAGACGATAGGATCTCCACTCATAGATCTATTCGCCACAAGATTCAACAATCAACTGGCAACATTCGTCTCTCCAATTCCCGATCCGCAAGCATGAGCGACAGACGCTTTAAGCATCCCTGTGGAAAGGACTAAACGCCTACGCGTTCCCTCCTCCAGCGCTAATACCACAAGTATTACAGAAAATCAGGCAGACGAGGAACCTGCAACTGATTTTGATCGCGCCTTACTGGCCGGCAAGAACGTGGCTTCCTGTTCTCTTACAAGAACTCGGAAAACCAAAACTACAACTCCCAGATTGGTCGAAACTATTAATACATCCTCACACCAAGCAAGCTCACAAGTATCCCAGGTTATTCCACCTACACGTATGGAGCGTATCACGACTTGCTTGTCGAAAAGAGGATACTCCGCCAGAGCAGCGAAAGCAGTTACACTAGCTTTACACAGATCTACCCGTAACTTGTATGAAGACAAGTGGCAAAGCTTTGAGAAATATGCATTGAGGAAAGGTTTTCACAGCAATGAAAGCAACACATCCTCAAGTGGCGGAATATCTTTGTCATCTCAGACAAATAAAGAGATTAAAAGGTTCTACACTATCTACATACCTAGCGGCCCTCAGTTCAGTTATCACCATGAAGACAGGTGTTAAACTGACTAAAGTGCCAGAGTTACTGGCCTTACTACGCTCTTTTAAGCTAGAAGACCAACAAAAGAAATTTAAAGCGCCGGCTTGGGATCTCAATGTAGTGTTACAGCATCTCACCAGTGATGCGTACGAACCACTAGAAAGAACATCTTACGAGTTTCATACACAGAAAATGCTATTTCTGATCGCCTTGGCAACAGCAGCGCGGATGTCAGAAATACATGCTCTGGACTTCGAACGAATACGTTTTGATACACATCACAACATAGTTCATCTGGGATTGAGATGGGATTTCATAGCTAAGAATCAACTGCCAGATCAACCAGACAGACAATTCCACATCCCAGCATTATCTACAATCCTTGGGCCACAGGATATACAGGACCTATCATCATGCCCAGTCAGAGCACTGAAAATCTATCTACAAAAGTCTAAAACCAGGAGACGAAAATTCAAACGCCTTTTCACCCCCATATCGTCGGAGACACCCACAGAGATCTCACGCACTACGATATCAGTTTGGATGAGAGCAATCATACTTCGAGCCTACAAGGCAGCAGGACTTGAGCCTCCACGAGCCTCCAATCCTCATGAAGATAGAGCATTGGCATCTACACTCACTCTACATGGAAACTGCTCAATATCCACGATCATGGAAGGGTGTTTTTTGGAAATCGAAGACGGTATTTGCTAACCACTACCTCAGAGATATCGCTACCGAGGACGTCTCCGGTATTCACCAGTTTGGACCTCTGGTTGTAGCACAACAAATGACGGTCCCGCAAAGGCGCTGAGATGAATCTCGCCCTTTTATCGCATGTCTTGCAAAGCTCAAACTCAATGGAATGGAGCTTATAGTCCATGTACACGTCTAAAACAGACTAGCATGAATATTAGACCCCGTACTTGTAAGGAATCACTTGTACACGGATAGGGTCACTGCTCCACTTGATACGAACATCAAGAGTTGGAGTTGGTTAAATCCACACATATGTCAACAGAAGACAGAATTGATAAGTTGTGGTCCCCCCAAATTCATCAGAGAATATGGATCAGCAGCAGCAGCAGCAGTGCCATCAGAAGTTCCCATGGGGGGGGGGGGGTAAATAGGACGTAAATTCATCACTAGGAATCCAGAAGTGGCCTGACCCACCACCAACTCTGTTGGATTCTACAAGCAATAAGCATGAGTCAGGATAAGGAAAAATATGTAATTTTCTGAGTAAAATTGATATTTTATACTTATCCTGACTCATAAGGTGAGATCTCCCAACCTCCCCTCAAGGCACTCTGGATTTCCCGGTAAATCCATGTGTCGGGCTGTAAAATATGGAGAGAGTGGGGAGCATGGGTGACAGGTGGCGCCGTTTCCCGCCAAAACCTTGGGAAGGGTGATGACTCCTGGTAAGTGATTTTACGTCCGCTTTTTTGAAGGGAGCTTCAAAAGGGGGATCCAAGTGTTCCTCTAGCATTCGGAAGGAAAGGGAGACAAGCAATAAGCATGAGTCAGGATAAGTATAAAATATCAACTTTATTCAGAAAATTACATTTTTCTTTTCACAAAATCATATGGTAGCTTCCCCGAGGGCTGATAGTACTATTGAGAGAAATGCATTACTTATTTTTAGAGAAGTGTGCTGTGAAATAGTGCCTTAAACAAACCTCCTGAAAGATACACATGTATTCTATCATCATAAGCAGGGACAACACTAGGGAAAGCACATGTTGCAGTGACCAGGGTACTGTATATGTTGCAAAGGACAACACTTGCAAGCCATCATGAACTCATCCTGAATTATGATAAGATAAGATAAGATAAGATAAACTTTATTGTCCCGCAAGGGAAATTTGTTATGCATTCAAAGAGCCAATACAAGCAACAAATAATTTAAAGTATATGTACACAATGCCAAGCTAATCAGAATATAGTGTTGAATTATAACATAATCAAAGTTCATGATATAATAATCACTCGTGCCTCATCATAGATTTCACTGTTACAATTTTGGAGGAAGATTTAGAAGTTTTATGCTGTATGAGACAAATGATTTTGAAGTTTCTGCCATATCTGTGTTATGTTGAACACTATCGTCCAGACGAGCAAGGTTTGAGAGTTTGTTACAAAGATGTATGTTGTTACTTCAGCTATGACGCCGTCCTGGGGGCTGGACAAGACTGGAAAAAGCTGTGCATTAGGTTTGTATAGGCAGGATTCCCATTGGTCAGATCAAGAATAAGAACCTCATTGTCAGGGCATTGTAAACTGTAGGTTGAGTATCAGTTTGCTTCACCATTATCTCGTCAGCAATACCTTGTTATATGCAGTTACCGCTGTATCATTACAAAATCCAGTGCTTTCTAAAATGATTGGTTGGTTGCTTGGTTGGTTTAAATTTCTCAAACAGTATTACAAAATATGTCATTGAATGTACAGAAGGTATATTTCTTCTTCAAGATGATTCCCTTCTTTAGAAATGTTTTGGTTAAGATTAGTCAAGGTCAAGCTCAGTTTCAAGACTATGGAAAACATGGTTACATCTCTAGGTATTGGATTACATTCTTACATGTTTCTTGAAAAGCCATACCACATCAGATATCAATAGCAGATAGGTCAATGTTTCTTTTGAGGTAATTGTCAAATGTACAGTCATATTTTTTCTCAAATACTGTTTGTAATATCTTTGAACTTTCGGACTTGGCACATGCTGTGAGAAGGTCAAGTCAAGTCAATAAATAGGAAAATCTCAGTACACAGTTTGTGGTTACACTATATTTCTGCATATATCACTAAATTTGGTATATAACTTCTTTAGGATGCAAGTGTATTTTGTAAAATTCTCCTTACATAGGGGCATGTTCCACGGCGGGGACAGCGACAGTACAGGGACTATAGCGGCATGTTGGTACGGGGCGATGTACGGCTTCCAAGGGGTGCCAAAGGGCAACTACAAAGTAAGTACTGACCAAAGTTTCATATTTAGTTTCCTGTGTTTTCTCTCATTATGCCCCAAATGGGAGCCCATTTCTGGTGTCCCCCGCCGTGATGTTGCTGGAATATTGCTAAAACTCAGTCGGTCAGTCTCATTATGATGAAACTTGCGGTGAATGTTTCTATTTCTTTATGTGTGATTCTAATTGTATCTCATCTTGACATGATAACAAAGTATAAGACCCTAGTTAAATATACCTGTGGTTGTGGTCAAAAGGTTTTTGTCAGGTAGACCATCAGATATGTTCAGTTTTATGTTTCTATATTATGGAGGATTAAACATTATCATTCATATATGAATCTTCTTACGGATTTGCTGTGGGTTTAACATAACTCTATATTGAAACATTTACTTGTCAAGACTGTATGATGAAGTGGGAAAAGGTTCAAATGATGTTCAAAGTTAATGTATGTTTCCAGAATCTAGAGTACAGAGACCGTCTAGAAAGACTTGCAGAGGAGTTGTATAATCTGGCCCAGACAAGTAGGGTTAGTCAAGACAACCCTGAGGAGATGGATGGGTCGGATGTAGATCCTAAACACATCAAGAAAGATTCCAGGAATGAAGACAGTTGCTACTCTAAAAGCCCAGGGACAGATGAGGGAGAAACCATGGAGGAGCCAAAGGATGAAGAAGAGGGATGCAAGATGGAGTATAAACCTACAGATGGAACGGCAGAGAAGAGGAAAGGTCAATGTTCACGGTCTGCAACGGAAAATACAGGAGGTGCTGATCCCACTCCACCAAGACAGGTGAAGATGGAAAATGTACCTACAGATGGAACGGCAGAAGAGAGGAAAGGTCAGTGTTCACCATTTGCAACGGAAAATACTCCACCAAGACAAGTGAAGATGGAAAATGAACCTACAGATGGAACGGCAGAAGAGAGGAAAGGTCAGTGTTCACCGTTTGCAACGGAAAATACAGGAGGTGCTGATACCACCACTCCACCAAGACAGGTGAAGATGGAAAATGTACCTACGGATGGTACGGCAGAGGAGAGGAAAGGTCAGTGTTCACCGTTTGCAACGGAAAATACAGGAGGTGCTGATACCACCACTCCACCAAGACAGGTGAAGATGGAAAATGTACCTACAGATGGTACGGCAGAAGAGAGGAAAGGTCAATGTTCACCGTCTGCTACAGAAAATACAGGAGATGCTGATACCACCACTCCACCAAGACAGGTGACAGATAAACGTCATGATGGTGACAAGATCTGAAATACTGTCCAGGACGAAGATGGTGCCAGGTAAAAAGTAATGCTCCTGAAAAAGATGGTAAATGAGACGTGAAACTGAGGATGGCAGTCCAAGAAATACTGATGTCAAGCAGAGGATTCTACTGTTGAAGGCAATACAGCTGACATCTCGGCATGTAAAGATAGAGACAGACATGCAATGTGAGGATGAGGTGGTGTATTCAGAGATGACACCAGACAAGACGACATTGTAGTTTCATGTTGCAGGTTTCTTTCTTTCCTCACAAACAAATAACCTAATGTCTTTCAAGAATTAGATTGTAAATGAAGATGAATGAATTGCAGATGAAGATATTATTTTTTTCTTATCCTGACTCATGCTTATTTGCTTGTCTTCTTCTTCTGGCGAACCTAGTGGAACACTTGTATCTCCCAATTGAAGTTCCCTTCAATAAAGAATCACTCATTAGTACTCACCACGAGTTACCTCCCCTCCGTAAGCGCGGGAACGAGGGCGCCACCCAAGCCCATGTGCCTCACTCTCTCCTTCTTCGCCCAGTGAGCTGGACGTGAAGAGCGCCTGTGTCTCCCAACACACTATATCCTTTAATTATATTTAGTTAGTTCCTCTTATATGTTAGTATAGAGGTAGTACTAGTATAATTATTCAATTTGCATTGATTATTAATTGTGTTTCTGCTGTTTTATTCACGGTTCGTCATGTTTGTTCAGTAGGCTACATTAATGAAAAATTGCACAGAATGTAAACTACGTTATTCTGATACCGATCCACATTTAAAATGCCCTAGTTGCATTACTCCATGTTCCTTTGATTCTCGTTGTAAATTTTGTATCAATTTACCTATCTCTGCCTTTGACAAATATTTATGTTCCGTTTATAGACGGAAGGCAGATAAATCCCGTAAACAGAATTCAAACATGGCTAATAGATCGCACATTAATGTTCCCTGTCAACTGTTGACTGACGACCCGCCACCGGCTGGTGGCATGCCTGAGTTTCCCTCGGCGGATAAGCGTGGGACGAGTCCGCTATGTCCAAGAAGCGACCTGCATCTCCAAGAGCTGCCGTCTCTCTCAGTCCAAGTCGAGGGAAACCATCCATATCATCTCGCGTACACTACGTACACCAAGATCTACACCTTCATCTAAAGGGAAGTCAACAAAATCTAATAATTTTGCCTCTGATATCTTACCAGTTACAGAATTAGCATTATATGATGATGATTTGCCAATTATCATTCCAGAAGTTCGTCACAAGAAGCGGCCCGTTTCTGCGACTGTCACCTCAGCGCAGATGAACACACAACCGGAGATGCCGACTCTATCTCCAGAAATTTTATCTGAGGGTCCCGTCACCTCTGCAGAGAGACATCCCTCATCAACGCAGACCGCTTCAGACGACTTGATCAACCACATAATGAGGGTGATGGAAGACTGCTACAGCTTACAGAGGCCTCAGAGCCACGGGCCTCAGAGCCCACCCCATATTAAGTCATACAGGGCCTCAGACCCTGTCTTGGCTTCGCGTAGGGCCTCTGAGCCCATAGACGCGCCTCCGCGAAGGGCAACCCTGCCCGGAGTGAGCTCTTTGCATAAGGTGTCCCAGGCCGCCTCCGTGAAGGAGCCAGAGCCTCACCTTTTGCAAGAGGCTTCGCTGGAGAAGGGCTGCCGCCCGAGCACGCACCTTGTCATGCACGAAGGGCGCCCCGCTGGCAAGCGCTCATATGTCGGATCGGACACTGACTCCAGACATTCGCGTAGGACGCGAAGGCTAAGTGGTTCTACATCGCCTAGAAGACGATCGCGTAGCCCTCAACGTTCGAGAAGTCCAGAGCGTCCGCGAAGCCATCACCGTTCACGAAGCCCACAATCTCCGCGAAGAATGTCTTCTCCAAGGTCTACATACACTAGCCACTCGTCAGTCCGTTCTCCTCAGTCCTCACATAGATCTTCTTACAGATCGAGGACTCCGACATACGTCCATACGTCAGAGGAGGACGATGGTATCATTTTCTCAGAGGCTGAGATAAGGTATTGGATGGTAAACGAATTACAACTGGCCTCTCCCTCTAAGAACGAGATCCTATTGATGGATCATATCGCGGCCGCTCCTGCTAAATTGGATACAGCCTACGCCAAATCTGCTAAAACTCAACTTACCCATTTACCATTCTTCAATGCCAAGAGTTTTTATGGACATAATATGGAGCCCTTTTTCAAGACTCAGGAGATTGATGAAAACTTTAAACTTATCAGTGATTCCAAGTCCAGAAGTTATAGGGTAGACGATCGCAAGATGGCCCAGTTAGATACCATTTCCAGAAGGATGTTCTTTGGACTCAACAGATCTAGGACTGTTAACGAAACTCTCATCACCAAGTTCAAGAACTCCACGGATGAGGAAGACAGGATGATCTATTCAGCTCTACTTATGCAGAGAAAAGATCAACAATTCCTTACAGACCATCTTTCAGCACTTACTGAAACTACTACCATGACACGTCGGCAAGTTACTAGCCTCCTGCTCTTGGAATAAACAATTCACAGACCTATACACAGCTCCATGGTCTTCACCCTTACTGTTTGGTGGCAACATCAACAAGGTCTCCAAGGAAGTATCAAAAGATTCTAGAGAAGTACTCATGATCAAATCTATGGATACACTAGCGCACGTCTTTAAACAATCAGCACAGAGGTACTCGGGCAAGTCCAAGTTTTCAGGGCTACAGAGAGCACGGGATAGGAAATTAGCGCCGCTAATAATCCCAAGGATTCCTTTTAAAATTCACGTACAACAAGTTCAGAGGAGGATCAGCTAGAGGCAGATCATCCAGAGGTGCCCGTGGATTTAAACGATGAAAGTCAGGTTCTGAACGACTGGAGTCTTCCACCCCCAGTCGTCCCAGTACAACCTTCTCAAGTGGGTGGACGTCTACAACTACACTGGGAAAACTGGGGAATACTTCAAGATCTGTATGTATCCAACATCCTTCAGTACGGATATCGTCTACAACTCAAGGCCAAGCCACCGTTAACAGTCAACCCACCAGGGTTCAACGTTCATCTGGCACAACTACCGATGTTAAGAGAAACAGTTCAGTCTCTACTAAACAAACAGGCCTTAGAAGTTCCTGATCAGCAAAACATCATACCAGGGTTTTACTCCCCAGTTTTCCTAGTGCCGAAAAAGAATTCCAAAGAGAAGTATCGTCTCATTTACAACATGAGCACATTCAACAGAGAATTTCTATGCAAACCACCAGCTGCCAAGATGATACATTTACCTCAACTCCGCCATCTAATTCGGCCCACTAGATTAAATGGTAAGTATAGATCTGCAGGACGATACCTACACATTCGATTCATCCCAGTTCAAGGAAATATCTGAGATTTATGCTAGACAGCATACACTACCAATGGAAAAGTACTTCCTTCGAATCACTTCGCCCCATGGATATTCACAAGAGTAACCAAGCCTATTGTCTCATACCTACATCGCCAAGGCCTGCGGAATGCATTTTACCTAGACGACGGTATACAGGTGGATCCAGATCCACAGCGTCTCAGACTACAGCTGAACTTTACAATCAAGCTACTAACGAAAGTTAGGCTGGTTAGTAAATCTACTCAAGTCGGACCTAGAGCCCACACAGGATCTGCAGTTTCTAGGTATACGATTCCTTACAGCGCCAGAACCGTATGGTAGTCCCGAGGACAGATGGATCAAGATACAACAACTGATCCCCAAGCCCTACTCTCCGCTACCACTACGTCAGTGGCAGAGGCTACTGGGACTACTCACATCAGCTCAAGACTTGACACTCAGAGGCAGGCTTCAATTACATCCATTACAAGTCCTCATCAATGCCCATCTCGAGGACCCTCTACCGCTCAGTCTACCAGATTACATCAAACCACATCTACTCTGGTGGACCAAGAGATTGAATGTTTCATGCAGGCGCCTCCTTAGTAGAGCCGAATCGAAACACATCTCTACGCGGACGCCACTAAAAGGTTGGGAGCACACCTTACCGGCAGGACAGCGTCAGGCCTATGGAGCATTCAAGAGAGCTTAAGTCACATAAATCTGCTAGAAATGCAAGCAGTCATAAACGCCATAGGTCACTGGAGCAACCTATTACAGAATGCTCAGTTAATGATTCACACAGACAACTCAACAGTGGCGTTTTATGTGAACAAACAAGGGTCAACAAGATCACTGAATCTTCTCACTCGGTGTTTCAAACTGTTCGAATTAGTCGACAGTCTAAACATACGTATCAAAGCCTGCCACATTCCAGGAGCAAAGAATGTGTTAGCAGACGCTCTCTCTCGGCCGCACCAACCGTCGCCGACAGAATGGATGCTCCACACAGAGATATTTAATCAGATAATCATGGAAATAGGATCTCCTCTGATAGACCTATTTGCCACCCGATTCAACAATCAACTGACAACCTCAGATCGCCAGTGCCAGATCCGCTAGCTTGGGCAACGGACGACTAAGCATATCATGGGAGGGACTAAACGCGACGCTTTCCGCCGCCCCCTGCTAATCCCACAAGTCTTGCTAAAAATCAGTCAAACGTAAGAGCCTCGATCTCATTTTGGTCTCGCCTTACTGGCCAGCGAGAACGTGGTTTCCAGACCTCATACTAGGAATCGGAAAACCAGTACTTCAGCTCCCACTACGCTCCAATCTACTGATACATCCGCGACACCAAACAAGTGCACAAAACACCAGAAGCATTCGACTTCACGGTGGATTGTATCAAGGCATGTTTGAATAAGAGAGGTTATTCCACCAGAGCGGGCGAAGGCGGTCACGCTTTGCACTAATTCACGTAACTCTACTCGTAACTTATAACGATGACAAATGGCTTAGTTTTGTCAATTATGCTGCTAAGAAAGGATTTTCAGCCAGATTTGCTACACATCCTCAAGTGGCAGATTTCTTATGTTTCC